AATATTTTCACCATCTTTTATAGAATTTATATCAGAGATATTTGAGCCAAAGAATTTTCGTTCCAATAGCGAGTTTCAGCGACGGCCAGATTTACAGCAAATATCGATGTTTGCTCCCGATGCATCCAAGAGTAAAAACTGTCTTGAAATTAGCACTAACAAACACTGGGATTTGTTTTTTTTTTTTAAAGACGCCACTCCGTTGAGCGGCCAGTCATGAAAATTCCCTTTATTTTACTGTACTCGGGAGAGATTTGATTGGACGATGGGAATGGACATACTCCGTCAACAACTCTAGTTTTCAGTCTCAGTACAACAATTGCTAGAGAGGGATTTCTCGGACCATTGCTTCAGGAATATGATGAACTTTGTATCTAATACATTTTGTAAAATATTTTAACAACGTTTAATCGATCGGATGTGACGAAAACCCGAGGTCCCGTGTACACGTTGGTATGCACAAAAGAATCCAATGACAATTGCTGTCCAGGTAAAATTTCCCTCATAGCATACTGTATGGTGTATGCCTGTCTTTATTTATTATGCGGATAGTTGCAGAAAGGTAGGACATTAACAATATTTCATTTATTCATTATTTCAGAAATCAACCAAAGCGAATATTTCATGCGTTTTATTTTCTATGCGTAAATGTGAAATGTATGGATAAATTTGACCAGGGTAGTTGTTTTCTTCAATCTGTTCGGCTCCAATTGGGCTAATGAAGACGGCCATACACCATAGAGTGTGCCTATGAGACAAATTTTGCACGGACAGCGGCGCTACGGCCTACTCTTATATCGAATTCCAACTGTCAAACGTTCTTTTAGGTGCACGCCCATGTGTACACGGGAGCTAGGTTTTTCGCACCATTCGAACGACTATACTTTGTCCCTTGCCAGGCTCTAGGTCCTACACCACTGACAAGGAGGACCCACGCCGGAAAATCCCGATGAACTTTATCGGCCAACGTAGGGATCGAACACGGGACCTCCAGGTTAGCGAGCCAACGCCTTACTCACTGAGCCACCGTGGCTCCCGGAATCACAAAACAGAAGTATTAGAGTGTACTAGTATTTTATTCTATACAATTGTAGGTTGCAAACCACGTGTTGTGGTATGCCTTGTAATATAAAACCATCTGATTCTATTTATTGCTCACTAGAACACGTTCCACTATCTGCATTCAGAAAAATTTCCATAAACTACAGTGCAACCTGTGTATGCAGACCGGGGCTTTTTCAAAGGTTATGGGACGAACTTTTACTTTCATGTGCCTTATGGTATGTATTAATATCCTACAAAACTTTTAAAAAGAAACGACCAGGTAAAACTTTAATAACGCCTGTAACTGATTGTTTTCAGAATAACACTTGAGAGGGTCAAGGTGCTTTGTGGGCATGGATGGCAAGTTTTAATCTCGACCTCCCTGTTTGAAGGTAATATTCTATTTATCAACGACGGTAGTTTGTGAACGACGATCTATCGGTGACAATCTGTCCTGAAGTTTCGCAGATTGTTCGTTGGCGAAAAGAATAGCGGTGAAAAATATTCCACCTTTACCGTGTCACTAGGATATAAAACCATCTGATTCTATTTATTGCTCACTAGAACACGTTCCACTATCTGCATTCAGAAAAATTTCCATAAACTACAGTGCAACCTGTGTATGCAGACCGGGGCTTTTTCAAAGGTTATGGGACGAACTTTTACTTTCATGTGCCTTATGGTATGTATTAATATCCTACAAAACTTTTAAAAAGAAACGACCAGGTAAAACTTTAATAACGCCTGTAACTGATTGTTTTCAGAATAACACTTGAGAGGGTCAAGGTGCTTTGTTGGCATGGATGGCAAGTTTTAATCTCGACCTCCCTGTTTGAAGGTAATATTCTATTTATCAACGACGGTAGTTTGTGAACGACGATCTATCGGTGACAATCTGTCCTGAAGTTTCGCAGATTGTTCGTTGGCGAAAAGAATAGCGGTGAAAAATATTCCACCTTTACCGTGTCACTAGGATAAATTCTCAGGAAAATACATGTGGTCGTATTTAGCAGATACAACTGTATAGTTACCTTCATATCTATGAATGTGATAACAGAATGTTTTGAAAACAAACCAACAACTTGTTACAAAACATGTTGTGTTTATTCATATTCACTACACTCTAATATTAATGTATCGGAAAGTGGGGTCTAAATACGAAATATCGAAATTAACAGAAGGATGTGGCGTGAGGAAGGGTGAGGGTAGTGAAACTGTTTAGTGGCTACAAGCTACAGATAGTTAGTTCGACCCTTCTCGATAATTTGATGTCCTGGTTCCGAAGCTAATTTACGTTTTGTGCGTTTGGTGGCGAATCGGTCCAATTTATCAGCTCAACGTTGACTGCTTACAAGGGTCTGGTTGTTATATCATTTTTAATAATTGACTCAGGACAAAATCTGGGCTAAAACTAGCGGATTACATGACAATTTGTTCAAACAATTTTCGCATATATCAATATTTATTAATTTTCAAAACCAAATAATATTAATAGCCGGCGTTATCTGCGGTCGGTAATTATACAGCTATTAGTAACTGGAAAATCTAAACTAACACCGCCAGTAGACGCGACAGTTCAGGCTGTAGAATCTGTATTTCAATATTAATGCATATTGCAGAGGTCTATAATACCGCTGGAGGCGATATTCGTGCACTAGAACCCATAATGGTTTACATTCCCCAACGTATAACCATAATAATTGTTAATTTTCTTTACTGCTGATCAACAATAAAATAACTAGGTACTGCCCAGTTGTCCGTGAAATTAATAGTCTTAGTTGTCAAGTTAGATTCACGCTGCATATAGTGGTGTTTAGTTTCTGAATTACAAGGCCACTCTCAGTGCCTTCCTTTGCGGTTTAATATAGCGCGAAATGTCAAAATCACGAGACGACCAAAAAATAAAAATATAACCAGGTCGATAAAACGGACTGGAAAACTTGACAATGCGGCCTGTTTTGTCAAGATATTCCCCTAATTTATGGTGATTGCCACCTTGATTTACCTTTCTGCTACTTAATTGATAGCTAGAGTATAAGAGATTACCCAAGAGAACCACAGAATTACTCATACATCCCAACATGTAAAAGTTAATGGTAACGCCGGTTTGTGTTAATAATTCACACTGTCGCATCCAGGATATTCCCAACAAAGGCATTCCCTGGAGAATGATCTTGTAACTGGGTGGGCCCATTGATTGGGGTGGGTAGAGTGGTCTATCAACTTGATATCAATACAAAAGTTTTGTCGGTTCATAATTAAAGTTACTATTTTGTTTGTTTCCGTTTGAATTGTTATGTTTTCTTCGAATTCAGAAACCTTATCCGCACTGCAATGTACTGCTGAAACGTCTTTTCCTCGTATATTATGTGTATATGCCCCGACAAATACAACGGTATATAGAACCCTATCTATTCATGTTGCCCTGGTTTAGTTTGTCAACTTCAAAAAGCTAACAAATTTGCTGTTCTCGATGTAAATTTTTCCGCGAGTTAAATTGAATTCACACACGTCACATTTCTGTTCTACTGAGTCATGGTGAAATCGCATGACTATGTCCAAATGTTTTGTCATACACAAAGAATTTAAACGACACCCGACTGACTCATGTAATTGTAACTATATGAACCTATTTTCCGTTTGATGCTTTACATTGACTACACAACCCACTGCCATCTAATAATGCAATAAGAATTTGAATTGTGGATGACGGTGAAAGCAGGTTGTGTGTGTGTGTGGGGGGGGGGGGGGTCAAAAACAGAACTAATTCGATCTTGACATCGGTCAAAAAGGAAGAATATTGGCACATGATCATGGATGATCGATTCAAAAAGTAAATTCAAATATTTAGTGGAACCGAACCAGTGATAACAATAATGCATTCCTCTCTTTCTTTTCAGTGCGGCTCACTAAACAGGGGGTTCGAGATATTGAATTAAAAATAAAATGAAACCAAGTACGAACAATCCAAACCATAAGACAAAATTCGAAAATTAGACAAAATTCGAAGTCCTAAAAAACGGTAAAGGCGAAATAGTGTAATCAGCAAATGGACTGTTCACTGTGTACAAACAATGGTAAAAGGTGTCCGGAAGAGTAAGCTTACCCTGCCTGGCGCCACACCCGCCATAGCTGCATTCAAACCATTAGACGAAATCTCGGTATTTCAAGATTTAAGTATTTGATAAACAATAATATCTACCAACAATTTGTTTCCATATGGGTTATAACACTAATGTACTTAAATTTTATAGTTAACATTTCCGTAAGGTAACAACGTTGCAAATAGCAATTAGCATCGACAAAATAAAACATAAGAGGATTTCTATGAAGCAAAATGCCATATATCTTATTAAATATCATACAAATCTTATTGCTATTGATATAACCCATTTATATCGAATTGTTAGGGGTCATGGGGTCAATATGTACCACACGTGTTAAACACTGGTACATATATCCACCGATTCCATTACTCCAGTAGAATGAAACCGGTGTTCATGAAAGGTCAGGGGTGCTAATATTTTCATCTGTAAAAATATCTTCTTAAGTACGATTCCGTGTTCGAACATTATATTTATAAATAAGTCACCACCCATCCTAACCAGCGGACGAATTCATCAAAATTGAGTAACGATAGTAAGGGAAACTGATACATGAGATTATCATATATTGTTAAGTGGTACCAGATGGTTTGTAACGAAAGGGGAGTCGTAGTGGCTCAGTGGTTAAGGCGATGGCTCATTGACCAGAAGGTCCGGATTGACGGCTTATCAGGGATCAGCGATGTGGTGGGATTAGCATTTTTATGTGCTTAGAATTAAAATTTGAGTCAGGATTTTAACCTGTGCTTATAACCCCAAATATCAGTATATACGAATACTGATTTAACCCCAGAGGGAATAATAACAAAAGGGTCTACAGTTCTGAAAGTGGGTTAAAAACTAAAAACAAACTTGTTTTTTTAATAAATATATTATTAACATAAAAGAAAATTGATACAAATGATACAAATGTAGTTCAAAGGTGTCCATATCAAATTTTGTTTACAAAAAAAACTAATATACCTTAGGCAAACTAATTTAAGTAATCTACATGACTATAGGCTTCGAAGGGGTTAATTTACCTTAAGATATTACTATAAGGTTGTCATAATGTGAACTAACACATTATTCATACAATAATCTATAAACAACATTAAGTATTGTTTATATTTCTATCAACACCGACAGTAATATATTAAAACAAACAAACCTAGCTTCCCTTTACAAATAAACACTTTAAATTGGCTATATTCTATATCAAACACTATACTAATTAAATAAAGATTTTGCTTCGGATTTTGACACCTTTAAATTCTTTTCAGTGTTGAAGTACAAAAATAAAAGATGTCATCGGTTTTATATAGTGATCCACTGCTTCGGATTTTGTAACCTTTAAATTCTTTTCAGTGTTGGAATACAAAAATAAAAGATGTCATCGGGTTTATATAGTGCTCCCCTGCTGTTTAGGTGTTTAGTGTAGAAAACACAATAAATTAATGAAAAACGACGTTTGGTCCACCGGTACTATATATACATATACCATCCATACAACATTTCATATTATCGATTTTACTTAGTTTCCACCCCCTTAATACTTGGTAGCATTCCAAGGAAAGGGTTATCAGACAAAAACAATATGTAAAATCAAATGCAAAGATTTGCACGACCTGTACATCATTTCCTGACTTGCCATTCAGGATGATCTGCTTATTAAAACCCCCAAATTGAATGCAGTTAGTTTCAACAGAATGACCCTCACGTTGTAAAGCCAGGTCACGAGTTCACAAAGCATTCTGAGACTTAAGTTATGATTTTCTCAAATTTGTTCGCCTTATTTAAATAAAATATAGCCCTCTATAAATTTTTTGTTGTTTTAATGTATCAAATACACCAATAAGAAACTATATGCAAAGTTTTGTTTTCTAGAACAAAGATGTTTCTCATCAACAGTGATTGAAAGTGGAGTACATACTTAACTTAAGTCTGAGTACATACTTAACTTAAGTCTGAGTACATACTTAACTTAAGTCTGAGAATGCTTTGTGAACTCGGGATCAGAAATTAGTTCTAACAAAAGGTAAAGTGAAGCGACACCTCATGCGTGACTCAATAATATTCACATAGACAATCTTACTCTTATCCTTGGCAAAATCTAAATTTCAATTAATGATTATAAGTAATTCAAAACGATATCAATTAATGTTGTTTAAATCACGTATAATAGTTAAACATGTATATTAGTTATGAATTGTTACAAAAATATAATGGTAAATTTGATAATCATTTACAAATATTTGTCACAAAAAAAGTGATTAATTTAAAGGAATTTATTAACATATTAGAAGTAAATCTTTAGCAACGTCTTGTAAAAATAAAATGATGATGCTTTTTTTCAGGTCAACATTGAACGTACATAAATTCCAATGGATGAGATTTTTTCTCTTAAAATAGCATATTACTTCATAATGATTTCAGTTGGTGAGAACATAACAGGTTCCTGGATTTCGCAACACATTTCTTGATAGACTAAATGCGTTTCGTGTGTACCTATGTGCTTTGTATCGTAATTTACTTTGCTCTCGTATTTATATTAGGCCTATATGTAGGCCCACTTCTTGATTGATGTCTATTCCTTTTTGTTTTAAAATGATTGATTATTTATTTAATATGGCAGGACCTATGACGAAACAAAGATTTTCAAAAAATATTTTGAATCTTTGTAAAGTCTAATTGTTCATTCTAGTAAATAATCCACAAGCGATACTACTTCCGTAAACTGCTAGCAGTAAAGCAGGCGTAAGAAGCGATACATAAAGACTGGAAGATAAAGATTTGGACCCGCTTCCGGTAAAATGATATCCGGGAGGAAGTTTGTCTCGTGAATAGATCCTACCAAATAAGGAAACAGAGAGAACTGGGTGGGTGGTTTTGCGAGTCGCCCTTAAGACGCCGTTGTTGTATTTCCAGCCGTTCGTCGCTAAATTGAGTTGTCCGTCCCTTTTTCGACTCTTCAATACTTCCGGGAAAACGTAGTTGGTCTGGAACGTTCCGTAGATTTTAATGTCATTAAATTCAGAATAAGCTTGTTTGGTTGGTTGGCCGCAACTGGATCTGGTTTTGTTGGCGCATCGCAATAATGTGCAGATCTGCAGATAATATTGTCCTTCATGTGTGTGCAAACCGTCAAACGCACCAAACGCATACATATCGCTGTTGTCTTTATTAATGGCATACTCAAGGTGGCAACATAATCTATTGTTGCAGACGGACAGAACACCGGAGGACCTCTGCAACTCAACAAATGTGAACTTATCGTAGAAGACGTACGAGTGGAATGTTTTTTGCTCAGAAGAGGGTCGCTGTACCTTGTTGTAAGCTACATGTTGGTGTCTATTTTCGATGACATTAAGTTGCGAGATAATTAATTTTCCTCCACCATAGCCAACATCGTTATAATAAAACTTCTTTGGTCCGTCTGGTGTATAGATTCCACTTCCATGGAATCTTTTGTTTGGCACGTGGATATTTGCCGCCAGGAAGTTCACACCCATCCCCTGCGCAAACGCAGAGTGAAATTGAATGGCAGATAACAAAGGGAGAGCATCCATCCAGGCCGTGGGAAAAACGATGTTACTAACATTATAGCGTTCTATAAGAGTTATCGCAGGTTCCTCAAACAAGATATCGAAACAGGTAAAGGTACCAAATCTTCCAAATGGTGTTTCAAAAAACGCATAATTTACTGATCGCGGTCGGTCAAACTGATATTCGTAGAATAAGTTTTGTTTGTGATATCTTGCGATGAGTCGTCCATTTGGAGCATAAACAACGTTTGTGTTGTACTGGTATTGTCCGTCGGAGGGGCAGTTGGAATCTGTTCTTCTTGTGCATCTTTGTTTGTTGCCCATGTTAGCGACGATATACATGGAATTGTTGAGAGCCATGCAACTCAGGTAGACCTGTATTTCCGTCTTTGAATATCGATTGGGTTGGGTGCAAGGGTTCCACACTTCACTTTTAGGGTCCGGGATTTCTTCCAAGTAATGTTTGATTGAATCCCTATTAAATGTGTAACCATAGAGACCATCTTCTGGAAACACTAAAATATCTACATCCTGAAATGACACGAAAAGGCCATATATTCTAATGAATTTAGAGTTTTGACCATCGTTTCAACTAAATACAGCATTTACTCATGGAAAAATATACAGGAAGAAACTAGAACTAACCAGAGACACTTCTATGGGATGTTAAGACATAACAATACAAGAAAAATGTATAAGCTAAGAGAACTCCTCAAATGAAAAATGATATTAATTATCGTTTAGAATCTGGGTTTTAACAGGAAGGAGTAAGCATACTCTTGTAAAACACACGTCACTATTTATAGCTACCTAAAGCAATGGTTTGGGCCAAGATTTCAGCGGTCGAAGTTACTGGGTTTAAGATAAGAGAGCCTTAGGCACGTCAGATAATATGCATCAACAAATTTGAGGATTACAAGACACACAGGAAGAAGACTGAAATGAAGTGATATTGCTAGACTAAGAACTATATTATTTTTGATATTTAGATTGTTACGGTTATATTAAATACAGCGTCGGCAAGCAAATGCAATTTTGCGTAAGACGGTAAAAACGCCATTATCTTGTCGTGGTCGGTTAGCTACATCTGGTATGGAAAGACTATAACTATCATATTACTGTATAATCGAGATTAAACACCATGCCATCACCAATCTCCAATAGAACCTCCGGTGTGAAGCCAATCAATGTTGAGTTTGGCCTTTCACTTTGTGATCTTATAGGGATATTGTAGTATTGTTACATACGACAACCAGGGGTTAACCATGGAATATTTACCTGAGAAGCAGCAAATTTAGCCTGTTGGTCGTAAATCCGCAGATTTACCATCACATCAGCTAAGGCATTATGTCTTGATGCCACAGTGGAACGATTTGGTGGGAAAATCAAGGAATGTTCGTACACAGCAGCTGTAAAAGTCTTTCTATTATAAGCATTGGTAGACATGGAATTCAGCAGAATTCCTGCTACCACCAAGATTACTGGAAGCATCACAACTCAATCTGAAAGTATAAAAAACACCAGAATTTTATTCTTTACCGAGACCGTCAATATTAGAGCGTATTTTTTGGAAGCGTCTTAATATCCAAAATGTGACGAAAGCTTCAGATATTTGCTTGAGGGTAGAATGAAAGATTCTAAAAGTCTTCAAAAATATAACCAAGTATTTTCACTGAAAGATATCTGAGAGTACTAACTCAAATTTAAATTGTATTCATTTATTCGTACAGGGTTTGATAACACAGAATAAAATAATCTTGAATGTATCGTACACGGCACAGCGATAGCCCACTACAAGATTTTCAATCTGTTTTACAAACCTAATGCGACATCCGTCTTTTATCTCTGTCCAAGATGACTGACCTTTAAAAGGTCAGACCGCTGTAGTTCTAAGGGTGACGTCACCTCACAATGTTTACCAACAAAGCAAGATGGCATCGATAACGCCAAAAAAGATTACTTCTGTGGCTTGTTTTTGTTGTTTTAAAACAAACACGAGCAGGTCAATCAGATTAGACGGTAAAAAATGTACTTCTGGAAGAATTCAGAGTAAACAAACAGAAAAAACGTCAAATTGATGGTCACACGTGCGTTGTTTACATCGAACGTAGTAATATGAACTGGTACGGGCAAAATTATATCGTTTTACCCATTTTACGCCTCCGCGTACTTTTTTCTGTACCTATTTACGCTAAATATGGAATATTTTTTATCAAGATATACTTCAAACACCTTTATTTATTTTTCTAATACTAAAAAAAAATGTTTCAGAATTTAATTTGTCGAAAGAAAAAAGTTAATATTTTGTAGTCATTAAGTCGCATCGATGTCATCCTTATCAGTGATTGTAGCGGCCAAGCGAATATTCACTGCGGATCAGTGTGCAAGATTTTGTAAGATCGCACGTTTGCTTCCTGCCGCATACCGTGTAAAATTTCAAACCGACGAGCAACTTTTTGTCTAGTTGTCGAGCAACTTTTTGTCAAACTTCTTAAATATTTAGCAAATAGTCACCGGCGACTAAGAAAAAAATCGCCCGCGTTAAACAAGGTTGTATAATAAATTGTTTGATTTCATACGAGAAACGTGGCGCGGGTCAGTAAGTAGTAGTAGCTTCAGATATTTGCTTGAGAGTAGAATAAAAGATTCTAAAAGTCCTCAAAGAGATAACCAGCGTTAAATAAGGTTGTATAATAAATTGTTTGATTTCACGTGAGAAACGTGACGCGGGTTAGTAGTATTTTTATTTTCATATAAGATCAATAATCCCGGCTATCTTATGTATGGTGATGATACACCGTTTTGTAACTGGAGTAACTTAAAGGAGCTAAATCGCTAATATTTAGGACCTAGAAATTGACACAAATGGGTCGCAACGCATATAATAATGTAATATGAATGTATATAAACTGATTTACATTCAATCGTTTCCGTTTTTACTCCAATTTTAAGTCAGTTATGTTCGGCGAAATACGCCAGAAGTCTCCAGATAAGAATATGGGGTCACCGTTTGACAGGACTTGTATGTGTCTAGCCTCGTTCATCGACTCCCTTGTTACAAAATAATTAGTGCTGAAACGCATTATGGTACACGATTCGTGTACCAATGGTAAAAGGTTTATTTTGTCTTCAATATTGGATATCAGAAGCCCATCTTTTACCGGTAAGATCACAACATCAATGTTGATTTAAATTGACAATGTCGAAGACTGGGTGATATTGGGTTAGAGACTTAGCTGCCAAAGGGTTGGCTCTTAAGACATAAATCATGGCCATCGGAACTGTGTTATTCATTAGTTTAACAATTGTCCCGGGGACAGTAAACCCATCCTCTTATAAATTTCGTTCCGACATGACATAGTATCACATTCAATAGAAGGGGGGTCATGGTGATGAAAAGAGAGTTACATGGGCGAGAGAAATGTGATCTAACATAGTAACGTATATATATAACTAATATTGACAATATCATAAAACCACACATCTACTGGCAAACTGGCAAATACAGATTGGTTTGTTTAGTAATACCATGTTGTATTTTTGGACTTAAATCTCAAACGGGCATGTTGTCACAACTGATAATAGTGGTTTTCTCGTGTATTGTGGAATTGAGTATAGAACACGACCGACGCCAATAATACATTCATTAGTTCAGACCAGTGATTCTCAACCAGTTCCTAAGAAAATGGGGGAAAAACACGTGATCTATGACTAGTCTCTGTCTACGGTTGTATTCCGTCTGACTTAACCATGTTTTTAATTTGCAAAATTCAAATATTTTTCATATATATTTAGCCAGGTGTGCCGCTATTTTTTTATGTGTTCCAAGGTGTGCCGTTGCAGACTGTCATAGTACTATGGAATACACTTACTGCTTATTCCTGAGCGACATTTCGTCTAGGCTTCTCTAGTCTTTATCAAGCAATGATAAAATATAACATGTTACAAAACAATACTTGCTTATAGTCTGCTGCTTTTGTGGGTGACATCTTGATTGATTGTCATATACAGTTCGTTTTATATAAAATGTTGGCGTCGATTGTTGTCCATACACAACACAACAAGATATGAGAGAGAGAGAGAGAAATGGGGTTTAACGTCCACTTGTCACAAACTAGGTCATTTCGGGACTAACACATGGTTCAATGTTATTTCAATAATTTGCTTGCGCGTAGGGGTCTTTAGCAGTGGGAGGAAACCGGAGGACCCGGGGAAAACCCACGAGGTTGGACAGGCGACCCTACTCCTTGTCATGTACAACCGGGGAATCGAAACCCCGCCAGACCGTATGATACAGTGCGCGCGTGCTAACCATTCCGTCATCCACCCCCCCCCCCCCCCAACAAGATATGAATGAAGTAATTACAACAGGTTGGCGTCAGTTGTTGTCCATACACAACAAACAAGATATGAATGAAGTAATTACAACTTAGATCTAAAAAGACTGTAATTCAATACTGCGTTTAAGACGTTGCCAAAAAAGTAGGGACCCGAAAGATTTGTGCACAAAAAGGAGCCGCCTACGTATTATACCCTTGTTTAGAGAGTGAATAATAATGTTCATAACGTATTATAAACACTTTCAAGGTTAATTATTCCTATTAAATAATATTTACACTGTGATTATACATATTAAAATTATTAAATAAATATTAAGTCAGCAGAATAATATTAATGTTACATAGTTTGTTGTTTTTGGTGTGTATATTCCGTCTGGGTTCCGGTTGACATTAAGAGATTGACTAAGCGTCTGAAACTGCAATAAATTAAAATGCGTTTGAATTGGTAAGTCGCTATAGGCACAATCAGGGCGGGGTTGAGATGTCACCACGGTCCTTGAATCAACAGTGATACGGGAACATATTCCGGTCATTTTCCGTCACACTCCAACAAATGCAATTTGTATGTCGGTATATAAAATCAATTTATTTAGCACAAACATACAAAATAATATTATAGATATTTTCAGAACTGATTTGGAGATCCCTTTAATATTGGGGGCCCTGGCTTCAGCCATTAGGCACTCCCATCTCATTAATCGGGCCCTGTGCACAATTCGTGCATTGAAGCAGAATTACACCCTCCAATTCTTCAGTGTGTACATAGATATACAAAGTAAATAGATATTCAAAAATCTCAGATAACGAATTAAAGGACAACGACCATCACTTCAGTTTTTGGACCAATGTACTTTTGTTCATGTTTCACTCTGTAATCCTGTGCTATCAAAGCTTGAACATAATTCTATATACGTTTCATACCATATGTACGGTCATTGTGATTTCTCCACTTGAATTAAGTCAACAGTTTCTGAAAAAATGCTTCAATAATGCCCCATTGTTTATTTTTCTATAGAATAACGTCATTTGGCTATAAACAGAGGTTATTATAAGGTTGCCACTTGCCAGCCAATTAACAAATGTTGTATTTGATAAATGAGGAAGTTTTTTTGTTTTTTTTTAATTTATAGCCATTATGTTTTATATACACTAATAGCATGATTGCTTTTTCAAATAAACAATTTAATTATTTACGGTTCGTTTTAAAGTTTATTCAGATATTTATTTTATTTAATAAACGATGATGGCAATGGTTGATATATCAAGCAGTTTTATTATTTCCGTATTATATATTAATGTATTATACATACGACTTGTGTTTATTTCAGTTAAGATATTTATATAATTGATAATACAAACGCGAGGTCTGCGCCATGTACAGGGTAATGTCGATCAAAATGATGTGTCGCACGTTTAGAGAAAAAACTTCGTATCGGATGTAGAGCGAAACCGAACTAAATGTGACTGTGCTATTTTCCTATACGGTTTATTGTATAAATATCAAATAAATGCCAATGTTCCATGTTGAGCCATGTATATTAAATTCGTAGAGGGTCTCTATCATACCGAATGGGGTGCAAGCAATTATTCGTTTGATAAATCTACATTGTGTGTCTGTCTGGTACACAATGTTTGTGAGAGAGAGAAATGGGTTTAACGTCCACTCGACACAAACTAGGTCATTTCGGGACTAACATATGGTTTAATCTTATTACATTAATTCGCTTGCGCGTAGGGGTCTTTAGTAGTGGGAGGAAACCGGAGGACCCGGAGAAAACCCACGAGGTTGGACAGGCGACCCTACTCCTTGTCACGTACAACCGGGGATTCGAAACCACGCCAGTTGACTAAATGACAGGCCGTATGATACAGCACGCACGTGCTAACCATTCGGCCACCCAACCCCCCGGTACACTGACCTCCCAAGACTTGCGAATGGAGACGCCAAACTTTGATATTTTGAAACGCAACTCCGCCCATCAGAATTTTATTTCCATAACATTAAACTATAAAACCATTTTTGTCATAATATATCTAAGAAAATATTTAGATTTTTTAATACAGAGAAGGTATGTGTAACAATTATTTATCCAAAATAAACAAATTCATAAAGACTCGATCAACAGACCTACATATTCTTAAGAACGGTCCAATCCCGAAGGTCGTCGTACGCAAGCTTGGACTGGGTGATCAAACAAAGTCTATTCAGGACAACTATTCAAACCATCCACACCTTTTTTACGGCAACGTTTACAAAAATAGGTTTATCATAGCCGTGATCTTCCATTGGGTGTTATGACATGACAAAACTATAGTCATGTCCATCTTTGTCAGATTAGAGAGAGACAGTGAAAACTACTGTTACAGTATATGTCGGATCAGGCCCGTAACCAGTAGGGGGTGGGGTGGGGTGAAGGTGCAGGTGTGTGGGGGGAACACCCTGCAAAAAGTTTCGTCCCCCCCCCCTCCGTGTGAAAACAATTTCGACCATAAAAACAATAGATATACACTGCCCTCAACGTTAAGTATTTGAGAAAGATAAGAGAACATAATATGGTTGCTGTAATTGTGCCCAGATCGCGAAATGCCACTCCAGGATTACAGTCTATAACTAAATTCTGTGTAATTTCATGATGCTTATTATTATTACACATTACATCACAAAGCACATAGAGCAAAGCAATATTACATAATAAAACCAGATAACAAAGAGCATACTTGATAAAATATAAAAATTAAACATATTTTAAAGATATACGATTTAGAGAGCAAAAAACAGGTCGACATCCCTAATTGTGTGGCTAAGGCAAAAAACAAAAACCCAATCAAACAAGAATTATACGATTCAAGTTAAGAACTGTATGAAAGCCCTCCATTAAAAAGATATCATAAAAAAAACCAATAGACTTTAAATTTATACCATGTTAGGGGCTAAGTTAGTCTACAGATTAAAGTCCAAAGACTGTACATTTTAATTCTCAACTTAAAGGAGCTAAATCGCTAATATTTGGGACCTGGAAATTGACAAAAATGGGTCGCAACGCATATAATAATGTAATATGAATGTATATAAACTGATTTACATTCAATCGTTTCTGTTTTTACTGTAATTTCTAATCAGTTATGTTCGGCGAAATACGCCAGAAGTCTCATGTGAATGGCAATCTTTAGCGTCTGGTTTTTCCAGTCTACATCGATGATATTTATTGTGCATGCTCTCCAGATAAGAATATAGCGTCACCATTTGACATGACTTGTGGAATATGTCTAGCCGCGTTCTTTGAGTCCCTTGTTCCAAATGGCGCTGAAACGCATTATGGTACACGATTCGTGTACCAATGGTAAAATGTTTATTTTGTCTTGAATATTGGATATCAGAAGCCCATCTTTTACCTGTAAGATCACAAGACCAATGTTTATTGGAATTGACAAATAATTCGTGTTTTCAATGTCGAAGATTTTTGGTGATATTGAGTTAGAGACTTGGCTACTTTAAAGCCCCGTCAATATGGTGTTTAAGTCCACACACAATCAAAAGTACTGAATTTAATAGAAAACAAAATTATGGTCATCATAAGTTTACATTGGTTTCGATTAATTTCATCTCGCCATCTTTATCTCTCTTAGACATATACAGTAATATTAATTGGGGTACTTTTATGTCATCCTTCATCCAAATACAGATGATGCAATAAAAGCTACTAAATTACTTACGAAAATGTATATGAAATGAAATAGATGCTTTAAAAATGTCCAAACTTACCGAAGATCCCAACTGCTTGAAGCCAAAGAGATTAGCTACGAACCAGATACTTGTCCTCCGGACCTCGGGCGTGCGACTGAAGGTTGATATCATGATACAAGTAAACACTATCTCCATAAATTACTTTAACAAACATCCGTTTATTTTATAATTCTGTTGATAAACTTTCACATACCTCGATTACACAACCGGCACTTAAATCAAAAAACATCAACGAAAAAGGAAAGAAAACGACGTAAACTGTTCTTCACGTTTAAGGTTAAAGCGAGAACGCGCCAGAATAAAATGCACATGCATAGTTCACGACCACACACAGCCAAAAGTACTCTTACCGGAAACAAAGTCGCTTCCACCGAAGTTGATATCGAAGACTTAGTTCGGTCTTGAATAATGACTATCTATATTAGTTGCTGTTAATATCACGCCGTCACCTTTTATTGTGCATGTTTTCGTTCAGGATGGCCCATCTTTGTGAAGAATGTGCCGACCCAGGTAATAAAAACAGTATTTACATAGTTGTGTTACTTTAACTTTTTTTTTAAAAGTTGAGATAGTTGTGAACAGGCTGGCTTATTACCCCTTTAATGTCTTTCTCTAATTTCAAAGCAGCACGTGGTCTAGCGCATCACATTGATATATACATTACGTCAACCCCAGCAGCAGAATGAATAAAAAAAACTTGGTGTTCCCTGAAAAACATATATTTGTAGGCCTACACGATGCAAGTTCATAGACAACGTCATTTATTCAAATTTATTAGTTTATTAAAAAATTAAGTAAACTTATTAGGTAAAATTGAGTAAAATTATTAATCAAAATATACATCTACAGGAATGTTGGTGGGTTATTTTCCAATATTCATAAACTTGTCATTAAAACGTGTTATTTCCGGTCACAGGTCATAGATGTTTTACTATCTTTGAACGGCCATTTTTTTCCAGATCAATATTTCAACGACAGATGTGTAGCGTTTTATAATTTCTTACATTGAACTATTTGACTGAGTAACAGGATTACGACCCCTATTCACCTCTAAAGAAAAAACAAACATATCTTGTGGTAATTAATGCATTAAGAATACGAGAATACGGGAATTAGTGTGTTATTTAAATGTTAATTCTCCAAAATAACACTGTCTCATGCAACCGGATCTGCATTCCTTAGATAAATTTTAACATTTGTTTAACGTTAAATACTTAAAAAAACAGAGCACAGAAATGACCAGATCAGATTTACTGAAAGGTATGAATTTCTGGATTATATGAATTAATGGATGAAATGGATCACTGGATGGTATGAATTACTGGATGCTTTGAATTGCTGGGTGATACTGATTACTGGGTTGTATGTTTAACTGAATGATATGGATTACTCGATGGTATGATTTACTGGATGGCACGGATTACTAGTGGTATGATTTACTGAATAATATGGATTACTGGATGATATGCACCACTAAATAGATTGATTTACTAGATGATATTGATTACTGAATATTATGATTTACTGAATGGTATGATTAGTACTTTGAAGTACTGGGTGATTTACTAGATGGTATGGATTACTGGATGGTATGATTACTGGGTGCCATGAAGTACTAGGTGATATGAATTGCTGCGTGGTATGGTTTAATGGTTGATATGGATTACTGGGTGCTATGGATTACTGGGTAGTATAGATTACTGGATGGTATGGATTAGTGGTATGGATTAGTGGGTGGTACGGATTAGTGGGTGGTATGGATTACTATATGTGTCGACATTTCCCGTCTTAAAGCTCATTTTATTATATAATTGTTGGACATGACCGTGGACCTCTGAGCTTTATCAACCTAGCCAAAAAGAACATATAATATCATATTCCACCAAAACCTTAAACCCACCATGATTATCAAAAATCCAAAAACAGGCCCATTTAGTGTTAGATATGTTTTCATGATCGTCCGTTAAACCAATTGAAAATCAATAATAAATTTTTAAGATTTGAAATTGACTGTCAAGACGTCTATACCGTTATCTGATCGATTGCTGGACAGCTTTGGCTTATATTTGGCATACAAACAATCCAATTTGAACATGCCCAATGTTTTTATTAACAACTGATATATAAAGCACCCTTTCCTCTTTAAACAACTGTACCTATCTGGGTATGTTTATATATGCTACGATTATTATATACACAATATATATAACATCATTCGTACATAATACATATGTCGTTGTTACTGACCAGGGTACATTATTTATATTTAATCTAGTTCCTTTAAGTGTAGACGGGCGTCCTGAATATTCTTTCTAGAACACCTGGTACCTCTTCTCATTCGAGAAGTTTACGTCACTAACTAATGTTTCATCACTTTTTGTGTGTATAAAATTAATAAAATATAACTTAGGTTCAAATATTTTATGTCCACATGGCGTGGGCTAAATATTTAATTACGTTTGAGAAAATTAAAATTAAATCTCAAAATGGGAATAAATTAAGTAGATATATCAATATATTCTGCTTTATCTTTTATAACTGATTACACGTCGTGCCAGTTTCCCAATATATTTTAGATTAGATACGATTTCACCAATATATGTTTTTAGATTTTTACACTGCATTATCAGTTCGGCACAGAACAAAAAACCCCACTGATTTTAGCTAGAGCGGTCGTCCGCATTGGATACATAACAATCCAAGACTGAGAAAATGATTGAAGCACATTAAATTTGAATCATATAGCATAATACTGAAGATTAAACAGTCAGTGATTTCTGAGTGTACAGTGTTCCATTATATCGAATAGCCAAGCCTTGCTTATCTCGAAAACTCTTACCACGAAAAGACAATCACACGCCATAACAACCTTAAAATACTTTTTTTCATGGTAGATCAAAGTAGATTTGACGCGGTAACTGAATCCAACAATAACTTAAATTTGTTTATAAACCGGGACCAGAGACCAGAACCCGTTATATGGTTCTGATGCTCGATTTTCAATTGCCATACTTTATTCCGCTAAGGGTTGGCATCACGGTTGATTTTTTTATATTAGGGTTTAATAGCTTCAGCATCTAATATTTAATCGAGCATGTAATTTTGGGTAGGTGCGCAGACGACATTTCCGAAAGGGTCAACTTGACATTAATAAAATCGAATACAAATTTGACCTAATATAGAATAATATGTAAACGTGAAGCAGAAATGCTGTTCTGAAAGGGTGTTCTCTCTACGCTGCTTCTGTTTTGTTTTGATTCGGATTGGGTGGGGGTTAGGGTAATCTTTCAGAACATAGACCGTCAAAATCCCAACAGAACCGCACTATTTGGTAAAATTACAGAAAACAATATGTTGTTCATTTGTTTATATTATACTTATGTTTTCAACTTAACTTAGTTGGCTGAAACTGAGCACATACATTTGGAACAGCCCAAGGAAGCACATTAAAGTGCACAAGTAAATCATAGTCTGTATTACGTAGACTATTGTGGAAGCCATTCGCTTGTACACGTCAAAATAAGCAGTGGAAAATTTTCATTAAAGCCGTTTTAAAGAGCAAAGGTCAACACGGGAAGAAGTAATAATTCTGTGTCAAGAATTGAAATATTTTGGGAATTTACATGGTTTCGGTAGCAATGGCACATATACCGCGTTTTGTTGGTGTGCGACTCAAGTTGGAACAAGTTATATAAACCTATTTCTGCAGGGTGTTCAAAACATTTCGATGGCAGGGACATGGAAAATCTAGGATCCCTCTGTATGACTATATAAAGACAAATGAAACTGCTTAGAACATTTACAATGGTGCCTAAAATTGATGCATGTTTCTGATTTTTATTATGGTTTGTCCGAATAATTCCACCAACGTTTATTGCTTTCATTATTATATCATATACCTGAAGCAATTATACAAAATGACTGTCTCAACTCGTTCGTTCGTTCGTTCGTTAGATGGGGTTAACGTCCGCTTACACCGAAGGTGATATCGCAGACAAACGTCTCAAAAAGAAACTTGCTAGTCGAACGAATCGTGATTGAGAGGTAAGTCTAGAACATGGAAACAATGTGATGATGGAAAATGTAATTCGCAGCCTCCACGCCCCCACGCAGTCGTGCCTTTTGAAAAACAGTGTCTGGTCATATCCATTCTTCTTAGGAATTATTGTCGAATGCTTCTCATTGGTCTATCTAGTTCACTGTCAATCTGATTAAAATGCAGATCTATATTTCGTTTCGTTTTTTTTATACTTTCGATGGCCTACACTACATGAAGATCTGACAGGTTAGAGCCATAGGTCACGTCAGGGGTCAAAAGACCGACTTATGACCCTATGATGTCAGACATTTGATTAACCAATCAGCGCTGATGTTACTATATTATACTGGATTACCCACAGTTCCGTGCAAAACACGCCTAAAGCTCGCCGTGACAGACCGTTTCATTGGCTTATCTCTGACACCATTCAGAACACGAGTTAAATAACAACTCTTCCAGATCCAAGTGTAGTAAAGACAAGTAAAACGAAATTTTGAACTATAAAAACGAAACGAAATAGGATCTGTGTTTTAACCAGATTGGTTCACTGTCCAACCAATCAAAATGCAAAATCAGTCTCGATCATTTTGTCTCAAAACTCTTTGCGGTTGCCATATTATAGGTTGTGTGCACTGATCAGCAGTGAATATTCGCTAAGCTGCTACAATCACTGATAGGTTGACATCGGTGCGGCTTAATAAGCCCCCAATATTAACTTTTTCCTTCTGCAAATTATATCCTAGAACATTTTTTTAGCATTAAAATAATAAATAAAGGTGTTTGAAGTATATGTAAGTAAAAATATGTCCTCTTTAGTACAAATGGGTAAAATGAGTAAAAGGCACCATTCTGCCCGGACCAGTAACGTCTTATGTAAACAATAATTGACGCCGCGTGATGTGACGTGGCGTGTTGAAAGCAGTCATCTTTTACAGAGTTATTAGAAGACTTTCGTAATCCTCTGTGAAACAGACTGATATTGTCATTGCATGAATATTAAAAAGACACGAAATGCTTTTTTTGTGAAATCTAAAATCGCCAAATTTCTTTAAAGAATATTTTTATTAAGGACATTTTTTTATAAAACATAATACATTCACTTATCTAATGCGAGATATCAGTGTATTTAGCGAAAGCCGCGTTTAGAGAATTTTCCTTTTTGAAAGAGCAGCCAATATGTTTCATAATCTCGAGTCTTATGGCTAGTGTTTTCCATACCACAGAAGCCACACTGGCGTGCACATAAAAGAACCCTTGGAAATTTCCACTAGTGCCACTGTCCGGGCAAAATTTCCCTTATAGCACACTGTATGGCGTATGACCGTCTTCATTAGACCAGTCGGAGCAGAACAGTGGGACGTTTAACCCCATTTCATTTCGTTTCATTTTACTGAAGCCATCAACATCAAAGGGGTTGATGAAAATAATTTCCAAGCTCGATTTAAGAAGTACATGCTGTTAACATAACAAGATCATTCACGATAAATAACTCAGTTCGTTGATATTCCATTTCAAAATCATGAAAAATATTTTAAAAAATGTATCAAACTGATAAACAGGCTGTTTGAGAGAAAATACTACCGAGGTCTATCTTAGATATTGGATTTGGGGTTTTTACATCTATCGATCAATAGGGCCATTCGACATAAAACATGATCATTTGAAAAGTGAAACTGTTGAGCAAAACAAATACCATATCACATCCTATATCTGTAACAAGTATATACCTCGCGCTGCATTTATGCGAGTGTCTAAAAGTAAATAAAACTCAAAATGAAAAACAAGTTGTTGTTATATATATATATTGTGTTTGAAAGATGTAAAACGGATTAGAACCGCATAACAAAATTAAATAGTATACTATTGTATTTAATATGGTGGCCATTAAGAGTGGAGATCTGTTTTCAAAGTAGATAGTTCTCTGTGTGCAGAATGGTGTAAAGTTAACACAATAAGTCACGTGCCATGCTCTAGTCTATATAATGATGATTTTGTGTTACAGATCACATTTACTACATCGGTTTATTTTCTGATTTATTACATAATAAACGTATGTTTGTTTAATGTTGTTTTTTTTACGGTTGACTGGTCGAAGAATGACGATTGGAGACACAATTTTCCGAACTCGAAGTAAATATAAACTTTCCGTCCATGTACATTAAAAGGTAGCCTTGCTGTAAACAGCATGTTCGTCAAATACCGAAAGTTATGGTCATCTAATGTTCTCATTAATTTTCTTTTGATTTTATGCCGCCATCTTCTTTTTCTATTAAGAACTTTAGGTCGCCATTTTGTTTCTTTGTTACAAATAATTATATCCTGCTTTCAACATCTGAAATAAAAATCGCTATCTGACGATTTTTCCAGAATAAATTTGTTCTCGTTGTAAAGATTACACATTAAGCCGCCATCTTGAATTACAATACTATATACTTTACAGTTGGACTGTTGGCATAGAATCGAACAACTTGTTTTGGTCGGAATCGAACTGGTGACGTAAGATGTTCCATTTAGAGTATAACCTTCGACCCGGCAGAATACGCCCATGAATCCTGATCGACCCAAGACTTCGACCTCACAAAGGGTTAATATTCCCGTGTCCCGTTGATTCTTGACTGTGATCGACGTCAAAAGTAATGGCGTCGTACTGGAACTGTGTTCGCATAAATACAGCAGTGTAGAGTTAGCTTCGGGAACCTGTCCATACTCTCTATAACATGTTATACGATTATATTCTGAATCAAAAACCTCAATCGTAAAATCATGTAATATGTACCCAAGCCCTGAAAAGAATTTTAATCGAAAATTAGACAATCATAACTGACACATGTTGAAGAAAGAGCAAACTGGTTAATCCCGGTGAACTTTCTCTCGGCCAACACGGGAACTCCAAGTTAGCGGACCAACGTCTTATTCACTGGGCCACCGTGACTCCGCACAAATTAAAATGATAGGATAACACTCGTCGACACGTCCGGTTAGATGTAGGATAAACCAATTTTAATGTGTGCCAAATCGTCCAATGTCACTCAATGACTACATATTATGGATATTCATAAGTGGAGTCAGTGGCGGCGCCAGCCGTCGGTGATTGGAGGGGCAAAGCTGGGGCAAAGTCCAAGGTTAAGGGGGCAAAGGCACGAGCTTCAACTAGGGGTAGGGGGCCTCCCGCAGAAAATTTTGAAAAACAGGTTGCCGGAAATGCAGCCTGGCAGTATTTCAGGCACTGATCGATGAGGTGAAGTGTCAAACGAACGGACTTGCGAATCACGACGAAGCCCACTCAAGAGCGTCAAAGTAGGGAGTCCTCCCCCAGAAAATTTTGAAAAATAGACTGCCGGAAATGCTGTCTTACAGTATTCTGTCAGGCACCGATCGTCGAGATAAATAGATCTGACCAGATACCGTCCGTCGCCTGATCACTAGTTTATCCGACTAGAGAACAGAATGTCAAACGAACGGACTTGCGAACCTCAACGAATTCCCCTTGTGAGCGCCAAAGTAGCGAGTCCATTAAGGACCTCGCCAAGAAAATTTTGAAAAATAGACTGTCGGAAATGCTCTACAACATGCAAGTTTATGACTGAGTGGGGATGTGGGATTTATTCACCGTAGAAGGTATTGATTACCGAAACGTATCACAAATACTTTTTTTTATTTTCTAAAATTATTGGGGAGAGGCAAACAGAGGGCAGACCATAATAATGGGGGGGGGGGGGCAAATGCCCCTCCTTGCCCCCCCCCCCCTGGCGCCGCCACTGAGTGGAGTAAGTGATGTAATAAGTAAATAAGAGAAGTGTGTAAATAAATAAGACAAATAACACAAAATCGGGCATAGTTTGGTCGTTAAAAGTCCACTTTCAGAGTATTTCATGAAGACAAAAACATAAATATAGCTAATCATTATGATAAATAAATTCTAGGATGTTAGAAAATATATTTCATATAAAAAACAGTATGGTTGCTGAAAGCATCCATTTAAATCGTCGTGTTTCCAGATAAAACGCGACTTTTAATTGTACTTATTTATCCGGAACTCGCGACTATAAAAACACAAGAGTCGCAGTTAAGGGGGTTGGGTGACGTAGTTTCCTAGAGTGTCGCGCTTCGAGCTCTAGCTGACCGGTCACCTCTGGCTTGTGGTGTGACCGTATGTGGTTTGGGGATAGGTGCACCTTCTCAACCCCGTGGGTTTACTCCGGGTACCCCCACAACATAGATCCCTGCGCGTGCTCTAAAATAATAAAAACAAGATTTGTCTGCCATATCACCCTCGGTGGAAGCGGACGTTAAACACTACTAGATGTTATGCTAGTATGACGAAAAGGGAGTGTTACGATACACCTCCTTTTTCGGCGACCTGTTCATTGCTCTGGCTCGGAAGTTAGCTACATGCGCAATGGCTACTAACATATTTTACTTCTTGTTAGAAAATCAGAATGGAGGAGAATTTGGATGATTTGGGACTTTCGATCGTGATATATGACAAAGCGGTAAATTAAAATTTATTAGTGTTACAGACACTTTCAAAACCTGAAAATAGCCATTGCGCGTTTCATTTTCAGAGACGCGAGTCGCCGTTAGGCCAGCACGAAGAAAAAAGGGACGATGGGCGACTTTATCGTCGTAGTGGCGTGTGGGCAACCCGCGACTATCAAAACACGATATTCGCCGTTATGCCAGAGCGACGAAAATGTCGACAAAAAAGCGCCGATGTTGTGACATACAAGCTAACAGAGTAAACTTACCTAAATGACTAGTTGTAATGACGACACCATGTATAAAAAATGTGTCAGGAAATATGAACTGGTATCCAGCCTCTGGTTGACCACTATCTTTATCCGATCTGTAACACGTGTCAGAACTATCGTCATATCCATACTCGCTTCTGCCATCCATTATAGTAGATTCAGATGTACCATCGATTAGTGATGCTTCAGACGAAATATCCCAAATCATCTCTAAAATGAAATAAAATAAGTTTGTAAAATAATGTGGCGCACAACCATCTCTTAAATGATATAAAATAAGTTTGTAAAATAATATGGCGCACAATTTGATGAGGTCTAGCTCAGACAGCTTCTACAAGCCAGTTGACTATTAATGTTAATATTATATCAGACGCACCCAATGCTTTAGAAGGCTAATGTGTTCATTTTTGTTTGTTAAGTTTATAAGAAGAAATCATACGTTACGATTGTTCAATTTTTAATAATTTTTGGACCAATGGCGGGGGGCTGTGGTGTGTTTGTTTTTTTACGGGAAATGGGATAATGATGATAACCATTGATTTAGAGCACTGTGCATCTCTAGCACATACTTATTGACTTTATTCCTGCCCGCGTTTCATTGTGCCAATAATTATATTTCAGCTGCATTGTGCCTCGCCAGAATTTCCAGTCGAATCAGTGGTACATTATCATAGCGTCCCGGTATAATAAACTTTGAATATTCAAGTAACTTAAATCTACATGTATTTGTGGCACCCACCACTTTGGGAAATTCTACATACGCCACTATAACTAACGGCGTCCTCGCTCTACTCTGAATATTTTTACCTCACTAATATAAGTACGCATATTGTTGTGACCTTCGATAACTTCAAAGGATCTATGGTCTTTAAGATTAACCACATAACAAATTCTCATCATTTGGGACACACCATAGTGGTCCTAATGGAGATTATGCTTGGGATTTCTGTTCTCTTCTGAGACTTGACACATTATTTGCAAAATACAATTTATTTGAAGTGACATTTCGACTTGTATGGATAACCTCTTTTTTGGTTATTTGAGTATACAAATTTAGCACCATCGGTGCTAAACAGGAATCAAACTCCGTCAATACAAAATGACATACGAATATCTTGTGGACTTCTATTAAATAGGGGGGTTGGATGGCTGAATGGTTAGCATGCGCGCGCTGTATCATAAAGTCTGTCACTGAGTCGACTGGCGTGGTTTCGAATCCCCGGTTGTACGTGACAAGGAGTAGGGTCGCCTGTCCAACCTCGTGGGTTTTCTCCGGGTCCTCCGGTTTCCTTCCACTGCTAAAGACCCCTATGCGCAAGCCAATTATTGAAATAAAATTAAACCATATTATGTTAGTCTCGAAATGACCTAGTTTGTGTCGAGTGGACGTTAAACCCCATTTTTTTTCTCTCTCTCTCTATTAAATAGTTGTACTTTCTATTTCAAAATCAGCACACTGAGTAGAATTTGCTTTTAAGAATGTAAGGATCGCTTCAGTTTTAACCTAAATTATCTTTACATGCATAATTCATTTTTTAAAATGAAGTGGGTATGAATGTGTCGAGAGGGTGCTGTTGGTACTGGTGTGTACCCGACAACGTTCGGCTGTCTCCGAATATCTTGGATTTTCCCAACTTCGTTTTAAAAATACAGGAAAGTTATACTTACTACAAATAACTTTTTGATTGAGAATAATCCAAAATACAAAACACTGTATTGCTATATTCCTCATTTTCTTTGGTTAAAATAAAATATAAACTTTAAATAAATTTAGTCGCAAAAGTTAAAAGATGTCCTTTCATTCACAGAGCTTCAGTTAAACTGACAATAAAATTATTGGAAAATCTTTCCACTAGGAAACACGACAAAGCACTGAAACTGTTTGTATTTATTTAAAGTGACTGTGACTTCATCGTAAATTTTGTATTAAGTTTCTCGGTATGTCTGTCTGTTTTACAGAGGAACGGGTGAGATTAGATGTTTGTCGTATTACCTTGACATGGGCAGTGATTGAAAACGAGTTAATATGTGTGGAATATCGGCTTTTTTTTTAAAAAAATCAAAAAAATCAAATTCACTACTGTGTAATAGTAATAGTATCAAGAAAGTGGACTAATTGAAATGCCTATGGTGAACCTGTTATTTGACCAATAAGCATATGATTTTCACTTATTTAATATGAATATGTTTGACAAATTATGTAAAATCTATGACGTTGGTATTGTCTTTTAATTTTCAGCGAATAATTAGTCGCTTCTGCGATTTTTTTGAATATGATATGAAATCAATTACATGGATTTTTCTGTTGAACGTCCCAATGCCGCTTTAAATTTTAATGTCAAACGACTATATAATGCTTTCGAGTTACATTAATTATATTGTTTTATTTTCTGATACACCTTCATACACCTAGAAACATAATAAACTATTTCTTTTTTATCTTTGTTGTTTCTATTGGTTCTGGCGCTTGACTCATCACTTAGAACGCAAAGATCGAAGTCTGGAAATTACACCAAAGGGACTATACTCTTAATTAGTCATGTTTATTTATATAAAAATGTTTTTAACATTATTAGATTACCAAATTGATCCTAAAGCCCGTTTTCCATGTAATGATCCTAATTACATTGCATTAGACCGACCTTTTCGGCGCCGAAAAGGCACGCGGAAACGCCGAGAAAACGCGTATTGCTACATGGAAAACAGGCCTTATGGTGACAGATCGTCGTGTTTTCAGATGTAATGCGATAGTCGCTTTTAAAGTCCCGGTGCGCCAATTCAATTTAAGCAATATGAATCACCTGTAAAACTACAATATTGCGAAAGACGAATCTCTAATAGGAATATCAGTCCAATATCGGTTCAATTCAGTTCAGCATTTACAAATATATATATGTGTAATTGAAGTTTCCTCGATTATGTTGTTCGCTAGGCAATAGACCTGCCCCATTTTGTTGTCCACGAAAACTAAGAGATAGGACTGTTTTAATTACAATTAACTGTGTTCGAGCAGGGTATAGTAGCAACTGGGAGCTCTAGAACTTTAAGTCTGTTCACAATTTTCCCCGTCCTGCAATTAGACAGGGGGGCAACGTACTTAAAACGAAATTGGACGTAGTATGAACGGACTTTCCGTACTATGAACGGAACTGCCGTACTTCGACCCTACTATATGGGACGTGTTACAACGTGACGTGGCCGAGCATCAATTAGCAGTACTCTATTTATTTTATTTTATTTCGTGGGGGTGGGTGATTTTTTTTTAGTTTTAGTTATTCTTATTGTACATCATATATTTTTACTAGTATTGAATTTGTAGTTTTGCAGAGCTGTTACAAATTCATTTGATGGAGAATAAAACCATGTCTATATTTAGCCTTTTTTGCATAATTTAAAAACCAATAATTTATACTTCATTACTTTTTAATGTTACGGCATGCAATTATATAAAAAAAAAACCTTTCATATTTAGTGTGTTCATTTCTTTCTTTCTATAATTAAATGGAGAGAGTTCAGTGGAACCAACTTCTAAGCTCTTTTAGTTTATGAATGGTTGTAGATGTTGGCATCATAGCCTACTGACGTCCACAACCACCCACAGCTATACACATGAATTTGTAATCTGCATCTATAACAAGGCCATTATTACTATTGAACAGAAGCCTCTGTAGTTGTGGTAGGCTACATGGTTGCAGTCTTGAGAGACTTTCTAATGACTATATGTTTCCCACCCTAGGGCGATTCTCAAGACGTTGTAGAAGGACTCGAATATTCGTGCCGAACACTAATTTATATTCATTTGTTTCTGTGTTTACTGTAATTTACAATCAGTTAAGCTCGACAAAATACGCTGAGTCCAAATTTCAGTCTACACCGGTAGTATTCTCCTGTGGGGTATGTTTAGCCCCTTTCATCTTGCAAATAACACTCAAGAGCATTCTGGCACGCGATTCGTGTGCCAATGTTAACATTTTCATTTTGTCTTAAATATTGGTTATCAGAAACCTATATTTTCATCAACATAGAAGGGGAGATAACTACATTTAAGCAAGTAGATATCTGTAGACCACCATAATTTTATGTTCCACCCCACTTTAATGTCATGTATAGCTCTGCCCGGTTCATGCTGTAAATTCGAGAGAGAGAGAGAGAGAGAGAGAGAGGGGGGGGGGGCATGCTTAGTTATGAGACAAGTTTCAATATAAGATGGTTTTAGCATGGCTCTCTACATTGGTAGCCGCGATGGAGAGAGAGAGAGAGAGAGAGAGAGAGAGAGGGGGGTTTAACTTCCACTCGACACAAACTAGGTCATTTAGGGCCTGACACATGGTTCAATTTTATTTCAATAATTCGCTTGCGCCTAGGAGGTCTTTAGCGCAGTGGGAGGAAACCGGAGGACACGGAAAAAAAACACGAGGTTGGACAGGCGACCCTACTCCCGACACGTACAACCGGGAAATCGAAATCACGCCAGTTGACTCAATGACAGACCTTATGATACAGGGCGCACGCGCTAACCATTCGGCCATCCAACCAGCGCTGGATTCTAGATAAACAAAAACAAACTATGTCATTTAAAATGGTGAGAGGAGGGGGTGGGGCGGGTGAACGGTGAAATCAAAATTGGTACGTTTTTACTGTAAAGTTTACTAAGAGAATTGGGGGTATGGGAAAGGTGTCACGGTCGTACTGTGCTTTAAATCCTTTATCAATCAGCAGATGGTGGCATGGGATGGGCATTCAAAGCGCGAGATAATGATATATAGACATCACAATTAATTGCATCAATGAAATTGAATCTTGTTCATAATAAAAATTGGATTTCTCTCTTTAAAAAGTTCAGTGTACTTATGTAATTTGGAGAATGGCATCATTATGTTTTTATGTAGCTTCTGAGTTTGTCAAAGTGACGCTCGAGAAAGATTCTAGGCATTCTGATCCGACTTCCGAAAATGACAATATACATGTACCGTACGTGATATCATTTAAAATTATGTAGGACTAGGCCTACATGCTTATTTTCTTGGTGGGAGATTTAATATGTAGCCCACTTCCCTCTTGAAGAGTTATATTAGAAGCACAAATTTAGATACCACACGTAGACAAGTAGGCCTAATGTGCGAATTTGTCGTAAGTCAGCTACATGTATATGCCTACCAAATTCTACGGTCTGGTAATTTGTATATTTTTTTTAAAATGTTGGTAAAAAAAAGTGCAACGCTGCCCTGACAAAACTTTGGCTCGATCATCCGTACTTTATTTTCGTCTAATTAAAGCATTATTGGGTTCGTCATGATTTGTGTGATTTGTCTGCGGGCGTTAAAAATGCTATTTCATTTCTTCTTCTTCTTCTCTCGGATGATGATGGTTAGTTGTATTTTACGTCCGCTTCCACCGAGGTGATATCGCAGGTCACAAGGAAGCTATTTCACACACACATATTTGTATGATAAAAAACATGTAGTCTAGGTTATCATACGATAATTTCAATAAAGAAACCTGCAGGGTCCTGAAAACCAAGAGTACATGTAACCAAATATTTTTATCATGTGACCAACCACGTGGTTAATTTGGCGGGAGATGTGGCGTCTTTGGGGTTATACAGGTCACTAAAACTAAAGATCAAGAATGGCTACTTCAACTTATGAAGAACTTAGACGTAAAAACATCGAAGACAACAAGAGGATTTTAGCACAACTAGGTCTTGTGAACCCGGTGAGTTGATAGGAGTAAATTTTTAGTTGTGATATGTTTCATTAATTAGCCATTTTTAACGATAAATGTGTTTATCAACAGAGACACGTGTGTTTGTTAATTGAATCTTTAGCCCACATACTTCAATATTTGATAAAATATACCGTTTTGTATGCCAAATTTTCATTTTTAATTTACATTATGCCTTCCAAACAAGCGCAATGGTGCGGGATGGTGATGACTAGTCATCTTGTTACTTTTACTGTCCTGTCTTCATTTGCCCAGTCAGAGCAGAACAGACTAGGTTTTTAAAACAACACTTTGACTTGGTTTCACTTTTTCTGTCAGAAACCTGTTTTCAGATTTTTCCACTTTTTCATCCACTCAGTACATTAACATAGTCATAACAATCGTGGGGGGTTGGATGGCCGAATGGTAAGCACGCACGCGCTGTATCATAAGGCCTGTCATTAAGTCAACTGGCGTGGTTTCGAATCACCGGTTGCACGTGACAAGGAGTACACTAGGGTCGCCTGTCCAACCTCGTGGGTTTTCTCCGGGTCCTCCGGTTTCCTCCCACTGTTAATAGTGTTAAAGACCCCTACGCGCAAGCGATTAATCAATAATGGAAATAAAATTGAACCATATGTTAGTCCTGAAATGACCTAGTTTGTGTCAAGTGGACGTTAAACCCCATTTCTCTCTCTCTCAATCTCATAACAATCGTAAATTTCTGAATATAGATTAAAATAAATCAAGTTTTTGAGAACTTATCGTATTACTTATTTAAAGTACTATTACTATCACTACACAACTCGGATAAAATCTTACATAAAATTGATAAAATACATTTAAATTTTTTTTTGTACTCATTCACAGTTTCGTCCTATTCAAAAAGTTGTTAAGAAGGGAGTCAGAAAAGCTACTCCGTTACAAAATGTTCTCCCACGACCAAAAACTAAGAAAAGACCGGTTACAGATATTGAAGAAGATTTAGAAAATTGTGGATCTTTAAGAGAGGGTCGTAGAAAGTCTGCAAGAATTCAAGGAAAGGTAAGTTATATACAGGTACTAGGATATAGCTTTGCTAATAAATTGGATTGAAATTAAGTAAATGAAATTAGTATGTTAGTGCCTTGATATTAAAAGGTACTGTAGGCCTAGAAAAATCGATCGCTAACTGAAACCTACCAAATAAATGGTGTTCTATAAAGAACACAAATCAGTATCCAGTTTTCGTATTGAAGGAGAGCTGTTATTCGTCTTCACAGAAACCCAGACAGAGATTTTAGTCCAGGTGACCCTGTCCCAAAATACAGTCAAGTGATCTTTTCTTGATCATTATTCATTCTAAATTGCATCTTAAGGCATCAAGTTATGTATATAGACAATATCAACTATCAGTATTTAATGTCGTAGCCTTCTCAACTATCAGTATCAATTGTAGCTGTCTTAACTATCAATATCTATTATTATAGCCGTCAAAAGTAAAAGACGATGAGTACATACCAGATGAAGATGAAGAATCTGACGAAGAAGATGAAAATGGGCGTAAAATTAAACGAAGAAAAACTACAACAGCTACTCATGTTAAAGTTCCTGCCAACAGACCTAATTTCTATGGTGCTGTTGAAGGTGAAATTTTTCTACACCCTTCCAAAAAGTATATTTGTGATAATTTTGATCACGTATACAAATTTAAATCATTGTGATTTGCACGTCCAAACCCAACTGCATGAACCTGTATAATCTAGGACGGTTCCGTTAATTACAATCCCATGTATTTTGTAGATGGGACTGGGTGGCCATATAGATCATAATATAAGTTATTTTATCTGTGCAACTCAACGGTTCGATCATAGGTTTGTATGTCAAAAAGAGGGGAGTTTCCAACCTAACCTGCTGGGTCTTCTCCAGTTTTCTCTCACCTCTAAAGCCAAATATTGTTGAAGAATTTTTCCGGCGTGGTTCCCCCTTGTCAGTGATGCAGGACGGAGGGCCTGACAAGGATAGCTGTCTAGTCCTTCGGATGAGACGAAAAACCGAGGTCCCGTGTATACATTGGAATGCACGTAAAAGATCCCTTGGCAGTTGGAATTCGATATAAGAGTAGGCCGTTGTGCCGCTGTCCGGGCAAAATTTCCCTCATAGCACACTGTATGGCGTATGCCCGTCTTCATTAGCCCAGGTTAGGAGCAGAACAGTATGACATTAAACTCCATTTCATTTCATTTTGTTGAAGAAAACCAGGGACTGTTAAAATTGTTTTTGTGACACTTTTTGGGACATAATAACTGAGATAGAATTTTCAAACCTTGTGTAGATGTTTATTTAGGGAATGTCTTGACTGTGTTCGATGATGAACATTGTCGGCTTATACTAAGCATAGCCAATCAATTTGATATGTTGATAATTTATAACGAAATAACTTGAATTCTGATTGAGGTACGAAGTTCAGACTTGTTTTTAAATGATCTTTTTTGCTTCTGCTAAGCAGGGATAAGAAATTTGATTTGTTGTAGCTTTGAAATGTGATAACTTTGATTCTAATTAAAATGGAGCAATAATTCTTGATATGCAGTTTCATTAGATGAATGTCTAGACTGTTGGCATTTGGAAATAAAAATAAACAATGTGTTAACCCCATTTTGTTTTCTTGTAGGTGTTGATGTAGGAACTATTTGGTTAACGAGAATGGAATGTTGTCGAGATGGTGTGCACAGGTATTATGTAATCTTTATAGAAAATAACTACTACAAAATTGTATAAATAAGATATGGTCCTGAAACGTATACAAAAAGGCGACACTCTGGCGCATATCCAAGCTAGTAGAATTTCTCCTGGTTGTCTAGTTTCTTCCTACTGCCAAAGACCCCTGCACGCAAGCATATTATTGAAATATAATGCAAAAAGATGATATCTTGGCACAATCCAAGGTAGAAGAATTTCTCCGGGTTGTCCGTTTTTTTCCCACTGCCAAATGCCCCTGCACAAGCAAATTATTGAAATATAATTGAACCATATGTAAGTCTCGAAATTCTAGAAGAAGACTTTTGAAAAATAAGTGTACATTTTTATTATTCGATTTATATAGCGCTTCATTACACATGACTGTTTATACATGCATTTTTTGTTAAAATTTTTGATGTTATAATGACAACATTTGAAAATCTGTGGGTTTTATTCATCATATACTACACATTGACAAAGGAGAGTGAAAGAGAAATGGGGTTTAACGTCCACTCGACACAAACTAGGTCATTTTGGGACCAACACATGGTTAAATTTTATTTCAATAATTCGCTTGTGCGTAGGGGTCTTTAGAAGTGGGAGGAAACCGAAGGACCCGGAGAAAACCCACAAGGTTGGACAGGTGACCCTACTCCTTGTAACATACGCTGGGGAATCGAAACCCCACCAGTTGACTGAATGACAGACCTTATGATACAGCGCGCACGTGCTAACCATTCGACCATCCAACACCCCCACATTGGCAAAGGAAATCTGATAAACATTGAGTGACTCTTAAAAATGAATGAATTCATTGCACATTAATAAATATTTCTGGTGACTTTATCACAAATTCTAAAAAAAAATTTAAGATCTATAGTTTTGAATTTAAAATTTGTAGGCCTCCTAGATTCATAAAAATGTATTACAATAATCACTTCTAAAATCATTTTAGACCTCCTGTTTCCGGTATCCATGGAGGTGAAAATGGAACATATTCTATTGCTTTATCGGGTGGATACGAGGATGATATTGACCTCGGGGAATGCTTTACATACACAGGAGAGGGAGGAAGAGATCTGAAAGGAACAGTTCAAAAACCAAAGGTTAGGCTTTCAATTGATATATATATATATATGTATGGTTTATTACTTTTAGACCTACGGTTGCGGGTATCCATGGTGGTGAAAATGGAACCTATTCCATAGCTCTGTCTGGTGGATATGAGGATGATATCGACCTTGGGGAATGTTTTACTTATACTGGTGAGGGAGGAAGAGACTTAAAAGGAACTGTTGATAAACCGAAGGTTTGAAAATTCAAAGATCAATTAAATGGCTAGATAGTCCAAACTGTATAAATGTTATTCGGGCTTTTACTTCATGACTGTGATGCTTAAAAGATGACTTCTCTCATACAAAATGTATGAATTAATGATATCATTTGGACTAGAAACATATTCAAACTAATTTATTTGTCAAAAGCTTTCTTCAAATCCCTCTCAAAACATTTTATTGAAAATATCTACACTATAAATACTTTTTAGTTTGTACTGGACTTTCTTTATTAATAGTAAGTGTAGGGGGACTGCACCACACATAATTTACACAAAAACAAATATACGGACAAGACATATTACGCAGAAATCACAAACAAATGCACAATTCAAATAAAATATAAAAAATCTTTATTCAAAAGTTTTAGTTCAAATAAGAATTCTTAGTTTGTACTGGGCGTTCCTTAAGTATAAAAAATCTAACGCATAATTGTTGAAAAGAGCATATTTACTTTATTCGGAAGTTTTAGTTCAAATAATTCATCAGGTTGGACATACATGAATACAGAAAAAAATCCAAAAATAAAATTGATTCATTGGTTGCCTATGGAGAGGAATTTTTATTTTTCATTGAAATATTGCATGTAAATAATATTTTATAACTTATTTCAGAATCTTCGAACAGCACCACAGTCTCGAGACCAGACATTAACACGTGGTAATTTAGCTTTAAGTCGTAATGTTGAGACAGGAAATCCAGTTCGAGTGATACGTGGATATAAATTAAGAAGTCAGTTTGCTCCAGATGAAGGTTACAGATATGATGGTATGTATCATTTTAATTTGCCAATTATTTTAAAATTTCAGTTTTGTCATGTTTAGTTTAATGTCTTGTCAACATCAAAGACAATGCAAGATGGGAGAATTGTTTGGATAAAAGCGTATCGGCCTACTCTTCTTTAATTAACACTGTTTAGGGTTCTTTCACTTGCACAAAAATGTCTACAGAGGTAGACATCGGTTCCTGAAATAACCTGAATTGACATAAAACCTGTTTCAATCCCCAGCGGCAATACTATATACCGGGAAACACACTAAATACCGGAAAATACCCTAAATAGGTAACCCGGAGCCTGGTCCTCTGTGTGCCTGGGTTAGGGTTAGTTTCCGATTTATAGTATAGCCCTTCTCCGGGTTACCTATTTAGGGTGTTTTCCGGTATTTAGTGTTTTTCCGGTGTTTTCCGGTATTCAGTATAACATGGTGTTTTCCGGTGTTTTTCGGTATATAGTATAGCCCATCCCTTCTGTTGTAAATTGACTACACATAATTTATTCTCTATATAAATTGGTTTCAAGGAGGTAATCTCTGTATTTATTATTTAACATATTGTATTTTAAACAGGATTATACACTGTAGAGAAATGTTGGTTTACCACTGGTATGTCTGGTTATGGTGTGTGGAAGTTTGCATTACAGAGATGTAAAGACCAGGCTTCACCTCCTTGGGATATAACTCAGGTTATTAGTTTTATTTGCTCATTTCTGGCTGTGTATTGTCCTTTGTCCTAGATCCAATTGACTTGAAATTTATACACAGTGTTAAAGTTAATGCGACAAAGAAGCCTATTGATTTGATCAATTTGAAATTTACACGCTGAGATGAAGAATCCTATTAATTTCTGATACTGTCAGATTTATCATCGTTTTTTTCCATTGATCATTTCTTGTAATATTTATATTACAGGATGAGAAAGAAATTGGAAAGGAATCCCCCAAAAAGGAGAAGAAGTCAAAGAAGGTTGTTGCAGAGGTGGACACAAAAGCAACAAAAGAATCTGCAGGAAAGTTATTGCGAAGTGATTCTAAAGATTCCACGCTTTCAAAAGCTGATTCTGGAATCGAATCTGATTGTTGTTCTGTTGCTGGTAACCAAAGTTAAATGTTTTTCTTAGGCATGGTTTATTTGAGTAGTGCTGTAATAATTGTAGACACACTAAATTAGATTTGTCTTTCTTGTGCTTTTAAAAGGAGAACATTATTTTTAAGTTTGTCATGCCCTTTGCAATAAGTAATTACAACTTGCCGACTCAAGTTTTATTTTTGTAGAGATAAATCTTCAAACTGAACTTTTTCATGCCAAAATTTACTCATTGATGGACTTCCAGTTTTCCTTTAAATACCCTTAGAATTAAATATCTGTCGGTCAGGATAAATAAATTCTTTATCACATAAATAAACTGGCCTCAATCTTTTCCACTGATTAAATCAAATCATCACCTGGCTACCCGGATAGTTCAGCCACATGAATAAATACCTGAAAGTGACATAAGTTTATGTATCTTATTAAATAAAATCTTTAGCATATTGGTTGTCGACTGCTTTCCCTGCAATCTTTATCATGCTGGTGGTTCAGTCGCATGAATAAACATACTCAAACTTAGGTTAGATTGAGAGTTTCTCCGGTAGTTTAAATACTTGCGATTCAGTCATATGAATTAACAATCTCAAGGTTGAATTAGGTTATGTATCATCCACATCAAAGTAAAACTGGAATTTCATTACAATGAAAAAAAAAAATGCAGCCTCAACTGTATTTGTTTATTCATATAAAGCTGAAACTTGTGTGTATTGTTGCTGCCTGATAAATAAAATATTTAATATGCCGGTTAATAAGGAGTAATCAGAGTAGAAATAACTATAGAATCTCTTTAGCACATACATCAATTGTAAATAATATATCATTTCATCACAATGTGCTCAGTTCTTCTCACCAAGATCTCAATAGTTTTAACTGCATCATGATCATGAATCCAAATATAGTTTTTCATTAAATAAAATTTGTTGTATAATTATCGATTATAGTTTAGTGCATCTTCTGATCAAATTTAGCCAATGAATAGTATAGTATATAATGTTTTATCAAAACATTCCAGTCAGAAATAAAAATGACAATCCGACTCTAACCATTGTAACATTGAGATTCCATTGTAGATGTGGTATCAAATCGTTAAAGCCTCAAACTTTATAAAACATTGTTTGGTTATTTTGCATGTTATGTTTTTATCATCCTTATTTTTTTAGGTTGAAGAAATAAATAATTTCTAATTGTATAAATTCATTCTATCATTGTTATTAATAGAATTAAATTTTATTTTACAAAAATTAGTTTGTGTTTATGTATTTTAACTTCTTTGGAAGCTTGACCAAATATATTGGTGTTTTAGACCGGAGGCTCAGTGGGGGGTGGGGGTGTCCATCAATTGGGCACAAAACCAGACCCAACTTTTCTATAGTAAAACATTGTGTAGAATACAATGCTGAGTGGTAATCAGTCTCTCATATTCAGGGTCAAATGGGGTCATTTACACTTTCCATAAAAATGTAAACTTGCTAAACTCACCTTTGTTCTTTCTGACCCCGGAGGTCAAGAGGTCAAATTTTCCGTTTTTGCACTAGGGAGATTTAAAACAATAAAATGTCAAGTGTTTTGTGCCCATTTGAATCGAATGGCAATCCCTAGCGTCTGGTTATTCCAGTCTACACCAACAGTATTGATTGTGCATGCTCTCCAGATATGCCGTCACAGTTTGACATGACTTGTGGAATATGTCTAGCCCCGTTCTTCGATTCCCTTGTTACAAATGGCGCTGAAATGCATAATGGTACACAATTCGTCTACCAATGGTAAAATGTTTATTTTGGGTTAAATATTGGATATCAGAAGCCCATCTTTTCCTGGTAAGATCACATCATTAATGTTGATTTAAACTGACAAATAAATCGTGTTTTCAGTGTCAAAGACTTTGGATGATATTGAGTTAAGAGACTTAACTATTTCAAACATGCATTATTCAAGAACTAAATCTGCCTATTGCAGGTTTTTCTTTAGGCCTGAAATGTTACATAAATTATTAGACATTAACTTACCAAGACCATAATTAACTCTCGATGCCATTGGATGGCTCAGATATTTAGTAAATTTTAATATGTTTTGTCTCTGATGAAATAACCGTGACTTTGTATTATAGTAATGACAATCAAGACTAGACAATAATTGTGTCACTGATTATAGCGAGAACTGTCAGCTCTTTATACTTAAGGCCGCTTTAAAAGACACAAGGAGCCAGGTCATTCACAAATATACACCATGAAAAAATTAAAAGCATCCCACATAAATCTGTGCCATGCATAAATTAAAGTGCTTGTGAGAAGTTAATACACATCGCAGTACCAGTTTGAATTGAAAACAAAAGATCAATTATTTTCAAGATGTTTGTAAAGAATTTTATTGCAAAGCATTTTTACTTTTAACATTTATTCCATGGGTTATAAAGACATTCTACTTAAATGCCATGAAGTAGAGATCGATTATATATAATAAAATGTCTTTAGAACTACAAGATTACCTCATTATAACCCTGTTCAATTAAATTTGTACCCTATAAATACTGTAGACAATTCCTCAATCTGATTAAAATATAGTCTATGTTTCGTTTTTTTATACTTTCATTCAATGTCCACTAAATGAAGATCTGAAAGTTGAGGTCGCATTAGGGGTGATATGAGCGGCTTTTGACCCTATGACGTCAGACATTTGATTAACCAACAAGTATTGATGTTTCAAGTGGGTATTTGGAAATACAACTTTTGTTTTGCACCGCATGCCAAGAACTTGCCACGCCACAACAGACCATTTGATTGGCTAATCCCTCACATCAACAAGAACGTGGGTTACATAAGTCTTTCAGATCCTAGTGTAGTAAAACTAAATTTTAAACAACGAAACGAAATAGGATCTGCGTTTTAATCAATCCAAGTGTAGTCGCTGGAACCCAAATATCAGAATTATAGTGAGGTTCTTGTGTAACAACTTTTTAAGCCACAAACTCATCAATATAACAAACAATGATTTTCTCTTCCCAATAGCGCTGTTTTCTAATCTTACTATTATTCATATAAGACATAAAAGCAGTATTCCTGAAATTTGACACAAATTTATGAATGACTCTTAGTTAAAAATCCCTTAATTTGTGAAGCACACAACTTACTTTGATTTAAAATGAGAAATACAGAAAATACATGAAACCTGACTGCCTACTAACATCAATTGTCAGGTCTACAGCCAGATGACTAGTAGTAACTGATAATTACTAACCTTGTTTTGACTATTCAAATCACCATAAACAAAATGGCCAAGAAACCAATAAAAATGGGTCTGGTTACAAATGAGATTATCTTTATATAGAATATATCTAAGTATTTACAATGCCCTGATTAAATGCATATTAACCTATAATACAGCATGCTTTAAATAAATTAATTTGTATTTTACAATATTACCGGTAAGAATGCCACACTTTTAGTAACATAATAATATTTTTATATCTTAAAAAAATACAGATGTGACTTGTAAAATTTGATTTATCTAAGTTTAATATTATTTTATTGAACTGATCCATACTCATTTACATTTTGACCTACAATAAAAATTTGATTTTTAATAAATTTATGAAATATTTGAATTATTTTATTTAGAGTAAATGACAAAAATGCTAAGCTCATGGAGGGAAATGTGACACAATACAAGCCAACAACTTTTACTAATAGACAATAAAAGACATAAACAGTTTATCTATAAAACACTTGTGGAGCATTCTATGTATGATAAAAAGTGTTAGTGAAGTAACTTTTTAGATACCAAACAAGTGGAAACCGGTGATTTAAAAGGAACAGCAGAATCTTCCTCCTACATTACAATACTTATAACAAGATCAAGAATTTATCATCACAACCTATTTTTCCACAAATATAATCTCTTTTTTTTTATCGGTTCACTTAATAAAATAAAGGTGACCTTGGCAGTTCAAGATTTCCTGTCCTCTGACAAACTGACTTGAAAACACATTTGTTCAATTATAAAATTCTATAGTATATGCAGCAGAGCCTGGTGGTAATAAGAGTCCCAGATTCACTGGGACAATATACCTATTCAAATATCCTTTGTTCATAGCAATAATTATCCTTCTGGATGGTTTCATGCAAATTATTCACAAATTAATTAATGTGTGAAATATAATTCTAATAAAATACAATTTATTCTCATTTCATTTTTGAAAATTTTTAACAACAAACTGTGGCCAATCATTTTGTATAATAGTAAACAATCAAATTTTTTAACATAACATTTTATAAACAAATTTTATCAACAATAAATAAATATAGCAATATATATATATTGAATATATTAACAGCGCTATTGGGTTTTACCATATTTATTATAGGCATACAAAATGAACCTGTTTTCAGTAGTCTCTATCATCCAGAAAAATATTCTACGAATATTAGTCTGGACAGGTTGTCAACATTTGAGAAAAATTGGCTAGATAATCCTGTCTTTCACATTATCATAAACAATGTCTAAGGGAGGTAACTCCTCTTAAAACAAGACATGTACGCCCATGAAATTAATTTAAGAATGTCATTTCAAAAAATCCATTTGATTGCATGCGAGTTCAATATCTAACACTTTTAATTTTTTATTGTAAAATTTCTCTCTTCATGGGCCATATCTATGCTTTTAAAATTAATCCTAATTCGTCGTCACGATTCATGTTTGTTTATATTAATGCAAGAATTATGGGATTTATTGTGGGAAGGGGCGCAACTCTTACTAGACTTGGCTAAAGAGACTGGATAATCAACCACATTAAAAACCAAACTCCCGGTTACGCATGGGCAATGGACTTTACGTCAAATATTGACAACCTTCCCAGACACTCGGTATGTTGAAGACTAGGAGGTTCTGGGTGACCGAGACTATGTTTTCAGAAAAATTACTTTTAATTCATTCCAGGAAAAGGATTGTCATGCTTCCATAGAAATTTGTTTTTTTGTATGCCTATATTTTTGAATAATAGATTTAATGCCCTTTTTCTTCCAGGCAGATTCTTTAATATAACAAGAATTATTAAAACAATCAATTAATTGTTTATACATATATAAACTATATACATTATTTACATCCATATTCTATTCTGTCATGACTTCGCCTTTGTAAAAAATATCTGCAATTAAAAGACAATTAAATACATTTAATGAACTAACTTTTCAATGCAAAATTATAAATAAAAATATTAGGCTCAAATTTTATTCAAATTTCAGTTACCAAAGCACAGTATTTTTTCTCAATATAGAAGTCAAAGAAAATATTTAACAGATAGAAAGATTAAGAACATTGACTTACTTTGTGGTAATTTCTAAATGTTTTACTGTCTGTGCGTAAAGCATGACAAAATTCCTGAATTAATTCTGGAGGCAGATTAAGTTTTGGTAAATAATCTGATTGCAGATAGATTATCACTTCTTCTCCCTACAAAAACATTATAGAAATTAATAAATAATTTCTCAGACCCAGGAAATACACAAACTACTTGATAGAGAGATGGAAGAAAACAGGAAAATGAAGTTCATCAAGCAAATCCTAGGCCATTTCTGGACAACCCTAATCACTGACAACTGTGAGACTGATGCTACAATCATATTGAAAACAGGCAAAGAAATAATGTACTAGATCAATTAGAGATTTCAATGAAGTATCACAACTTGAAAATACAAAACAAAAGCTTTTCATCATAAACCATCTTACCCTTTTATCAACAATACTTTTTAAACAGAGAGCACTTTCACCTAAAGCCTGAAATATAGTTATAATCATCATATAAACATACATATACCATGACTAAAGAGTGTTGGTCAAGAAACTTTCACGGGCTTTTCTTGCATGGTTTCCTCTGATATGTATGTAAAAGACAGAGGGAAAAACTGAGGTCCTGTGTACACCGTGGCATGCAGGTAATAGAACATTTATCAGGTGGAATTTGACATGAGAATAGCCTGTCATGCCGCTGTCCGGACAACTTCCCCGCATGACAGAATGCATTGCATGTGCCTGCTTTCCTTTGTCCAGTTGGTGCAGAAAACTAGGAAGTTAAACCAATTTTTATTTCATTTCCATGACTAATATATACAAGTGCAATTAAAATGCACCACTTTTATACCTGATTGATTGTACACTCATTTGAGAGATTCACATTTCTGACTACAGATCAATATTCTGGTTAATCTTGAGATATTCTCATACTTTTCAGTACTTTATATATTCTATAATAGCCACTCATCTATGTATTAAATTATTTCAACTTACTAATGTTGTCTGACCGTCTGTAAGATCAAAGGTTGGTTTTAATGGTGCAAGGAAACAGGCTGGTATAATATTATTATACATAAAATCAGCAAAACCCAATATACCATCATTACCACCTGCAGATAGAAGAAAAATAATATGTTGTTATTATGTATTGTAAATGAAATGAAACGAAATGGGTTTTAACGTCCTATTGTTCTGCTCCGTACTAGGTTAATGAAGATGGGCATACACCATACAATGGGCTATGAGGGCAATTTTGCCCGAATAGCGGCACTACCGCCTACTCTTGTATCGAATTCCAAATGTCAAGGGATCTTTTGCGTGCACACCAATGTTTTTTGTCCCATACGAACGACTAGACAGCTGTCCTTGTCAGGCCCACTGTTCTGCATCATTGACAAGGGAGAACCAGGCCAGAAAATCTGGATGCATTTTTTCGGCCAATGCAGGGATCGAACGAACACCCTACCTTCAGTCTAGCGAGCCAGTGTCTTACCCACCGTGATCCTGTATTATGTATTGTAATACTACCATAGCTATCTGAATACTCTTAGTATCCCTAATCAACCTCTTAAATTTGAAATTTTATCTAAATTTGTGAAACATCTTTTATTTTTCCAAAGTAAGCATTCACTTTATGGTGCTTTGGAATGTTTATAGCTTTACTAGCTACTTTATCAATATCATAATTTATCTTAGATTAATACAATGAAGCACTGCCAAACCAAACAAGCATCAGTCTGTAAAACCAGTTTAAGATTTAAATTAGACTTACCCCAAACTTCTATCAATTTTCTGAATATATTAAAACACATTTTCTGACTCTGAAAAACAATGGAAAAGAGATACACATAAATAGCACAGAACCAAAGTCTTACACCAAGAGTTATCCTTACAGCCCACAATAATGGTAAACATTGGAAAAAATCAATTAAAATCTTGACTAAAGGATATATTTTAACATAACAAAATTGCTCTTTTTGCATTGATTTCCTGAACATAATAATTGCTTCTGCCTCATGTACTCTGATATATAACAATACAACTCCACTAAAAGATTTAACAATGAAAATATCTAACCTGTGGATCTTGAAGTTCCACCGCACCTTGGATTAACGACATCAAAACCTGATCCAAGTTCTGACCAGCTTGTGCCTTTAATACATCAAATACTTGATATGATACAATCGTAGATAGAAACTGAAAGTAGCCTCGTTCTAACATCTTCTTCTCATTGGCTGCTATCTGATCACGTTCATCAGAAGGAGTTGAGATAACTTGGAATATTGTACTTACAAGGGGCATAAATAAACTGTTTAAAAACGGGGTTATGTCCGTCTGTAAAGAGAAGTTTTAATGAAATATAATTACAAGATGAAACAACCACAATAGATGCCATTATGTTAAAACTATTTTACTCTTACTTTTGAAATAGATTAAATTGTGGCATAATAATTTATGTCATCATTCAATTTTCTATTCATTACTATTTTAAGCGCAAATAATAAATTCAACATTTATATATTATTTTAGTCCCCCTTTCTATTTACTAAGAAACTAATTTTAAATAAACTGTAATAGTGGTCTTAAAATATTGAGTTGAAGAGGCATCGCATCCCATTCCATTTTTATAGTTGTGTTTCTTACAACAACTTACCGTGTGAGAGAGAGAAAAATAGGGTTTAACATCCACTCGACAAAAACTAGGTCATATTCGGGACTAACATATGGTTCAATTTCATTTCAATAATTCGCTTGCGCGTAGGGGTCTTTAGCAGCGGAAGGAAACTGCAGGACCCAGAGAAAACCCACGAGGTTGGACAGGCGACCCTACTCCTTGTCCATTTTAAAATTTCTCTATTATATTTATTTGATTAGCATTTTTTTGCATTGCCTGCTGTAATCAGAGAGCAAGAGAGAGAAAGAAATTGGATTTACTATCTATGGTACAATTTTATTTCAATAATTTGCTTGCACACATGGATATTTAGCAGTACAAGAAACCTTAGGAACCAGAGAAAACCCATGAAGTTGGGCAGGCGACCCTACTCTTTGTCATATACAATCTTGGGATTGAAACCACGCCACTAGAATCAATGACAAACCTTATGATCTAAAGTGATACTTTAGACCACTTGACAACCCAACCCTGCAGTACAATAATCATTGATAAAACATTAATATACAAACCTTAAACTTCATAATAAGTTGATTAATTAGGGGAATAAAATCATATAATTCTTTCGTTTCTGGCTGTTTTAACAAATTTTCTAAAGCTATTGGGACAAATGGTAGAATCTCTTCACCTAGACAAACCACCATTCTATGCATATACTGACGTACACCCACATGTAATAACTGTCGATGAACGGGGGTATTTAAGGCATGTAGGAATATTTTAAGTAGTTCTGTAAATGCTTCAATACATCCACACTGTTTCATTGTCTGTTGACTAGAAAATCCTTTACTTGTACGACTGTAAAAAAAATTATATATTGTATTAGAAAATAATTTAAAAAACTGCCCTGTTGTCAAAATATGGTGCATGTTAATTGTTGTTTCACAGATTTCTGTTATGTTCTATGAAGAATACAATATCTATTCAGCAGTTCATGCTCCAGAATTTTTTTTTTTTATAATGAGGAGGGGTTTACATAGCTAAGTACATAACATAAACCCTAACCCTTTTATTTAAAAAAGCAACCCAATATACAATACAGTAAATGAGTTATATACTTATCAGGACAGACTAGACGAAAAGACATACCTTGCTAAAGCCATTGCATTATTTACACATTTAGCGTAGGCCAACTGTTTATCTTCATCATTCTCTTGATATAACTTGGTTAATAAACCTTCAAACTTACTGGCTATAGGTGCCAATAAATTTTTCATTAATTCTTGTTTTTTCTGTAACATAACAAATAAATACAAGTTTTAAGAGAAGGACAACCCAGATCTTACTGAATCTGCTATAAATAGAATGAAAATCAGGTTTGTCTTTTCAACATTACTGACGGAACCGTGAGATAACTGTATTCTGTGTAACTTGCTACTATGTCAACCTGGAACATTCTGGAACCGATCAACGCGAGAATAATACAAGGTAATTAAGAAAAAAACCAGTGTAGAATGAATTTAAATTAAAAGAGTCTAGTGGTCTTACAGTACACTGTACACAGGACCTTTGTTTTCATTCTGTCTGAATGGCAAGACATGAAATAAAGCAATATTAAACAAATGGATTTTGTTTTTTACAATTTAATGATATGTTCGAGAACAGAAACCCCTCTTTAAAAAAAAGTCAGGAATATGTCACAGGTATAACTATATTTTGTAAACTAACCTCTGGAGGAAAATCACTGGCTACTACAAGAACCCCAGCAGTTTCATATATAAATAGCTGATCATCGTCTGATAGCAGATGTTGATAACCATTATCTGGTGTATTTAACGCCAATAAATCCTGGATTCTCTTTAACACATCTTCCAGATATGAATTCATATGTTGTCTGAAAATTGGAATAGATACAATTCTATTTATTCTAGTCTTAATTAATAATTTTAATATTTGTAACAATTAACAAGGTTTAACAACTATAATCTAGGTCCGAAATAAAGTTTTGAAGTGGGTTGGTCTGATGTATTATATAAATTATTGATGAGAAAAAAATCTATATGATCTAATTTTTATTTTGAAATATTATAAAGTCAATTTGTTTACTGAATTTCAATTTGATTTATCTTGAACTGGCTCTATCTGTGGACCTCAAATTTTATATGTTACAGATACTCAATCCACAATGCTAATCAGCATATAAAACTTAATTATTAAATCAACACTCTATATTATTTACCCAAAATGTACTTAAACTTTTTAAAATTGAAATGTCATCTTCGTCTTTTCTTTAAGCAAGTGAAAAATAGACCTTTACCCAATAAAAGATGCCAAAGAATACATTAAATTCATCCACTACGTTCAAACATTTATTGAAGGATGCCTGTCCAGTTGGATATATGATAACTTTGTAAACAAAAATGAATACCAACTCCCAATTTAGAAGTGAGAGATTCTCAAGAAAATTACTTACTTTAAACCCTTGACAAATCTTGAAAATAGATATGATGTCCGGCTTCTAACTTTAGCTGATCTGTTTCGGAATCCACGCTCATCTAGAAATGCCATCTACAAATATATATTTAAATAACAATTAGATGCATGAAAGATGTTTGGTTTGATACACTCTCTACAAATTCATTCAGAATGCACATAATCATAAGGACAATATTGGGAGTTAAAATTAAGGTTTTATTCAGGTCATCTCCTCTATGAAAAATCCTCCACGACAAGCCAAAATATAACAAATTTAGTTGTACCTGTCTAAATGTCTGGTACTACTAATCGCCTGATATTTTGAACTTTTAGCTGAAATTTTACTTAACCATGCATTATGCAAGAGCTAAATCTGCCTATTGCAGATCTTTCTTTAGGTCTGAGTTATCTCAATTATTAATAAGACATTATTTAACTTATCCAGACCATAATCAACTCTCGATGCCATCGTTCACCTGCGATATTTCGTGGATTTTGTGATAGATAATTGAACATAAAAATGGATGATTGAGACTTTGCTTATTACCACAACACTAGTAATGACGATCAAGGCTAACCTAAAATTGAATCCCTAATATCTCTTTATTTAATCTTACCTAATTGAACTTTAAACTCAGAAAAAATACAAATCTGTCCCAGACAAAATGACATGCACTAGAGGAATTTTGACTGACAAAGCCTGAACTTGTATCCGACATGATCTTTGACAGAAGCCGGATTTCCAGGCTTATTCCACTAGTTCTACATTTTTAGACTCATCTGCTTTCCAATGTAATCCTTTTTGGGTACCCCACTAACTTGAGTTTTGTGTTTGCATCCCTCCCATCCCCAATTAAAACAGTATGAGGGCAAACTTGAACTGGTCTGTAAATCATACAAAGCAACAATTGGATAAACAAAAACCTGACTGATCACCTCTTGTATCATTAATGTTTAACATAAGAGAGAGAGAAAGAGAGAGAGAGAGAGAGGGGAATGCGGTTTAACGGTTCAATTTTATTTCAATAATTCGCTTGCGTGTAGGGGTCTTTAGCAGTAGGAGGAAACCAGAGAACCCGGAGAAAACCCACAAGGTTGGACAGGCGACCCTACTCCTTGTCAATTTAACATAAGAAAACTACTTACTAAGACTTCTGGGATATGTTCTGGTTCACACTGAAAGAATTTATCATATCGTACAACCGTTTCGAAGAACTGTAACAACACACTTGTATGACCTTGACAACTAACACGACTTTTAATTAACTGTAAAATATAAACAAATCATATTACAACAATTCTATTGTTTTAGGTAGATTGAGGTTTTAGACTAAGCATACTAAACTGACATAAAATGTCAATGTTGATATCTGCTTGTCTGCTTTCTCATCATTGAATTTCAACAGAAATGTAACAAAAATAGATCGTAAAATATATTTACCAATCTCATCATTTCCTGCAACGCTGAAACTTTCGTAGGATTTCCACTAAAATGTTGACCGTGTGACGCCTGAAAAATATCACATGACTTTACCGATTATAAAATACACAGTTTTCACTCCTAACTGTTCAGTAAAATTAATTGGTATAAACTTCCATTTATTGGGAATAGAATATATTTAAAACATTTAGTTAATATCTATAATTTGCACTTACAATATAAATGAAGTAGGGTTTAATGTTCTTACTGCTCTGCACCAACCAGGCATATAGCATACAGTGTGCTTTAAAGCCAATTTTGCCTGGATAACCGCGTTTCTGCCTACTTTTTGTCCAATTTCAAGGATTCTCTTTTTTGTCGTCCCACCCAAATGACTAGACGCTGTTCCTTGCCAGGTCCTCCATCTGACAAGGCGGAAACCCAGCTGAAAAGTTTGGAGCCACTTTCTAGTCCAATACCAGGATCAAACCTGAATCTTTCGGTAAGTGTGTCAGTGCCTGATTCCTTGAGCCAACATGGCTCCAACTCAAAACATAATAATAAGATTTACAATACTCACAGGTACTGCTTCACCTAATATATACATTAAATACACAGCTATCTCTACATCACGAAAATCTGTTGATTCCCAGACAGGTAGGGTTCTTGTTACTACATTTAAAACTGTTCCTATTAATAGGTCAGTATCCTAAAATACAACAACAAATCAGTTGATATTATATATCACAAATATAAATATTTCATCCATTTTAATAACAATATGTTAATAATATCCAATCTACACTGGACCCTCACTGTAGCATGCTTCGTTATAATTTTAAATATCAGATGGTTTCAGCACGGCTCTCTATATTGGTATAGAGGAGCTCTGATGGTAGAGACTCAACAGTAAGCGTAGGATGACCACACCACCTATAGAGAAACACCCATAAGACAAACCAACGGACAAGACACACAATACACAGACATGGGAAGTTATTATAACCAACTAAAGTATATCAAATCAAGTGAATGATTACGGGGTCTAGTCATAATCATCCACTGCAGTGTACAATCCTGGAAAGGTTGAGATTCAGGCTTCATTCAAAATGAGCACTACTCACTACAAATGGGAAAATCCACAACAAAAGGGTAGCATATAAAGGGTGTATTTACTAGGCCTACTAGTTAAACAAAATCTCAATAAAATGTCCCTAATAATTTGTGTAAATTTATATCAATCTTACCAGTAATGCCAAATTATTAAAGATAACTTTTAATTGTTTTCTGTATTCTAGAAACATAGCTTCATCCTCCCCCTAAAAAACAAAAATCACAATACAAAATATACTCAACAGATAATTTTTTTTACTGTATCAATATATGGATGAGAAGCAAATGTTGCTTAGCATAGCCGATTAATGCGGACCAATATTTTCTTATTTCAGATGTTAAATAAGGCCACAATTAATTCCACTTAGTTTCAAAATTCAGTCCAGACTTTTCAGTATCGTGAGTGTAAAATTTTGTTTTTAAAAACAATCAACCAATACTAATTCAGGCAGATGAAGCACATTCTGAATGATAGAATATGTAACTGATGTTTGGTTCATCATTAATGTTAAATGAAGCTTTGTATAATCAAACAAGTTAATATTTACCTCCTGTTCAAAATTATAAGATTCATCAAATTTCATCTTAGATATAATTGTATACAGTAAACCCTGCAAAGTACAAACACAATTTTAAGGCACCTTTCACAGACGTTATCTGGCACAATAACTCTGTAGAATGATGAGACATTACTGACATATTATTATTTATTCATTTTGCCTTTCAAAGACAATTGCCTGTTTTCCCCTCAAACACCAGCATGGTAATTGTTTCATAATAAAAATAGTTTTAAATAATATTCCTGAAGCAATGGCTACAAGCATGATCAGCTTATTTCTTTGCTACTGTGACTCAGATTAAAATGATTAATACATTTACAAGAAGCTTTCCAAAACAGAAGTTAGCAGTCACACTGTATACTAATTTAACTATTCTAATATTACTCCAATCCTCCTGTTTGATTCAATTGAAATGGTTAAAGATACATTATGTAAGATTTAGATAAAGAACTGACCATTCTTGCTATAATAGCTCAAAAATAGATAATGTAAAATTTAAAATTTCATTCACATTACTTCATTCTGAGCCAAGTTATCACTGTTTGTAGTTTTGATAAGATGTGTGCGTTGTGGTAACCAGGGCACTCGTATATTCGAGACTTCTAATCTAGTTAAAATCTTGACTATTGGATGCCATCGAGAGTTGATTATGGTCTTTTTTTGCTAATAAATGTCTAATTAATAGTTTATATAACATTTCGGGCCTAAAGAAAGACCTGCATTTGGCAGATTTAGCTCTTGCATAATGTATGTTTAATCAATAATACATAAATGTAGCATATAATTTTAATTTGTAAACATCTCACTCACTTCTACATTTTCTCTCTGACTAGGAGTAAGAGGTACTACTTGTTTTAACAGAGCAATGTAGTCCTGAGCAAACCCTGTCACTGCTCCAGAAACATCATCATCCTCATCACCAAGGAAACGTAACATAAAGGGTATTTTGTGTTCTAATGCCCGAAGAGTTATTTGTGTATTTTCTTGGTCGTTACTTTTTACCAGCCTGTAGAACAAATGATTTTATTTTTTAAACAGAGGTTGAGTAGTTGATAAGACATACATTTTAAAGATTTGTTTATTTTTGACTAAGTTCCTTTCTACCAGTTGATATCTCTACATGACTCTATTAAGTTTAAAACTTGCATGAAATATATGAGAGAGAAAAAAATGGGGTTTAACATGCACTCAACACAAACTAGGTCATTTCGGGGCTAATAATTGGTTAAATTTTTTATTTCAATAATTCGCTTGCGCGTAGGGGTCTTTAGGAGTAGGAGAAAATCGGAGGACCCGGACAAAACCCTACTCTATGTCACGTATAACCGAGGAATTGAAACCACGTCAGTTGACTCAATGACAGACCTTATGATACAATGCGCACGCTCTCACCATTTTGACCCCCCCCCCCCCCGGAAAGGTATAAAATAAAATGAAATGGGGTTTAACATCCTACTGATCTGCTAATGAAGATGGGCATACATGTGCTTGCTATGAGGGAAACTTTGGCCGGACGACAGCACTACAGCCTACTCTTATATTCAATTCCAACTGCCTAGGGTTCTTTTACGTGAGTACCAATATGTACACATGACCTCGGTTTTTCATCTCATCTGAACGATTATATGTAATCCTATGCCAGGCCCTCTGTCCTGCATCATTAACAAGAGGGAATCATGTCAGTTTGTTGCTAGAGGAAGGATATGCTTCAAGTGACAAATAAATTGACCAACTTACTTCTGCCATGCTAGTATGAGACTAACACCTATACCATTAACGAGTTTAGATAATTTAGATAAATAATCCCCTTCTTCATCCTAAAAGTATAAAATCAATTTCACTATTTAATTTTCAAGCAAGGAACACAGCACAACAAAATACACATTATCCCCTTTCCCAATGCTATTTTCAGGGTTGCTTGAATTGATTGTCTGTTTGTAACATTTCAAATCCAAGGAATTGCAATAGGGTGACTTGGAAATGAATCCGGTCACAGTTCTGTCAAACACACAATCTGATTAAAATACAGATCTATATTTCGTTTTGTTTTTTTATACTTTCGATGGCCTACACTCATAAAGATCTGACCGGTTGTAGCCATAGGTCGCGTCAGAGGGTCATACGAGCACCTTTTGACCCTATGACGTCAGACATTTGATTAACCTGGTTAACAAATCAGCATTGATGTTAGTAGATTACCCGCAGTTCCGTGCAAAGCTTGCCGTAACAGACCGTTTCATTGGCTAATTCCTCACACCATTCAGAACACGCCAATGATAACAACTCTTCCAGATCCTAGTTTAGTAAAGACAAGTAAAACGAAATTTTGAGGATCTGTGTTTTAATCAGATTGTAAAACACATGGTTCTCATGTTTATTCAATAGACTATTTCGAGGGATTGAGAGAATACAATTCTAGAAAATTTAATCTTGTAACCAAGTTATACAGGTCACAATTCTATGGAATACAATTACTGCTTTTTACTGAGCGACGTTTCGATTAGGCTTCTCTAGTCATTATCAAGCTATGATATCAAGCTCAGTAAAAAGCAGTAATTGTATTCCATAGAATTGTGACCTGTATACTCTAGTTCAATTACTAAATGCCATTGAAACAGTTTAACCAAGTTATATTGCTCTGAGTGATATTGAATTTAAGACACCAATTTTTGGGGTCAAATCTGGGCAGATTGAAATACATGGATACACCATCTTATTCAACGATACATGGATTCAAAACCAACTGAGACTAAGGATAGAACATAATGCATGTGGTTACAGATTTAGCTTGGTAACAGTTATGCTGACTGAAAAAATAATTAGTCTTTATATGAACAGCTTTCTCAGTTTACTTTCTCCACTTCCAATATACTTAGAGGTTTACCTATTGAATAAAAAAAAGTCCAGGTTCCAAACTTACAAAACATGGCCTAAGACACAAAGTATATATGTCTACATTTTTACATACCTCAGAAGGATTGAAGACACCCTGGCTTTCCAATAAAGAAACAAAGGATTCGATTAATTTAGTTTTAGCGACAGGATCCATGCCTTTAGATATTATTTCATATATACAATCACAGGCGCTTTCTCGTAACAGATTATTGTTGAGAAATCGTAGGAGAGCTGTGACGAATCTGTCGTTAGCAACCAGATTAATGTCAATCCATGACACATATTTACCAACAACCTCTAGACACTGACATGTTATTTCTGGATGTGATGTCTCATAACCTGTCTGTAAAACAAAACACAAATTTGTATAACATTTTCGAAGTAAATTATTTTTATGTCACCAACCAAGGCATGTCAAAATTATACAAATAATGAAAAAGGTAACTGGGAAATCATTGTAATCTCAGGCTACTTTTCCCAATTCTAATATCTTTAAATATAACCAAACACGTAGACTTCTAAAAATAATAATTACCATAATCATAAACCAAGATTCTGCTAACTGTACAACATACTGATCTCTCATAGCATCTTTTATTAATGTATTCCTCTGAGTTTCCTTTATTACAAAATATATCATTTATTAATACAAACACTAAATCTATATACGAAATATAATACAACAAACAAAAAATATCTGTTTAGATTGAAATTATAAAATAAAATCCCCCAAAACAAGTAAAGTTACAGGAACTATGAAAAGGAAAGGATGGAGGGGAAAGTTGGGTGGGGCTTAAAATAGTCAGTTACTTGATGAACAAGGTGGGATGGGGCCCAGTGGTATAAAGTGTTGCGCTTTAAGCTCTAGCTGGCCGGTTACCTCTGGCTTGTGATTGTGGTTTGGATCCCTGGTGAGCGTATGTGGCTTGGAGATAGGGGTACCTTCACAAACTCGTGGGTTACATCGGGTACCCCAGATTCCTCCCACAGGAAAGACCCCTGTGCATGCGCTAAGATAATAAAATAAGACAAATTGTCTGCGACATCACCGTCGGTGGAAGTGGACGTTAAACACTAATAGAAGAAGAAGAATGAGCGAGGTGGGTGACACGCCCAAAATCTTAATAAACCTAGAACAATACCATCGGCTATGTACAAGTTTAGAAGGGCTTCTGTTTCAATAACATACACCTGTCTTTCCCTTCCCCCGCCACTCGCCAAAAAAAAATAATTCCAACACATATGACCATTTTCCAACAAAGAAAATCTACAAACCTCTTGATTATGAATTATTTCTCTGTCAACAACCTCACTATCAATAGCCAATAGAATTCGCAGATACATATCAACAGCCATGGGACCGATACGCAATGTGTCTAGAATGTCAGAGAAGAAAGTCGGCCATCGATGAGGGTAATCAACGACATAAACAAGGGAGACAACCTGTGCTACTTTATTTCGAATAAAGTTTTTATTCTGTGACGCACCATTTCCCTGTAAAACAAAATAAGAATAAAATTAATTATGTAAATTTATTACAGTTTAATTATTATCTTGCTGTCTGAACAAAATGGATTACAAAATGTAATTTTATGTGTGCTAGTTTAGAAATCAATACATGTAAGTTTAACTTACCTCTATTTGTAAAAGAGCAACAACAAATGATTTAACAATATCATGATCATCTTTTGATCCCAATAGGTAATTCTTCTTTAAATAATTCTCAACAACTTGTAGACAAAAAAACTTCACATGATCATTGCTGAAATTAACAAGTTAAAAATTAATTATAGACGTCATTGACATTTGATCTATTGTCTGCAACTCCAATATTTTTTTCATTCAATTTGAAAAAAGATAAATCCAGTGTATTCCCCACATATTGTAAATAAAATGTAAAAAAATAAATACAGGTAAACGTATTGTAAAATGAGAAATCAAAGTAATAATTCCCGTTGATAAACTGCTAATTAACTGTGAAAAATTACCTACAGTCCTGGTCATAGCCTAAATACCAGACCGGACTTACTTGCATTAAAATCAACCAGCATAGGCGTGTAGATGCACAGGATTATTACTTACATTATTTAGCAGAAATATATAATAATATGGTAGCCCTACCTATGATATGTTCCACTTGTGAAAGCCTGAGCACAAAGTTTCCATCCATTCTCACACGATTTCAGCTGTTCAAAATACTGCATGGCCTATAATATAATAATATGCATATAACATCATAGAAAATATTACAACTACAATGTACATGTGTCTAACAATGCATACATGTAAGCCTAACATCATAGAAATTATTACATCTACAATGTACATGTGTGTCACAATATGCATACTATAGCATCATAGAAATAAGTATTACATACATCTACATCGTACATGTATGTGTGTAACATACATACACATTTAAGGCTTAAGGTTATGAAAGCCTACATTTAGTATGTAGAACATAGAACATATTATATTAGAACTAATAGAAGACAGGCTCTGAAATTATTCCTCACAATGTTCATTAACATAAATATTTCATGATTGTTAGATCTATGTACCTTATTCTTTATTATGAAATTTGATAAAACAAAAAACACATTTGTCTTAGACTAATATCCTACATTTTTTATTCAATTTTACATGTATTTAATTTTGCTCCACCTGCATATTAACATTGACCATATTTGCATGTCTAAATTCTATAATTGTTGTGTTAATATTATATCTGTCATCAAAACATATCATTCTGATAATTCAAACAAATCTTAAACAGGATAAAGAAGCAGGTTGACTTTTAATTTCTATCATTTTCAAGTTATCTTCACCCAAATTACATTGTTTTTCCATTTACAAATTATCAATATCATCAATCAAACAAAACATTTACACACTGACAGTGACACCAAATACTTACTCGATCCCGAGATCCATTGTCAGCGTTTGGTCCTAACCCCTGTAATGCCAACTCATCCATTTTTACGATAAATGTACATCAATTTTTAATTTATTTCATAATTTAATCTGTTTAGAAAATGCTAAGAAGTCATCATTTTGTTTTGTTTATGAACTGTCTGGTGAACTGGTTCTATCTCAATCTGATTTCACAGCAGCTGTTGTGATTGACACGCCTACGACGTAATTTACTTCATAACTTTTGCCATTTTCTACTAATATTAAAACAATTGTTGTGCCTCTGGGAACAGTATGTGATCTGATTGATAATTATTTTGCTTATATTTAGCAGATAATTTTGTTATTACACCTCGACACTACCACGTTTCATCACTCCCATGCTTGTTATTCGTTAGTAACGGTTGCTTCCAAATTTACACCCGGTGATGAAACGAAATGGGTTGAGATCATGTGACCACGGGTGTATTGCACGATATTGCATGATATTATATGGATGTATCTATTTATAATCAAACCCACTACCAGTAGCGGATTATCAGTGAGGCTGATGAGGCTGCAGCCTCAGGCCCAAAGATTTTGTAAAAAAATTTTTTTTAGACTTGTCTGATACGATTAAAACGCATAGACAATGAATGTTAGGGGGGTTGGGTTTAGGCCCACCGGGAATCAACATAGGCCCTGACCCGAAATTAATTAGGCCCACGCCATTTTAAATAGGCCCTATTTAAAAACTAAATAGGCCCTCCAGCAACTGCCGCCTCAGGCCTTGGTGGAGCTTAATCCGCCACTGCGTCCACTACTGATTGCTAATTAAATCAAAGAATTAAAACAGCCTATCAGAGGAAGTTCTAATGTTATAATTATTATCAATTAATTAGAATATAATAAAAAGTCATATTAGTACCATATGATACTTCAACGAATTAAAGGCATAAAATAAAGTTTATAAGTTTGAAATGATAGTATTAGCGGAACATAATCGAATTTTTAAACTAAAAATAAATAGATATAATAAGGGACATTGGAATTGATGCAAGTCTGCAAGGGGAAATATGTGGGAGTGGGATTTGTTGGGAGGAAAATAGAATGATTTTATATACCGCCTGCCCCCATATACACCCCGCCGTTTTTTTGCTGCTGCAGAAGTCTGATCGCTTGTGTAGAACCTATTTGATTTTTATATTTAATTGAATCTGCCACATTGTACTGATAAACTGTTTTATGTGGTAACTATTCGGGGGTTTTAATTAAAATGTCTTTAATAGTAACGTTTACCTGTTGACTTAAGAATTTTGTCTTTTAATTCGGGGGGGGGGGGTAGATTATAAAATGATGATGTACCCGACTCGGGAAGCCCTGTATCAAGTTTTAATTTTCTTTTAAATATTAGCAGCCATTCACAAATCCCTCAAAAGTGGAAAAAGAAGAATATTTTGTAAGACACTTAACTGGTCTTGAATGCAATTGATTATTTTTTATGTTCTTGTTGAAAGTTCTACTACCGGTTGTCCGGTTATTTTTACGTTTTTCGGTTTGGACACTGCGATCCAAAATTTGTATCAACCAGTTAAATAAATCGGGTTTTGTGTAAGTTTTAAAAGATCAATAATTATTTCATAACTAAATAAATTTTCGACAATTTCTTCAGTAATATCACATTTAATATCAAAAATCGAAGAAATAAATTGAATTATTTTTTTTTTTAATTCCGGAAAAAGTCACGTGACACGTTCTTTTCCCCCTCGTGTAATTTAGCAAAATGAGGGTTCGTGGTGAGGTACGGCCTTTAATGTGTAAAATAACGTTTTGAACCAACTAAAATTAAATTGTATTTATGTCCCGGCTTATGTAAAGTCATTATAATGTCTCCTTTGTTCTCAGTTTTTAGTTCAAATACAGTTAGACACCGATATTTATTAAAAATTCCTGAGAAATCCATCCAAGATGGCGGCTAACGAAAACACGTGTGTTACAAACACACAAATTTCTGTCTCCACAGCTCTATTTGTCATGCAACAAGCTTGTCTTGAATAAATAATTTAGATGTCTTAAACGGCACTTACGTAGTGAACCCCTGGCCATGTGACATTTGTGTTGACCGCGAAATCGGTGGCTAGGTCGTGTGAAAAGTGCAGTTTTGGGTCATATATATGTTTGATGTGACTCCCATTTGATTTTTGTGTTATAGGTTTTATTCTTAAATACCCAATCCTAACCCTAATAGAAGTAGGAAGTTCCATGTGAACACAGTTCGGACGGCTAAGCTCTACTTTTTCGGTGTAAAAGTGATGGAAATAGGAAAGGGAGTCTGATTCACTGCCTGATCAAACATGATCGCCCAGTTTAGCTGGTTCTGGTTGGATTGTTCAATCTTCAGTTCAACATGGATAGCTAATTAATAAGCAGGCAATTTTAACAACCATTATCAAATTCTGCATAATTGAAATGTACTAAAGCTTCTCTGTCTTAATATCTAAGAAGACCCTCATGAATCACTCCGACTGAATTTGCATTTATTCATATAAATAATCTGTTTTTTTTATCAAATTGCCAAGATAAAATTTGTACAGGACTGAGGAAACTACTTTACTAGCATAAACATGATAAACAGAGCCAGGAGGGAATTAAATCGAGCAAAAACATGCAATATTTGATGGTTACATAGAAAACAACAAAACCCCTCAGTGTAGTGACAACTTGTCACTGCTCATATGTCTTGCAGTGTTTGCTGTCCACTTTATAATGTATAATTTAATGACAACTTGACTTTGGTCATGTTCCTACAGTAAAGACTTAAAATGGTGAACAGGCTTTTGTTTACGCTTCTGCTAACGTGTGGAATGAATTGCCTAGTCATATTGTAAAAATTCTACTAATGTTGCTGGGTGTTTTTTTTTAAATTTTAAACATGTTTTTAAACTATTAACATGTTGACATTTTAATGTTTTAGAACTATTTGTTTTACATTGTATGAATTTTAATTGTGAAGAGCGCCGTGGAGCAGCTTGTTAGCTGGAGCACTTAGCGCTATACAAATTGATTATTATTATTAAAAGATATCACAGAGCTTCAAATGCATGTAGTTTTCTTTCGACTAAATTAAAGTCCTGAGAGCATTCCACTCAGAATTTAACCTTTTCATATCTGTGAATACTGTGATTTCTTCTTTAATATAAGAATAGCTAGGACTAAGACATTATTGTTGATGGGAATTTTATTCCAAAACAAACTTTTTTTTAGTTGAAATGTTTTATTAAGACATTTCTATGTCATGATTGTAAAGAAAAATTTATTATCTTTTTTATTAGTTGAAACAGTATATGGTCTATGGGCGCCATACGCCATCTGGAAAGATGACTGACCCTCCAATTTATAAAATGAACATCTTTGCACCAGACAGGTGTTCAGCTAAATCACGATTCTGGTATTTTGTCAAAAGTTTGAAGAAAGTGAAGAAAGCTCATGGTGAAATTCTGCAATGCAAATTGGTAAGTTACCTGCATTATTACATTATTCTTGCAATGTTTGCCATTGGGTTTGGTAATGAACTTCATAGTGTTCTTTTAAAACATTAATAGAATGATTAACAGTTAGGGGTTTGACTAGTTGAGGTATATTTAACCCAAGATGCATATAAATGTTCTATTGCCATTGGGATTTGTGTTGAATAGCTGCTACTACAAGAGTAACAAGATCAATTGTTAAATGTTTGCAGCTTTTAGAACAATGTTTGTCCAAAAGTTTGACATCTAAGAGCACAATGACACCCAATAAAGGCTGAAATAGCATAAAATAGAAAAATTTATTCAGTGCTGAATTTGATCATCTTCTTTCCATCATGTGGAATTTGATTGTTCTTTAAATTAATACAGTTGATTTTATTTTATTAGATTGGTGAAAAGAAACCAACACAGATAAAGAACTATGGTATCTGGTTACGTTATGTGTCTAGAAGTGGTATTCACAACATGTACAGAGAATACAGAGAATTAACAGCAGCTAAAGCTGTCACATCCAGCTGTAAGTAATACATTCAAACCCAATAACCATATCGGAGTGAAGTGGTTATATTTGTCAAGTCTATTGTCCAGAACAATTGGCAACACTTGTTACTTCTATATCCTTTGTCTATTTTTTGCCAAAAACGTGATGGTGCATCCTAATCCAACACTGATTTTCGAGACAGAAAAATTACTGAAACGATAATGGGAAAGGAAAGGTTGACGGCTTTCAACTCTGCCAACTGCATCGCAGAGAACAAAAGCACATGTAAAACTCTTGGTGCATGCTATACCTTACTTGTTGCCAGTGATACATGTATGCCTTTAAGTGTTGCATGTGCCAGGTTATATAAACATTCTACATTCTGCATATTTTCTGTATGCAAAACTAAACATGGTGCTCCCTTAGGCTATAAAATTCCCTTGCAGACCTGATCTATCATCAACAATTACGGAGAATAACTGACAAATAAATAATCCTTAGTTTCCACAAGTAAAAGGTTCTGTCAAATTTTTTATACTACCGTATCTGAGAAAAAGAGATGGCAGAATGATTGTGTTTGACAAAAGCTTGGAATTTGACAGGAAGCTTTATGTCTAAGCTTGTATTAAATGTGATTTTCGTTCCACCATAATCTTCAATTAAGTCAGTATTCCTACCACTCTGCAAATCTCTTTAATGTGATCTTACACTTTCCAGATAGTCTAAGCTTATGAGTCGAAGCTTGTATTAAATGTGATTTTTGTTCCACCATAATCTTCAATTAAGTCAGTATTCCTACCACTCTGCAAATCTCTTTAATGTGATCTTACACTTTCCAGATAGTCTAAGCTTATGAGTCGAAGCTTGTATTAAATGTGATTTTTGTTCCACCATAATCTTCAATTAAGTCAGTATTCCTACCACTCTGCAAATCTCTTTAATGTGATCTTACACTTTCCAGATAGTCTAAGCTTACGAGTCGAAGCTTGTATTAAATGTGATTGTCGCTCTGCTCATCCATAATCTTCAGTTAAGTCAGTACTCTGTCTCTCTACCACTCTGGAAGCCCACTCTAAGGTTCTTGAACTTTTTAGACACCAATGGCATAAATTTCTTTACCCTAGTAATACATGGTTAAACATTGTAAATTACATTGATTTTCAGATCGTGATATGGGTGCCCGTCACCGAGCCAGGCCATCATCTATACAGATCATTCGAGTTAAACAAGTTGAAAATGAAAAAGTACGAAGACCCAACATCAAACAATTTATTGTAAGTTTACTATATTTGATTGGTTTTATTGTGCATTCCTGTTTTACATTAGAAGTTGATGTATGCAAAGAGTATTGTTTGTTAATGACTGGTGAAGTTAGTAGTTGAATTGAACAATGGAAATAAAAAATGGCGTGATATGGAGTATCTGTAGATCTCTTTATTTCTTTACATGATATTGTGTACGTCATTCTTACAAATCTCAGAACTGTGTGCATGTATGTTTACAGACTCTTTTGTACTTTGAGATTGTCATGTTGCTGCTTAAGTCATTGTTATTTAATGACCCACAAGCGGAGATAAAACTAAAAACTTTACAGTATAATTAAATACCTAATCTTGCTTTGTTATTCTCCCTATAAATAATGTTTGTTATTTCTTCTCTATTTCAGAAACCGAATGTGCGATTCCCTCTGCCTCATAGAGTTAATCATAAGCTTTATGTACCACGATTCTCTACGAAACGACCACAAACTAAATATTAACTGTCGTCTTGTATAGAAATAAAAGTGTCATAGAGGGATTTGTCTTCTTGATTATTTATTTTAAAAGAGATGAGTTTTACACAATTTTATAATGGTGGTTTTTTGGTGTGTCACCAAATTAGTCCCTGTAATCCAGTCCCCTAATTATTTGAATGATTAATTAGTCAAACTCCATGAAATGAAAATTTAGTTGTCAAGTGATTTCCCAAACTATAGCAATACCTAATATTTAGTTAAACTAAAAATCGGTCCATTTAGGCATGACATTCACTCGTCCCCATTTAGAAATTGATTGAGTGTTGTGATTGTTTAGTAGACTGGGCTCATCACTAAACTTCATGGGAGGTGGTAGGGTTCATGATTGAGTTTGTCGCTCAGATTGTGGAATACACTAAAGGCAGTGTACATATTGTATCATTGGCAAATGAAATCTGGAAAGATTCAGTTGGAAAGCGACTACATATATGGGCGAAATTCCAAATCCTGGTATATCGTAATCTATCAATGTATGGTTGTGCCATAGCCCTTAAACCCTAGGCACTTTGTACATATAAAAATTTGACTGATGCGTTCCTTTTAAGAAAATTAGTACTGGTATATTCCTGGACAGTGTCAACTACTGTTCCTTAACCTGCTGTCACGGTAGGATATAGGGTTGTGCCCAATCTGATTAAAACTCAGATACTATTTTGTTTCGTTTTGGGGATCACGTGGGTAAGACGCTGGCTCGCTAGCCTGGAGGTCGGGTGTTCGATCCCCGCATTGGCCGAGAAAGTTCATCCAGATTTTCCAGCGTTGTTTCCCCTTGTCAGTGATGCAGGACGGAGGGCCTGACAAGGACAGCTGTCTAGTCGTTCGGATGGTACGGAAAACCGAGGTCCTGTGTACAAATTGGCGTGCACGTAAAAGATCCCTTGGCAGTTGGAATTCGATATAAGAGTAGACTAGTGCCGCTGCCCGGGCAAAATTTCCCTCATAGCACACTGTATGGCGTATTCCCGTCTTCATTAGCCCAGTTTAGGAGCAGAACAGTAGGACGTTAAACCCCATTTCATTTCATTTGTTTCGTTTGTTTTATAGTTCACAATTTCGTTTTACTTGTCTTCACTACACTAGGATCTGGAAGAGCTGTTATATAACCCGCCTTATGGATGATATGAGAGATTAGCCAGTGAAAGGGTCTATTACAAGTTTTTTGCGTGACTTGCACGGAACTGTGGGTAACCCACTAGAAATAGCAGCTCTGATTAGTTAATCAAATGCCCGACGTCATCAGATAAAAAGCTGACGCGACCTTCCACTACAACTGGTCAGATCTTCATGTAGTGTAGGTCATCGAAAGTATTAAAAAAAAAAAAACGAAATGAAGCGAAATATTGATCTATATTTTCATCAGATTGGGGGTTGTGGCTTACCCCTTAGAACTTTGTGCATATAAAAATTTGACTAGACTATTCCTTGAAAAAATAATGTGATATATTTGATACTGTACAACCCAAGCTACTATTCCTCGTCCATGGGCTTCACAAGATATGGGAATAGTGCTTCATATTGTAAGACGGGTTGTTGGGGTTGCCACAGCTATTCACATGACTCAAAGTTCAAGGAGAAGCCTACTAATTAAGACCCATTTCAGGTAGTCTAAAAATGCTAAGGGATCTCTTTTCCATCCCAAATCGCTTTTAGTAGAGCTGCAAACAAAATACTTTGTAATCCAAGCAGAGTTTATTAAGGTTGGAGAAACTGAGTCTATGACTAAAGTTCTGTGTTGATAGTACCAATCAATACAAACTAGGTCTTTCAAGACTAATACACGGGGATGTATGTACATACTCTTATTGGTTGGAGGGAACTCACTTGTTTTCTAATATTTATAACCTTTGATCGAACTGAAGATCACTGGGATGTTACATAACACACACAAGATCCATCACCCACTGTCATTGAATCGAGAATTGATGGGAGGGGAACCACAACAAGCAAGAAGATTAAAATTATAGACTGTTAGTCCAACCCATCCAAAAATGTGTGTCCAACCTCATAGGTTTTCTCTGGGTCCTGCGGTTTCCTCCCACTGCTAATGACCCCTACGTGCAAGCAAATTAATGAAATATAATTGAACAATATGTTAGTCCCGAAATGACCTGGTTTGTGTCAAGTGGACGTTAAACCCCATATGCAGTTGCATATTACGGTATGCATAATTGAATAGTTACAAAAAGAGTTAAGAACTCTTATTCAGCATATAACGCTAACTTGAAGTCCCTACCCTTAACACAGTTTAGACTAAAATGATTTAGACGGTTCTTGGGTCAGAACTTTGAGTATTATAGAAGATAATGAGCTATAGGAAATGAAATGGGATTTTTTTAAAATAAACAATATTTATTCAGAAACTGAGGGGATTGGGGAACAGGCAAAGCCTTTATAAACCCCTCTCCTGAAATGGGATTTACCCTCCGATTTTTCTGCACCAACCGGGCTATGGAAAACGAACATACGCGCTATTTCAAATTGAAGGATTCTGTTCTTTTACTAGTTACTTTAGTAACGAAAATATGAGAGCCCTACATAACAGAGCAGGTAGGGCTCTCATATTTTCGTTACTAAAGTAACTATTCTTTTACGTGCATATAAAGCTGCTAGCATATTTACCAAGAAACTATTATGGGTAAATTCAATGTAGGGTGGTTGGAAGGCGGAAAATGAAGAAGAGTACCTAGGCGATAAAAGTATATTTATATTAAACAACGGTTGTAATTTGATTAAATAGTTCATAAAAAAAACGTCTACTTTCGATTCTTTTCCACTTTTGATTTAGCACGGCTTACCGGAAGTTGATTCATGAAGGGAATTTCCCTTATCCACGCCACGTGACAGGAATTGGCCACTGTCACATTGCCCTGTAACATGTTTTGTTTACAACTTTAATGCACAGTAGATTCAGAGAATCGTGCTTGTGATTATTACGAATAGGTGTTAGATATTCTACGATTTACAAATTTATGTATTGGACATTACGGGTGCGCATCAGCAATGTATAGACAGCAGGCAAGTATCATCTAAAATGTTTTGTTCCATCCGGAATTGTCATTTTAATAAATATGAAGTTCATAATAATAATAATAAAATGTTTTATTGAGATTTAACAATTGTGCTGCACCTGGGCGCTATTGCACTTTCGTACCTCTACCAGTTCCCGTGGTACGAAAGTGCAATAGCGACCTGCACCTGTTCTGTTATCTCTTGAAATATAAAGCCGGATGTTACTCTCTATGATACGTGGATATAATGACATGTTTTCCCCAATCAGCCAATGTACATAATCTGTATTGTGTTCAGTATATTGTGGCAAGGGTGATCTGCCACACTGTACACTGTACACACACACCCTCCCCCCTCGATGTAACCTATTTTAAGTATTTATATTTTCTAGTTCTAGCTTATATAAGGTACATCATGTGTTGAAAAGTATTTTCATCAAATGAACATCTTTTAATTTTTTTTCTTCTATCTCTTAAAGTATCCAGATGATCCTGGCATGCACAATAACCAAGGCAGTGGCTACAGTCATACACGTGTATCTTATCGAAGGAACGCGTCATTTTGTGAAAGAATAAAGTCCAGTCTTGTTGCATTTGTAGCAGGTTTAGTTTTATTGGCAGCAGGAACTGGTTTACTATTTTGGAATGAGGTATACTTGTATAGTAATATTTACCCATATCTGGACTCCTATAATTAGCTATTTATAGCTATATTTAAGTTTGTTCATGGAACACCACCTCAATTTTTGTGCAAGTCTTGTAGAATTGGGTGATTTATGTTAGCTATGTGAATAATTACATTAGGTGAATATGAGCATTGTAATAATATTATGCCCTTGACCGGTTATTGGTTCCATATTCATGGACAAGGCATATCTCAACTGAAATGATTGATAAGTTGATACATAAAATGAGCTATAATATGATAAACACAGTTAATTTGTTTCAATTCTGGGTGAAAAACAGGATATCACATCTGACACGTGTGCGGGTAAAGTTACTACATGTAAATACATCATTAGGTTTAAGTAACTAATCACATAATTAATTGTATGGATTTGACCAATTGAATAATTAATAGCTGAGATCTGGGCATATATAACGAGCAGAACATGTGCTCTGGGGGTAGACTTAGAGAGCCGATACCATGTAGATTCATAGGGAGATATCGTTGAGGTTCAAGCGACACCATTATGGGTCAGTAGGGGTTGCATCCGTAAGCTCATTCTGCAAGTTGATGGGGTGGAGAGAAAGACATTTTAATTTTAACCCTGTAGAGCCCAAACATAGAATGGTCACGGGAAAAAAATATTACATGGTGGGTTTTAAGACCGGGGGCATCAACTAAACACCTTATACATAATTTTTTGATGGGCCACCATTTTTAACAATATTTGGCAATGTTGCATATTTGCAACAGCTGTTTATTGAGGGTACAATTCAGACGAGGTATAACATGGGGAAACCCCCAAATCAAGAAAACAAAATTGATATGAAATAATATTCTTTAATAGAAAGTTGAAAATTGAATGATAGAGATAGAGATAAATGGGGTTTAAAGTCCAGTCAACACAAACTAGGTCATTTCAGGACTAACATATGGTTTTTAATTCTATTTCAATAATTCGCGTCCACTCGACTCAAACTAGGTCATTTCGGGACTAACATATGGTTTAATTTTATTTCAATAATTCGCTTGCGCGTAGGGGTCTTTAGCAGTGGGAGGAAACCGGAGGACCCGGAGAAAACCCATGAGGTTAGACAGGCGACCCTACTCCTTGTCACGTACAACCAGGGTTTCGAAACCACGCCAGTTGACTCAACGAGAGGCTGTATGATACAGCACACACACGCTAACCATTCGGCCATCCAACCCCCCTGTGAAATAAACAAAATATGCCAATAACTAAATTCAATCATTCCATTTTGGATATCCCATAAAAGAGTTATTTCCCCCTATTTTGCCTTCACTAAACCCCAATGTTGCATATGTGCAACAACATTAAAAACGATTCTAAAGTAAAAATAATTCTATGAAATGCGGAACAATTTAGTATTGTAGTTACGCCCTCATATGTACCTATAAGAATAAGATATATGACAAGTTCAGCATTCACCTGGTATTTGTACATTAAGGGTCCAAAGATGAGGCAGTGACACAGCGTGACTTCACGTGGGGGCCGCCATATTGAGAGGCCTAGTATACATAGTGACTGATAGATGGAAACAATGTATGTTGCAGCTATGCAACACTGGGTTATAAGGGTTGCAATGAATATTAGGAAAAAATGTGTTGTCAATTTGAGTTTCTGCACTTACCAACCAGAGATATGTTGTATATATGCAACAAGGGGCGCATGTAGACTATTGTGTAACCTGCTTCGATATAAAATGTAGAAACGAACTGTTGTACTCTTGTTCCTGGTGGACAAACGTCTTACCTGCTGATAAAAATAAAAACACTACTTGAGTCCTAGCAACAGAAAAGAATTACAATAATGTAGGTCAGAGACAAGTTTTGACGATCACCGGTTAATAAAATCTGCAGCAGGAGAGGATATGCGTCCCACGATGGATGTGGTGAGATTTTTTGAGAATTTGCGATTTACACATCTGGCCGACGATGTATATTACTACAGTCTGAGATGATGAGGAGTTTTCTATCACTCGATTTGAAATATCAATTATGCATAAACTATCTTGGTTGGTTGGTTGAGTTTATAAAAATTTTGATTTGGAAATCAGTAGAAATGAGACCTATAAGAGTTAGAAAATATAGAACAAATGTAGAAATGATGAACAACTATAGTTTTATCCAGAAGTTATAAATTTTTTTTGCACAAAATGTCTTATTCTTCTTATTATTATAGGGTAGAGCCGTACAGAGGGCCCAATCTTTAGATGAAGGTTTAAGTGTCATAATACCTTTATCAACTACAGATGTAGCTTTTGAGGCTAATAATGGAAAGCTGGTTCATTTGTCAGGACCTTTATTTACAGAAAAGGTGAGATTCATTGCTTTTTAACAGGTAGGGGCTGCCATAGTCAAATTGTTACAGAATGTTGGTATCTCCAGTGTAAATCTTGGCATTGGACGGAAAAACAAGTCTATCATTTGAATGGTAAACTAGTGGTTTTACATAAGCTAAGCATGTTCATCAATCCCACTGCTGGATTAAGATCCACAGCGGCTGTAAGCACTTAAAAGATTTTGGTGCCCTGATATATATGTAATTCAAAATATAAACAACAATAAACCACAAACAACCGCCAAGCACATGATTGAGTTTTTCTGGGATTTTATACATGTCATTATTAATTGCGACAAAACAGGTAATGGTATGAAAAGAAAAAAAAACATTGAAAAATTAATTGAAAGTTCATAATTAATTTTTAAGTTAAATATTTTAAATTTTGCATTTAACACAGTAGACATTCTGAGGTGCCCCCATTGATATGATGCCCTAAGCACATGTTTATTTTTCTTAATGATTATTCCAGTCCTGCTCAATTTCACTGAATGAAATTAAAAAAAAAATGGTTGTGTATGCAAATTCTTAGTGCATATAACAGATCTCTGGTAGTTACAATTCGAAGAAGAGCAAAGGATATACTGTTGTCTAGGTCAAATTCACTGCTCGAATTGCCCACATGACTATCAGAATAAAATTACCATATGTTAGTCTCACAATGACTGCTGTATTGTGTTGGTTTCAAACTCCTAAGATAAATGCACTAAAAAAATTATACTATTTTCCATGACCAGTTTCTAACTGATGGTTGTTATAGTGTAATTATTCATTTTGTTTATTATATAACTAGGCTGTAACAGTGGTAATTCTGGTGTAACTATTCATGTTGTTTATTATATAACTTTAGGCTGTAACTGATAGTGATTATGGTGTAACTGTTCATGTTGTAAAGTTAAAGAGAAGAGCAGAGATGTTACAGTGGGTAGAGGAAAAACAAGTCAGGTTAGTAAATTAACAGATTATAAATTATATTCTGTTCAAAGTAATCAATCCTACATCTACTTTCATTTATAACTGGAGAATTATTTTTATGATTATCAATTTGTGTGACAACCCAATTTGTATTTATATTTTACAGGGAGTATAATGTAGGTTCTGAAGTGAAAGTAGAGACAAGTTATTCTTATTGTAAGTCAACCATAAATCATCTCAATATTAAATAAATGATTACTACTAGTAATGAAATTAATGGGGTTTAAAGATGGGTTCCGCGTACAAACTGGGTGATTTAATGGTATATATGGACTAAAAACATATTCAAACTAATTAATTTGTCATAATTTTGCTTCAAATCCTTCTCAAACATTGTAATTGTGAAGGAATGTCCTGCTATAAAAATTCGATCAAACCAGGTCATGTTTACGTCACGTGACTTACCTCTCTTGGAAGTCAGAGGAGCATTCATTGCATACATAAGACGATGTTGTCTTTAATCGCTTACTATTTATTACAAATATCGAATCCTAATTAAATTCTCGGATTATCCACTACCCGCGTCTTTTTCTGTCAGTTTTATCTCAGAAAGTGTTGGACGTCTAACTCTTCATAAAGTTTATCAACTTGTACATCAAACACTCAATGTTCGCGTGTGACCTTTGACATCACGCGTGCAGAAATTCCTAATTGTCAGGCTGTTGATTAGGGGAACCCTTACATTTTTGTCCTGTATATGCTTCATGAGTGTTTTTCGGGGAATCCAGTATTTTTCAAGTAAGATTGGATATCTCTACTTTCCATATATACCAAAATTACCATACTTTTATTGGAAATAATTCCACCCGATAAATACTTTTCTGGGAAGCCATCTTGAACATCATGCTTTTCTGCACGACCGGGCTTGTGAAGTGTGTATGGTGGAAATTTGGCCTGGACATTTTGAGTTGTAACTGTCAAGGGTTCTTTTACGTGCACACAAATGTGTACACAGGACGTGTTTTCTTTTTCTCGTCCCAGGCAAATGACTAGACACTGTTTCTTGTCAGACCCTTATTCCCTTACCACTGATCAGGGGAAACCATGCTGGAACATCCTGAGGAAGTTTATGGGTCAACACCGGGAGCAAACCTGAGATCTCATGGTTAGCGAGCAAGCATCTTATTCGCTGAGTCACCACAGCTCCCCAAATTTATACTTGTGTGAAGCTCTTTGGTGACTTTGTTATATATTAAACTATTTTATTTCAGCTTTGGAATGGAAAGAAGAACTAATATCAAGTGCATCATTTGATAGTTCGATTGGACACGAAAACCCCAAGTAAGTTGGAGATACGTTAGGACTTTTTATAGTTTAAATTGAATAGTATTTTGGGTTGCAGAAAGTTAAAAAAAACAAAACAATGTTATCCCTTGTGAAATGAAGTTAAGGGAGGATATTGTTAACGAAGCATATCTTATAAACCTTTCAAGATATAGTAGTTGACCAAGCGTAGACTTAAAGCACCTATCACAGACTTTGCCAAGAACAAATTATCACACAACGTATATAAACAAAGCCTGGGCATAAGGAACACCTGTCACAGACATTGTCAGAGATATTGTAGATGAATAAGTCATCTTGGTCCCATGGAGATTTTATATGTAGGCATAACTTAATTTTAGATTTTAATGGTATCACTAGCTAGTTGCTATGATATATATTAATGAGTTGCTTCTACTTTCAGAACCATGCATGTAAAATCTAACATATTTATTGCCAATCCAGTACAGGTTGGAAATTATCATCTTTCAGAAAGTAAGTAAAAGATGCACATTTCCACAAGGATATTTCCAATAAAAGTATGGCAATATTTGTATATATGCAAAGTAAAAATACCCAATCTTACTAGAAAAATACTGGTTTCCCTGAAAAACATTCCAATGGGAGAGCACAAGACAAAACTGTGAGGGTATCCCTAAAAAGGCAGACAATCTCTTGGAGTGACATAAGGAGTGCTTCTTATGTCTTGATCTAATGATCAATGGTTGTGAGAACATTTAAGAGAATTACACGTCCTGTAGACTTTGTGATTAACCGACTGAGATTATTGTGAAGCACATGTTTATCAAGTATATATAAGGATCCCTCTAAAACAGGATTTTGTTCATTTTTTAGAGGCATTTAGTAACTGGATAGAACACACACTTATGGAAAACAGCTTCAATATATTTAGGAGACGTGTTAGCTTGATAACATTGGGTGAATACTTTTCGAAATGTTGTCCAAATATATTAGTAGATGTTTTCCATAAGTATGTGTTATAGTTTATTATGATTTTGCTTTTAGAATCCCAAATCAATGTTGTAGTCACGTCCTTGAATATTTAGTTGTATATTTTCTTGCTTTGTTTCAGAACTGATAAGTTATATAAATGTATTTAAACCATTGAGTAATGAATTGGTCAATTTACCACAAAATTCTGGTTTGAAAATATATATGGGATATGTATATAATAGTTTTAATCCTCAACAACCTAAGGTATGACTCTTCTTTTGGCATTTTTGTTCTGGTAAAACTTTACCTGAGTTCATATTTTATTGTAATTATAATAATACACATATTATTGTCCTGACTATTTCCAGAAGCACATGTTAAATAAGGATATAGTTTCAAATTGCTAATGCCTTTTTAAGTTCAAATTGATGGATTGAATGCAAATGCCCCAGGATAGATTTGAATACAAATACTCTTGGATGGATTTGAATGCACATATACTTGGATGGATTTGAATACATGAGTAGCCTTGGGTGGATCTGAATAGGAATACTCTTGGAAAGATTTTGATTGAGTGTGGCTATTATTTTATTTGAATAGGTTGGTGATATAAGATTGATGTGGGAATATGCTGGTATCAGTGGAATGTCTATGCTTGGTATCACAGACCAGGTACTTTAACTTCAAGTGTTCTCTGTTCAACAAAAAGCTGAAAATTGGAAATATTTGCAAGGGATTTATTGAAATAAGAAGAGAAATATTTTTATCTTTTCTATCAATGGCTATTTTTTATAGTTAATTTGATACTTGTGGCCAAGTTTCTGTTCATTTTGAACAAGAAAATCATCTAAATCCTTGTAATCAAAGCTGATGAAGGGAACAGGTGTATTCCGAAATTTACTTATAGACCAATCCAGATTAATTCTTATTCTGCCCTTCTCCAAATCCTGGATTTTCCCTTGTAAACTAAGATTTGAGATTAATTGGGGGGGGGGGGGGTCAGTAAGATTCTGACTTAAGCAATCAAACTGGAAGTGAAATATATTTAAATGTCTGATAATTGAAATCTTCAGGTGAGTGTAATAGCAAGACAGTCAGGTACACATCTAACCAAATATGAAACCGAGGCTGGAGATGATTTAGAAATATTATATCCTGGTGTTTTAACTGCAAAGGTATATAGTTAAAATTTCATAGTCAAAATATTCTAATATAAACAAGGAAGTCTGTTCCTAATTGTAAAAGAAATTATTTGAACCATATATGCATCTGAAATGAGAGTGCAATCTGCCACTCCATTTGGCTAGTGACAGTGTTCACATGAGTTAGTGTATACATGCCTGATACACAACAATTTGTGTTCAACTATGGTATTCACACGAGGCAGGATAACGGTGGCCAAGTGGGTAAGACGCTGGTTCGCTAGCCTGGAGGTCGGGTGTACGATCCCTGCATTGGCCGAGAAAGTTCATCCAGATTTTCCAGCGTGGTTCTCCCTTGTCAGTTATCAGTGATGCAGGACGGAGGGCCTGACAAGGACAGCTGTCTAGTCGTTCGGATGGGACGGAAAACTGAGGTCCCTTGTACACATTGGCGTGCACATAAAAGATCCCTTGACAGTTGGAATTCGATATAAGAGTAGGCCGTAGTGCCGCTGTCTGGGCAAAATTTCCCTCATAGCACACTGTATGACATATGGCCGTCTTCATTAGTCCAGTTTGGAGCAGAACAGTAGGACGTTAAACCCCATTTCATTTTTTTAGTTTTATAGAACATCTGATAACATTTCTTATTTGAGGAGTTCACATAGCTAACAATATCTGTTGTACATTTGAATTTATTAGCTATATAATTTTATAGGAGATATTTGAACGTGAACATGTACAGAATAGTATGATGACATGGGCTATAAGATTTGGAGGATGGTTGATTATGTTTGTAGGTTTCGGATGTTTAACAAGTATTGTAACAACATTAGGTAAGTAATGAATAATGAATGAGAATTATGGAATCTTTCTGCCCCTCACATTGCATAGAAATAAAAGATACCCATGTTAAACTAGGAATGACCTAATATTGAGTGTAAATGATTTGTTAAACCCCACTCCAATATGAGACCTGGTCTTCCTTATAACCCTATGAACCATATATGTGAATATGACCATCACTATAGAACTTTGTACAGTGGTGATCAGAAATTGTTGCCAGATACTGGATATATATGTTTACATTACATCAGGGTGAATAAAATCATTAAACATACATTATGCAAGAGCTAAATCTGCCTATTTCAGGTCTTTCTTTAGGCCTGAAATGTTATCTGAATTATTAATTAGACATTAATTAACCTATCCAGGCCATAATCAACTCTAGATGGCAGTGCTAGCCTGCGATCTTTAGTGGATTGTAAGCCGATTTACTGCATAACTTTCCTTCTCAATTAAATGGATAATCGAGACTATGCTGTTTATCGTACTGACTTTAGTAATGATGACCGAGGCTTATGGGAATTTCTCGGTTCATAGTGGATCAATTTGAATGAAATTTTCACCAAATTGCCTTTACATTATCTAGTTTTTAACTATTATAGTGAGAACTGCCAACTCGTTACCGAATCTCCCATAATGTATCTTTAATAGATCACCCAAATTCAGCTTTTTATTTTCATTTAAATTAAAGATGTCTGTGCTTTTAACTATCTTTGCATTAAAATTGTAACTATTTTTTACTTGTAGTTGATTGGATACCAATAGTACGAGATCTGGTTGCTATGGGAGTTGGTGCCATGAATACAGCATTATCAGTTAGTCTTTCTATAACAGTCATAGCCATTGGCTGGATTCGGTATCGACCTATGTTAGGTTTTACCTTATTAGGAATAGCTTTATTACCCTTACTTGTCTCAAAATTACGGCGATCTCGACCCACCTCATCAGGCTATAATAGAAATTATTATTCTTAGTGTAAATTATCTTTGTATATATTGTTGCTTGTAGAATGTTTCTCCCACCTCATCAAACTAGAATAGAAATTATTATTCTTAGTGTAAATTATCTTTGTATATTTTCTTTGTATACATGTATATGGCTGCTTGTAGAATGTTTCCATCCAAAAATCAATGAATGCTATTCCATGCCAAAATATGCGTGATTGTACAATCCTCAAAAAAAAATTTATACAGAATTTTTATAGTCACCAGCTGATGTGAAATGTTAATGAAGTCAAACCTCCTGTAAGGTATATCCTTACATTATCATTATTAAACTGAGTGTTAAATAGGCTTTGTTTATTGTCTGTTTCCATCAAGGTGATGTCACTGACAAAATATATCTCGGCTTTAATTTATATAGCTTTTATTAAACCTTCACCGAAACCTTTTATGATATAATGATATAATATTCCATCAAATGTTGATTGTCTGTTGATCAGAACAAAAATTGAATATTAACATATATTTAAAAAGATTATCATCTTAACCCTGAAAGTATTAATGAAGTAAGTAGAAAGCTGATGTTTTACTTGATCTCTTGAACTTCATGAATAATATTAGGCTTGATCATTCAGGTTTATTAATAGTTTTTAATTTTGGTCTGAATCATATTTTGTATGTTTGTTTATTTTTGATGAAATATTATTACATACATTTGTCTATTTTTTAAAAATTCTAATACTTGGCAGTTCTTTTGTTAGATATGCAACAATAAATTATAGTTAATTATTACTAAAATAATGATAAAACGTTTCTTGAACTGCTTTAAAAAATATTCCTTGGAGGTCAAGAAGAAAGAGCTTCTACTAAGTGTGCAACTGCTTCCAGTCCTAGCTTTAATAACAATATAAGATGGTTTTTTTTATAATATTTTCACTGAACACCAATCTAACTAAATTTAGATTACAATTCCATTTTGTTTGGGTGGTTCTCTTTTTTGACAGTACATTGTAATGAACCAACTTTCTATCATCATGACATTTATATCAGACAATAGTAATCCAAATAATTATTACCCTATTTAATCAATCAGAATCTTCCTCATATAAGCTTTCCCATAATTCATCACAATATGCAGCCCTGTATACTAATGTATGGTAGTCAGTTTGATATGTCAAAAATTTCATATGATGTGAATGCCAACTTTAAACATTGTCAGATAAATCAAAATGAAAGTAGTTATCTGAATTTAATCAGATTGCTGTATGGACCTATAGTAGAAGTTTTGTATTGAAACATAACATTTTAATGCTTTAAATATTTTAGTTTTTTTGTAATACAGATAGCTAGCTGATAGATGCTTTAATAAATTGATATATGGTTGTTATTGTTATATAGATTAACTGATGGTAACATATTGATCTAAGTTTATAAATTCTGTGTTAATGTTTTGACAATGTATGTTTGATAATTTTAAATTATTTGTAGATTTTATGATTAGTAATGCATTTAAATTATGAAATTATTGGTTTTAGATTTTAACCCAGTTAATTACATATATTTAATTTGTTTATTTAATAATTGTTACATTCCTACAAACTCCCTCCCATCCATGCAGTATAAGTTAGTTGTCCCACTATTTAATGTTTTTGATCACACTTTCGGTTTTGATCACAATTTATGCACACATTTGACCTCTGTATAAACTTACAAATGGCATGTCTCATACATTTATCTGAATTCTTCATCAATGAAATCAAATTCGTCTTGATAAAAATTTACAATTGAGTTATTCTGAAATCGTCAAACAGGTTGAAACTGTATATCATTTGATTTGCTTGAGAGAAAGCCTTCATCATTGTGAGTTGCACTAACAATTGTTTTGATTTTGCTTTGTATTTTATACATTTGTTTATATTTAAACATACATTATGCAAGAGCTGAATCTGCCTATTGCAGGTCTTTCTTTGGGCCTAAAATGTTATATATTAGACGTTTATGAACATGAAAAGACCTTTTATCAACTCTCGATGCCATCTTATGTGTTGGATTTTTACTGCATTTGAATCCGAATTACTGCTCAACGCTCATTGATGATTTAATCCAAAAATGGATAATCGAGACTATGTTTTTTTATTGTACAAACTTTAGTAATGATGATTGAGGCTATGGGTAAAATTGAAATATCTTGGTTCAGAGTGGAGCAATTTGACTGCCATCTCTTTATCTAATCTTCCATAATGCCCCTTTAATTAATTGAATAAGGGTGTAGTTCTAGTACATGTAATATGTATTGTGAATTAAAACAATTCACTGAAGGTCTATTGGGTAAATATTTGATATACAACTAGATATTCAACCACCATAAATCAACAGTCATGTCAGTACTGAGCATGGAAGGTGTGACTCTTTTCAAGTCAATAAATCAGTCTAATAAGAAAATATCACTGTTGAAGAGATCCACCAGCCAGACATTGTTGAGCCAATGGTAGTTGTTAGAGATTTATACCTAAATCTTACATAATGTATTGACTACTCGAACACTGAATTATTTAGTTTATAGATGAATGATTACAGTACTCACATAACTTAGTATGTGAATATATTTTATATAAGGATGTAACCATTTCTATAAATACATCTATTATTTTCTCTGATATTTGGGAGTGTCTGATGTTTGAGTCAATGTGATATACATATATACACTGACTATGAGGGTATTAAGATGAATTGATTCTTGCCACACTAACATAAACCATAATGTAAAACTAATGTAATTTATTTTATTTTTGAAATAAATTGTTTTCTTTGTTTGCCATTTTTAGTAATTAATCTTTCTTTATTACACATTCATTATCCACGTGCAGTATCATCACTTAAATCATCCAGTAGTGTTAGATCATACTGTTGACCAAGACCATTCCTCCAGATTTTTTACCGTGATATCCCCTTGTCAGAGGTGCAGGACAAAGAGCTGGGTAAGTAACAGTGTCTAGTCATTCGGATGGGATTAACCGATATACCACATACATGTTAGCGCGCACCTAAAAGATCCCTTGACAGTTGGAATTTGACTAGGTGTAAGTGGAAAAACTGCTGTTCAGGGAAAATTTCCCTTGTAGCACAATGCATGACATATGCCCGTCTTCATTTGCCCAGTTGATGCAGATCAACAGGACATTAAACCCCATTTCATATATTTTTTACATCATCCTGCAAGCATTCCCTGTGAACTCTAAATGATTTATAGGTGGCATGGATGACCTATGGGTGACATGGATGGCCTATGGGTGGTCATAATTAATCTGGGTCTTATTGTTAACATTGTCTCTCCTGTTTGAAACACTACGAACATCAACAAATTACAAAATATTACTTTATTAACAAACTTTAAAAATCTTTAATTGAGAAGATAATATTTAAATAAACAAACAAATATTTCTAGAAAAAAATAAAACCATCAGGTACATATATTTAAATAAATAAACAAATATTTTGATTTTATTTTGTGTCCCAGTTTTAAAATGAGAAGTTACATTAGGCTTCTAATAGTTTTAATAATTAAATTTCCATTGTTCCTGTAAATTATTCCATGTCATTTCCTATGAAAAAAATCAAACATTTTGATTCTTAATTCATGCTTATTCCTTTTTGATCTTGGCCAAAAATAAATTCTCAACGTATTGATTTGTTTTGTGAGATGACAATCTAGTGTTGTTCAAAATTTTACGTCTGTAGATATAATTGATTGTGAGTTTCTGTTATGAAACGAATAACACGTTAGATCAACAAAATCCAATAGCTTTTTGTATTGTGAAGGTCTAAATTCAGTTAGTTTTTCTATTTGAAATATATTTGGTTATTTTACTGTGATATGATAATACTGACAAAGTTAATCACAGGTTTGGAATAAAAAGTTTTAAATGCTTGTTACATTCACGAAAAAAACATATACAAAAGTGAACAAGCATTTTTTCATTGTCCTTGTCCCAAAAGAATACAAAATGCAACTCTGAAAAGATATCATGCACATCCACATTTAATAAATAACTAAATATTGTATATAATATAATGCACAGTTTGATTAAGTTCATTTTTACATTAATGGCTTGAAAGCCTTCAGCGTCTGTTAACATCCAATGAAAAGTCTTGTTACAACACTGGGACTTCCAATATGATAGACATATTTGCACAACAAACGTGGTTTCAGTATAAGGCAGGTGTTGGTACAAATACCAACAAAATTGTTGTGAGGCTCTTCTATGTAGTATTGGGAACACACTATAATGCAGATTTAATCTGTAGACGTTGCCGTTATATTGCTGTCCCTGTACAGATATATGAGCTCCTTATTTTAATGTACAGCTCCAGTTGATTGGATTATATCTCATTATTTCGCGATCATATAAATTTTCCACCGTACGTTTCTGTTTTAATAAATCCCACTGCTTCTCCATCAACTGAAAATAAAGTAAAATTATTAACTGACATTTTAGTATGTATAAGAAATTACCTTTTGCCAAATTTTTGGTCAGATAAAATCAGCCCTGTAACTAGGGGGGAGTGGAGGGGCAAAAAGTTTCGCCCCCCCCCCTGTGAAAAAATTGTCAACCATAAAAAACTCCTAGATATACAGTGTCTGTCAATTTCAAAGCACCCCTGAGAACACTTCCCGCCCCCTCGTTGCTCTGAGATTGTTACAGTCCTGGATAAAATGAGACATATTTGTGGGTATAATAATAATCATCTTATTTAGTGCTGGAATTCCAACCAAAAGACTGCTCATTGGGGCAAATTACAGCGTCGTTAAATCATTAACAGAATGACTGTCAGAATAGTTCTGTTTTTAAGTTCCTTTTAAATGATTTTATATTGTCAATGTTTTTTACACTTTGTGGTAAAGAGTTACCAACAATGGGAGCAGCGAACTAGTAAGCACGATCAGTACGATTTTACTTTGATGAGGGTACCATTAGTAAATCTTTAATCTTTAATTGCGAGAAGGGCAGTAATTGGTAAGAAGTTTTTTTTAGTTTTAGGTAACCTGGAGCAAAATCACAGTGGAGACAGGTGTAAGTTAAAACAGATATTTTAAAAACAACTGAAAGCCTGTGTAAATCCTTGAGGACCGGGGTTATGTGTTGACTTTGTTCTGGTTATGATTCTCGCTGCTTTATTTTGGATAAGTTTGAGTGGATTTAGCACCAAGACAGAAATCTGGTAAAGGAAGGAATTGCACTAACATTTTGGCTTTTACAGTCTGATTTTCCCAGTGTTATAAAGATGAAAGTTTACAGCACAGCACGGCATGTTTTAGTTATAAACTTTTTCATGTTTAGCTCTTGATCAAACATTACCCTCTGATCAAACATTTTTTGTTGCTTGTTAATTTCTTGCAAAAATCAAAGGCCTTTTTAACCATATATAGCATTCAGCACTTCTTATAATTGTAGCGGGGTTGGATGGCTGAATGGTTAGTGTGCGCGCGCCGTATCATAAAGTCTGTCATTGAGTCGACTGGTGTGGTTTCAAATCCCCGGTTGTACACGACAAGGAGTAGGGTCGCCTGTCCAACATCGTGGGTTTTCTCCGGGTCCTCCTGTTTCCTCCCACTGCTAAAGACCCCTTCACACAAGCGAATTATTGAAGTAAAATTAAACCATATGTTAGTCCCAAAATGACCTAGTTTGTGTCAGTGGACGTTAAACCCCATTTCTATCTCTCTCTCTTATAATTGTAACGGTAAGCTCAGTATGAAATCATTATAATACTTTTAAAATTACAATGTCTACGTACCATTTTGTTGTCGTCTCGGAATCTTTTTAAATAACTGAATTTATTACTTTGATCTTCAGAATCTTTTTGTAAACATTGTCGATCATACTCTACAGCTCGTTCACTTTCCTGTACTTTTTCCACCAGATGGCGCCGTTTCCACAAATCTTGATCTGTCATCTGTTGTTTTAATACTTCTCGGAAATGTTTGCTGAAAATACAAGTAAAAATTTAACAGACATTCTTACAGAGGTAATTAAAGTAAAAATGCTCTATATCGACCAAACTCCTTAACACTGTCTCTGTACATGACGAGGGCTCTGTCACACATAACAGTTTGACATTTTAATGCCTGCTGGCACAAAGCTTGATTGCAGTTTTGTCAGCATGTGTACAGGGGAAATTGTAGTCAAAGAAAAAATCTATCAACAAAGAATGATTCAACAAGGAATATTCACATTCCAAATTACAGATGATATCTAATTGTCATGCCCCCATAATAGGATTCACTCGGGTACCAGTTTAGGTCTTGACATCAAAACCTGATCATCCAGTCCTTCATTTTCAGCAAGTAGTCCTAGAACAAGAGGGATCTGTACATCCTCTCTGTATCAAATTCCCCACTGATATGGAGTGCAAGAGCACAAGCAAAACTACATTCAAATTTTGAGTGGCTTCATTGGAATTTGAAAACTGATATAATTTAAACTTACTTGTATGATTCTCTTTCAGCAGGATTTCCATAAAAGGCTTTTGACCAGGCCGAATGATATCGTTCATGTTCACGTTGCTGCATTAAAATACGTCTACAATCATTGTGGTAATGTTGCGGAATCGTTTCCCAGCTGTCATTAATACGTTTCCGTGGCAACAGGGGACCAATTGGATTAATCCTCGCAGGAGTTTGAATATAATCCCACTGATTGGACAGATTTGCTGGAGGGTAGGGACCATAAATAGATACTGATGTGTGAGATCGACTGATTGGTTGAGGGAGAGAACATGTTCTACTCCTTGTCAAAGGTACCGGTACAGGTGTGCTGGCTGGAGTTATTTTTGGCAAAGATGTCATTTTGATTCTTTATGATGTGATTACTAACACCTGAAAGAGAGAAAGGATTTGATTAATTAACAAATATTGGCTAAGACAATCAGTCTGCCACTCAGATGAGCTGCATACTCTGCCTAGACCAGGTTATCGCGAGGTCAGGTAATATTTGAAACCAGCGGCTGCCAGGCAAGATACGCCCACAATTTGTAAGAGATGGATAGAGAACTTAAGCTAAACAAAAAGTGATTTTTTTGACAATCAAGGGCCATAATTCAGGCAGTTACGATCTGATATGCGCGAATATCGACAGGAACCAAGATCTTTGGGTTATAAAGATATATTTCAGATCAAAATCGTGACTTCTAGAGGTTCTGCAACCTTGATATACCACATATTTACACTATTTGCATACGAAGGGCGGCAATTTTATCCGACAGTATTGGTCCCATTTTCACGAAATGCAAACTCAGCCATGATTAGGGTGTAACGGTGATATATTCAAACGTTTTTTTCAATCGGATAAAAATTGTGACCTCTAGAGGGACCACAAGCTAAAAACGTGATTTTTCTTACAATCAAGGGCCATAATTCAGGAAGTTATATAAACATGCATTTCAAGTCTCATCAAGATCGGATCAAAATTGTGACCCCTAAAGTGTCCACAAGCTAAAAACGTGATTTTTCGTACAATCAGGGACCATAATCCATGCAGTTATAATCCGATATATGCCAATATCAAAAGGAACCGAGATCGTTGGAAGATAAACCTATATTTTAAGTTTCATCAAAATCGAATACAAATTGTGACCTGTAGAGTGTCCACAAACAAATTGTGGATAGACAGATGTCCCGACAGACAGGGGCAATGACAATATACGTCCACATGAAAATGTGGGCGTATAAAAACTGGTATCAGACAGTTTCTAAAGCCTTCAAGATATACATTTTGTGATAATGAATTGAGGTCAGGGTCATGTTTCACAAAGCACACCAATGACTTACACGCACGTAAATCAACAATTTACAACACAACTCTACTAAACTGTACAGAACTTTATGCACATTGGATCACAGCATCTGCATTTCTACTCTAGCACAACCTCTGATGTCAACTGGTCTAATATGAAAATAAACAGATAGGAATGTTTTGGTGGGGTTGTACCATTGTCAAACTGTTCAAGTAAATTTACCCAGTCACAGGTGGAATTTTGTCATGGCAGCAACTTATTTCCTTCACTTGAAATGAAATGAAATGAAATGGGGTTTAACGTCCTACTGTTCTGCTCCTAAACTGGACTAATGAAGACGGGCATACGCCATGCAGTGTGCTATGAGGGAAATTTTGCCCGGGCAGCGGTGCTACGGCCTACTCTTATATCGACTTCCAACTGCCAAGGGATCTTTTACGTGCACTCCAATGTGTACACGGTACCTCGGTTTTTCGTCCCATCCGAACGACTAGACAGCTGTCCTTGTCAGGCCCTCCGTCCTACATCACTGACAAGGGGAAACCACGCCGGAAAATCAGGATGAACTTTCTCAACCAATGCAGGGATCGAACACCCGACCACCAGACTAGCGAGCCAGCGTCTTACCCACTTAGCCACGTTCCTTCACTTGAAGGGCTGGATTAATGTGGGCACCGACTGGGATGCAGCCAGGGGACCAAATATTAAAGGGACATCCATATTACCATAAATAAATACACGTCATGTTCTGGTAGAGAATCTTGTTATAGCAGTGACTGCATTCCACTTGCAGGACTGGATTAAACAGGGGGGGGGGGGGGGGGGGACTGGGCTGCTGTCAGGGACCCAAATTAGTTCTAAGAATAATTATTTGTACCATAAATAAATATGTCACAGCTACATTAAGGCAAACAGGGGGCATACTGACATGCAAATTGCATTTTGTGTGGGTGGGACAGACAACGACCAGAATATGCCCCATTTTCACTGTTGATGCATGCGCCCTAGTGACATTTTCTGCCAGTGGTCCCATACATGCTTAATCCAGCCCTGTTCGTACACACAGGATATAAATTAGTTTGTTCATCTGAACAGTTTAACACACATACATGTTATCCCTGCAGACATTAGAGATATTATTATTATGTTATTATCAGCTGGTTAAAAACCTTCATTGGCTTGGCTTTTGAATAGGTAGAGTGAATGTGTGGGTTATCTAGAGGTTAACTATAGTTTCTAATATTACCCCATATTTGTTACCAGACACGCAAATATAACTGAATTAATTAACCAAAATAATGCTGGCCTCCCTTCCTCTGTCCCACTTTAAAATATTTTGTGGCCATCCTTTCTCAAAAATCATACATACAACACTGGATACTATATAAAATTAAATACATTTATCTAGCCATTAGGTATGGTGTTGATTCATTAACCAAGGTCATTGTACGAAAGTAAGACGCTAAAACCCATTTCTTTTCATTTCAATAACATTTATTTTCTTGGTGAATAATACGTCTTATTTTAAATCAAATAAATTCAGTAATAAGTTTTTTTTTAAAAGAAACCCCAGTTGACTAGATTAAAATTTATCAATATGAATAGAAACTGATTGACTGTCTATTTACATAATTCTATATATATACTAAATGTATTGACAATAGATTTAACAGGTAATATCCCGGTACCTACTTATAAAGTTCTATGTCTTTTATATAATATTCTTTATTTCTTTTTAATCAACTGGGTATAACCTATGGTGCAACATGTGTAAACACATACACTACATATAGGCTTTAATTATAACATGTTTATTATAATAAAATAACTGACTAAAGACTGGTTTCAGTTAAAAAGAAAGTTACTCAAGTGTTGTTAAAAGTAGGCCTACTCCACCCAACTGGGTTTTTTATTTTAAAGATTTATTTCATACATTTTTATGGTCTTCATTTCAAAGGGTCATTATTTTATACGGTTTTGTGGTATTTATTTCACAAGTTTTTATGGTCTTTATTCCACAAGTTTTTATGGTCTTTATTTCACAAGTTTTTAAGGTCTTTATTTCATAAGGTTTTATATGGTCTTTATTTCACAATGTTTTATGTTTTATTTCATAAGGTTTCATATGGTCTTTATTTCACAATGTTTTATGGTCTCTATTTCATAAGATCATTATGTCATAAGTTTGTATAGTCTTTATTTCAAAGGGTCTTTATTTTATACGTTTTTATGGTCTTTATTTCATAAGTTTCTATGGTCGTTATTTCATAAGTTTTTGTGCTCTTTATTTCATAAGGTTTTAAGATCTTAATTTCATAGGGTTTTATGGTCTTAGAAAACTATCTAATTAAATTACCAAACTGGAATGAAGTGGCATTTAATGTCCTTCTGCTACTTTTCTGCATTAACCAATTTAATAAGTAAAGGAAGATGAACAATAAAATAAGAAAACTATAAAACCTTGTATAAAAGATTCATATTCATACTAATAATATGTAACTAAATAAGGAATAGAATCCCATATCAAATAATTATAGCGCAATCAACTATTGGGTTGTTAAAAAAAATCAATCTAGAAGAGTACACCCCAAGGATATATATTTAACTTTTGGTCTCCTAACACCAGCACCCCCTACAATTAATTACAAATGAAATGAAATGAAATGGAGTTTAACGCCCTACTGTTCTGCTCCTAACCTGGGCTAATGAAGACGGGCATACGCCATACAGTGTGCTATGAGGGAAATTTTGCCCGGACAGCGGCACTACAGCCTACTTTTATATCAAATTCCAACTGCCAAGGGATCTTTTACGTGCACGCCAATGTGTAGACGGGACCTCGGTTTTTCGTCCCATCCGAACGACTAAACTGCTTTCCTTGTCAGCCCCTCCGTCCTGTATCACTGACAAGGGAGAACCACGCCGGAAAATCTGGATGAACTTTCTCGGCGTGCAGGGATCGAACACCCGACCTCCAGGCTAGTGAGCTAGCGTCTTACCCACTTAGCCACGTGATCCCCCAATTAATTACAATTTGTTATAAAGTCTCTAGAAGAGTACATGCCAAGAATATATTTTCAACTTTTGCTCTCCTACTACCACCCCCTACAATGAATTACAATCTGTTATAGGATATTAATCTGTTCATAATTGGAAAAGAATCTATTATAAAACATGTATAACAATACCTGTGTTTATAACAATTTATGTCAAACCATGGTAATAACTGATTACTAATCCATAAATCTATAAATTTTCTCGTTAATTTACGGATATGATGTCAATCAATATTTTAACACCAATATCCGGATAATCTATCAGCTTTTCTCGATAAAGTATTATTTGTTCCTAAAACCAATTCATGAAGATTGGGCTCTTATAAAGGGAAGATATCATTTTCTTTGTTAAATACAATGTATAAATTCAACAAGGAATTGATCAGGGTTTAATAAATAAATAACACTGTATCAAGGTTTATAACTGAGATACATTTACATTCATTTTTTTTATTTTCTGAAGTTTCAAGAGCAATGCAAAGATAGAGAATTTTAATTCTGAAAGTGGCATTTTCAGCCATTCTTCTTCAAATTCAAACTTTTTAGGCTTCCATGATTCATTTGATTTAATCAACCAGACATTGTATTATGTTGTTTATTTTCAACAGATTGAGTTAAATATGTATAGTCTATATAGCTTTTTATTTTCTGGTTATCATGGGTTATCCTTAAAAAGCAGATTATTCATGACATATTATAAATCAATCATTTTGTACTTTTGGGTATTTTTCATTATCATGAAGGTATCTCATGGTTCTTAGAATAAATAAATAAATAAATAAATAAATAATTTATCTTTTACCCATATTAATTCCCCTTTCTGACTAACAACATTTTGCCATACTTTTACAGTGCATGACTTTATTACATGAAAATTAACTGAAGACATTTAATAAAAATATTTTTCATAGCTTTGAAAATTATAAAATGTCCCAAATAACAATATCTCATCCATTTCCTAGTGATTTTGATATTAATTTGGATTTACATTTGTATTTCTCCTATTTTATTTTAACAATATTTTTAAATTTTCTCCAATTTTATTTTAACAATATTTTTTAAAATTATTATCAACAGCAAGACTTTAAAGTTTGGTATTAGCATGACGTATTTTATGCGTTAAACCTTGGGTTGAATTATGTATTGTTGGGTATAATAGACTTGTTTATTCTATACAGCATGTTTAATAAACTTCAATCAAAACCATAATAATAAACTACTAGTGTATATAGACTTACTTACCATCAACATTATTATTATCTACCTAATAAAACTTTCTATATCTACTAATATATAACAATGAAACTACCGTTATACGCTCAATACACTGTCACAGGGGACACTTGCTATCACGTGATGACAACGTCGCTAGGTTACCTAAGTTGCCTCGTTCTAGCGTTAATCTAAGCGTGTAATACAGGGTATTATTCCCACTTGTTTATCTCGGAATTAGTAAATACATACTTATTGTCCCATGATCAATATTGTTTAACTCTTATTGTTAAATATAGATCGACTTAAAGTCTACTTGAAGCTAGAGTACAATACACACATTATTATCTTAGATCGCTTCGTTTACTCTTATACGTGATGTGGGTAAGAAGTACGTACTGGATTAAACCGATAAAATGTTTTTGCGCTTTATAAAATCGCATACTGGGATTTTCAATTTTAATTTATATCAAAGAGAGATGGAGTGATTTAATTCAGCAAAGTCAATCGTAAGGAAATATCATCTGAAAAAGCGGTATATTATTATATGCCTGATGATCCCCGTACGCCGTAGTGGGTGAAAGCGCTAACTAAGATGAAATTAGTTTTTTCTTTCTAAAAACCTCATATTTCTATACTTTTACCCGAGAGTAGAATCTTTTATTTATTTTATATATCGTGATCGTTGTGCATATACAGATCTGTAGAATTTTGAGAAAATTGTCCTCCATTGTACAAATTTAATCAGCAACGCAATAAAAACAAGCCAACACAGCGAGGCTGATGTTCCACGCTGAAATCCCAAAATAAATAGACTTTTGTTGTTTTTTTACTAATATTTTTATTACTTTAAATGGAATGCAAAAAATCAGCCCATTTGCCTATCTTGCTCTTTATGCGCCCCTGGTTGTTATGTTCCAAAGAACATGTATTAAACAATCAAATTGCTTTATCTCTGCTTTAGAGGAAAATGTGCATCACCTAATAGACACCTACACCAAGTTTAAACATGCTAACTCAATTAGAAAGGGAGTTATTGTATTCCAAAGTCTCGACCAATCAAATTAAAGTCTTTAGCTAGCATAAGCAGAAAATGTTCATCATCATGCAAACTTTAAAGGCTCAATACCACTCTTGTTGTAACTGAATAATAGTCCCAATCTTTAATCAGGTTAACAAATTGTACTATTTTACAATATTCCAATTAATTGATGATACAAATTTCATCTTAACACACCTAATTTAAAAAATTGGAAAAATTCAACTAAATATGATTTGAAAAGCCTAACGTAAACCTTTTCAAATGTGACTTGGATTTAAAAATATTTTGGAACCCTCTGGACAAGTAAAATAGGATGTAATGGATAATTTAAACAACAGGTAGGACATTTAAACATCTAATACTTAGAATAAGGCTATTATTTATTTTCTGGAACTGTCAAGCCAGCAATTTAAGAGTGTTATCGTCCCTTAAATTAGTCAAGGTATTGATAGAATGAAACTATACCCACTTTCACTTCTCTCAACTCAATTACAATCAACGTTTATCGAGCTCTAAAGTCTCGACCAATCATACATACTGATCACGCTGCTTACCTGGCTACAGTAATATTGTTGCACTAAACTGGAGTAAGACGGAAGGCATCGGTAGTGGAACCATTTCTAGCTGCTTACACTGAGCAGAATATGCATATTATCGAACTCAGTGAATAGTATTGATGTAATCTTAACTCTCTTTTAGTTGGTCTTCCTTGTCGCCTATTGCATAAACTACAAAATGTCCAGAATTCAGCTGCTAGACTGGTTACCAGAACAAAACTGAATGAACATGTTACACCCATTTTGTACACCTTACACTGGCTGCCAATTATTTATAGAATCCGTTTTAAGATTTTACTCTTAACTTTTAAATGTTTAAATGGAATGGCACCTGCGTATTTGTGTGAACTAGTAGAATGGTACTCACCATCACGAAGTCTACGTTCATCAAGTGACTATCTCCTTAAACGTCGAACTGCGAGACTATCGACATATGGAGAAAGATCATTCTCGTACCAAGCCCCACTGCTCTGGAATGGACTTCCGATTAATATACGCAGGTGTCACACCTTACCGACTTTTAAATCACTTCTTAAAACTCACCTATTTGTACAAGCTTTTACATAATTTATCTATGTTTTATAATTTTATAGAGGTTCCATAATTTTTATAAACAATTTATTTTTGAATAATTTTATCCATTATAGTTTTTTTTTAAATGATTTTATTTCTTTTTGTATGATTTTATACCATTATTGTTAAGCGCATTCGAACACTTTATAGTGGAATCTGCGCTATATAAATTTATGTAATAATAATAATAATAATGAAACAATACACAAAGTTTCATTACTCTCACTTAATTAAAACAAAAGTTCTCCAATCCGAACAACACCCTACCTGCAGAAAAAATAGCTTGATTAGCATTTAGTTTTTGAACGTTAGTTAGGTACGCAAAGTTATTGTGTCTCAAAGCATAAACTGCCATCAACTAATCAAATTGTTCTTCGCCTAAGCAGAAGATTCTCTTCTTCAAACTCCACCAATTAAGGCATTCACCTAATAAACACCTACACCAAATTTGAACATTCTAGCACACTTAGAAAGAGAGTTATTGTGTCCCACCCAAAAAGTGTGACAGACAGACAGACGGACAGACCCATTCGAAAGGGGGGGGGGGAAATACCAGTCAATAATGACAGTGGTCTGATCCCTATGAAATTGTAGGTTATCCCTAGTCTCGTTCACCCACAACCTCCTAATATTCGTAAAATATTTGTCTGAATGATAAGAGACATTTGCCCAGGAACGTTTTTAAAAGGAGCTAAATCGCTATTCTTTAGCACCTAGAAATGGACACAAATGCCCAGGAACGTTTTTAAAAGGAGATAAATTGCTATTCTTTGGCTATTAAATGGACACAAATAGGGCGCATGAATGTATATAAACTGATTTATATTCATTCAATCGTTTCTGATTTTACTGTAATTTCAATTAGTTATATGGTTATATGTTCGGCGAAATACGCGAAGAGTCCAAATTGAATGTCAGTCTTTGGTGTCTGTTTATTTACGTCTATATCAGTAGTATTCTCCTACAAGGGATATGCGTAGCCTCGTTCATCGAGTCACTTCATACAAATGGTGCTCAAAATCATTCTGGCACGCGATTTGTGTGTCAGTTTTAACATTTTCATTTTGTCTGAAATATTGGATATCAGAACTCCAACTTTTCACGGTAAGATATAAGATAACAACGTCAATGTTGCTTTAAATTGACTAATAATTCGTGTTTGGAATGTTGAAATAAGGAAACGTTTTTGTAATTACTATGATATGAGTTGATATTATTGGTGGATTTGGGCAAGTCGTACTGCCTTCTGTTATCTTCTTTTGGTTGAACAGACTTGAACAAACACCTCACCAAAATTATTTGATAAATTTTCCTGACTTTAATAAAAAGAAACCAGCGGTTGCCAGCCAAGATACGCCCACATTATGCAAGAGATGGATAGAGAACAAGCTTCAAACAAAAGTGATTTTCGTACAATCAGGGACCATAATCCAGAAAATTATGGTCTGAAATGCCCAAATATCGAAAGGGACAGATCTTTGGGGTATAAAGATATATTTTAAATTTCATCAAAATCGGATGAAAATTGTGACCTCTGGAGGGTCCTCAACCTTCAAATTACAAATTTGCATAAAATTTGGGATTTTTCATATAATCAGGGGCCATAATCCATGAAGTTATGGTCTGATACATGCCAATATCCAAAGGAGGAACCGAGATCTTTTGGAGATAGACCTTTCAAGTTTCGTTAATAAATGGATATAAATTGTGACCTGTAGAGTGTCCACAAATTAATTGTGGACTGAGGGATGGACAGGGGCAACAGCATCATACGTCCACATGAAAATGTGGGTGTATACAAAGACAATTTATAGATATTATAGATAGTGCCTCATAAATGTGTTCTTTCCTAGGTGTATGTCATTTGAATGAAATTTATTGCAGGTTGTACATATATATATATATATATATATTATAGGTCCAGCCTAGAGAGTGCAATTAACAGCGTAAAGTCTTCTCTTGGAAGCAACATATAATTAACCAGAAGCAACATCATAAATATACAATATCAAATAGAAAACGATTTAAAACCTGTCAATAACACTATATAATATAAAGCTTCCCAAATACTGTAATTTTAATGAAATATTCTGAAGTCTAACAACTAGTTATTTCTTGTACAGAAAATTATATAACAAATCACCATACATCATTAACAGAATAAGACTTTCTCTGATAACGCAACAAAGTTAAAATTCTTGTAAACAAAAGTAGGGCTGGTATCAACTGCCATAATTAATAGGTTATTTCCAGTAATTATTTATAACATAAACGCAAGATAGTCTTTACCTGACTAAATTTTGACAAAACCTGGGTATGCGTTGGGTGAATAATATCCATGTATATACCTCAAACATTATTTGTAGGATCACAATTTTAAGAATGGAATTTAAAACTAGTATAACAATACATAACTCATTACTCATATTGAATACAATTTACAAAGTAATATATAACACATATTGATTACAAATTAGATCTACTATAGTAATTATACTCATTAAATACAATTAACAAATACTATAGCATTACATGTATATAATTACAGTAAACTTTGAATAAGTCGGATCTAAGTGGACTGACCAATTTTATCCTATTTAAGCGAAGATCCGTGTTAGCTGTAGACGTAAATTCAATCTTACCTCGATTAGAAATAAACTGCAAGAGCCGGATAATAATTGATTCAAAGGCACATTTCAAGCTTTTGTTCGTATATGCGAGTAGAAAACTTCCGTTTTGGTGCGAGTAGATAACTTCCGTTTTGTCGCCATCTGTGAAAAATTCCTAAATTTTCTCGTACAGCAGACAGCAAGTTTCGAATTTTCTGTGAAAATTCTATTATTGTGCCGCGTCAAATAAGCTGATTTGAGTCAAAATCATAGGGGAAAGTATTTTGGGGCTCTGTGCATGGAATACCTAACCGCGTTTTTGACCATCGGGACAAAACTGACTTAGATCAAATAGATCAAGCATTTTAATCCGAGTTGAGCGAAGATCCGACTTAGGAAATCCGACTTAAGCACATAAATTTAATTAGAAAAACGCACAGGATCGAAGGGTCCAGTTGAGCAAAGATCTGCCTTGTACGAATCCGACTTATGTAATATTGAATAACAACAAATCAATAACAATATCAGAATTGGAATACACAAAGGCATGGGTCATCTAATCATAAGCAATTTTTGTGAGCTAAAATGCCCCATGGCCATTCATGTAAAATAATATTTTAAGGAATCTGCCTTTTCAGAGTCAAAATTCAAGAAGTCTGCATTAAATGTGGGTGTAGAAAAGGGGATTCCTTAAGATATTTTAGCTTCTGTCTAATCTAAGTTCATACATTCCACCACATGGATCTGTAGAGTGTCTAAATCTGGACATTGCAAGTTACATTTTGGACAAATAAATTCTACCTCTTCCTCTTGATTATACATGTCTTCTTGTCTTGTATTCTGTTTAATGAGAAAATAATGTATATTTGATGAGTAAATGAATAATATATGTCAGTCTGTAATACATCTTGTAATTTCAAGCTAATATCAGTCCAAAAATGGTTCATTGTAGTTAAAGTAGCTAAGTCTCTAACTAAATATCATCCAAAATCCTCAATATTGAAAACACGAATTATTTGTCAATTTAAATCAACATTGATGCTGTGATCTTACCGGAAAAAGATGGGCTTCTGATATCCAATATTTAAGACAAAATAAACATTTTGCCATTGGTACACGAATCATGTACCATAATGCGTTTCAGCCCCAGTTGTAACAAGAGACTCGAGGAACGAGGCTAGACACATTGCACCAAATCAAACGGCGTCGCCATATTCTTATCTGGAGACCATGCGCAATAAATACTATGTAGACTGGAATAACCAGATGCTAGAAATTTGCATTTGATTGAGACTGTTGGCTTATTTCGCCAAACATAACTGATTTGAAATTAGAGTAAAAACGGAAACCATTGAATGTAAATCAGTTTATATACATTCATATTACAGTATTATATGCGTTGCGACCTAATTGTGTCAATTTCTAGGTCCCAAATGTTAGCGATTTAGCTCCTTTAGATATTTACAAAAATATGATGGAAATATTCTGATTGGATCCGAGCAGGGAGATTATCCACCACTCATATTTTGGTTTGGGTTAATTATCAAATGTTAAATAACAAGCCAACAGTGAGACTGATGTCCCCCGCCGAAATCCCCAAATAAATAGATGACACATATTAATTAATCGCACATTTATTTTTTTCAAAAGTATCGAGCAATCAAACTGATTATCAACTATACACTAAGTTTCATCACTCTCTATCAAATAGAATCAAAGTTATTTTGTCCCAAAGCATCAACCAAGGAAATTGCTTATCTCTGCTTAGCTTTAGCTCGATATGTTAATCATTGAGCTCAGTCAAGACGAACATCTACCTCAATTAGAAGCAGAGTTGTTATGTTCCAAAGTCTTGACCAATCAAAATGCTTATTGCTCCTTAGCCTAAGCAGACAATTCTCGTCATCGAACTTAGTCAAGGTATTGATGTAATGAAACTATACACCAAGTTTCATCACTCTCACTTAAATAGAACTAAAGTTATCGTGTCCCAAAGCATCAACCAATCAAATTGCTTATCTCTGCTTACCCTAAGCAGAAAATGCTCATCTTCGAACTCCATCAAGGCATTGACCTAATAAACACCTACACAAAGTTTGAACATTCTAGTTCAATTAGAAGGAGAGTTATTGGGTCCTAAAAAGTGTGATGGACAGACAGACGGACCGACGGACAGACAGACGGACGAACCCATTTTAATAGTCCCCTGCTTTCTTCGAAAGGCGGGGGACAATAAAAATCATTTGAGAACATTTTAGTGAGATATCGTAGGAAAAATGTATGATCGTGATATGTAACTTTAAGACAAATTTTCACAGCACCCAATTTATAAAATGTCCTCTAAGCCAATGTTTGAAGTTTGGTAGGTTTTCTTTTCAAAGTTTGTATGCAATGAAGATATCTAACAAGATACCTCCAATTGCCTCTCTTAGTCTTACCTGTGGAGGTGTTTGACTCATTGTCGCAGAATACCCAGCAGGCAATGTATAATCATAACCATGGGGTGGTAAGTGTGAGTTTGTCACATGATAGAAACCTTCTGACGGTTGGTTATTGGCCCGTTGTTGCATCTCTTGTAGTTGACGAGCCGAATAGGCCTCCATCTCATCCTGGAGTTGTTGGTTTGATAAACGAAGATGTTCCATATCTTTTAAAATCCTTTCTTTTTCTTGAACTTGTTTTTCTCGCGCGTTCCTTTCAGCATCAAAATCACATTTAAATACATCAGCCTGAAACAGGAGGAACAAACACAGTCAATGTGAGGCCTATGCTAATATTGGAAATCTAAATATATCATAAAGCATGTTATTTATCCAAGTTTAAGCCAGACTTTCACTTGATAAGGTACAAGATTGCCTACCTACCCATCTGGGTTTTCTCCAACTACTCTGCTTTCTGCCCACTGCGTGCAAGGAAATGGATATAATAGGAATATTTTATATTTGAAATGAACAGGTTAGTGTCTTCCTCTCTTTATTTTACTTGTACATAAATTATTCAGGCCACTTTCCATAGAAATTTCAAAGTGTATTCAAATTAAGACTCTCGTCAAGGTCCACATGCAGGGACTCTTCTAGGACATATTCCTCGCAGTGTTTGGTTTGATTAGAGCTAATCCCACTTAACACTGCTGTACAGGAATTAAATTTCTGTTCCAAGTTATGACTGGTCAATAGTCCGATTAACAACCAATAGCTAACTGCATAACAATATCATTACGCTTTAAAAAGAGCTCCAAATTGGATCAAATATGACTCACGATTTTATTATGCCCAATTAACCAGTGGATAGCAGAATATTGCAGAATAACTAATTGCGTGACAAACGAGGCTATCAACATGGATACAATGTAAACAATACTGTTTGGAGATGAACATACTATCACCATTTTTAATACCTTAAATCACTGTCCAAAATTTTAGAAAAGATCCCAGATTAAAGAAAGGGCTGTCATGTTGCTGTACTTGGGATAGATTTGATTGAACGGGAAGAATAGACACACTCCCTCAAAAGCCCAAATATCAGAAGTCAATCCAGCAATGGCCAGAGACTTCTTGGGCCATTGCTTCAAGAATATGCTTCTAGGATAGAATATTCTATATAATCATTATATTTACCTGTGTTTTGTAAACGTCACATTCTTCCCTGACTGCTGTTAATTCTTTTTTAAGGTCAGCTACAGTTTCATCTCTCAATGTTAATGCTTCTTCTGCTACAATAACTTGGCATGTTAATTTGTTAATATCTTCTTGCAATTTACATACTTTTTTTTTTGCTTCTTCATTAGACACATGATCCTACAAAACAAAAAGAATTCAGCAAAACGCTGGAAAGTGAAATGGGATTTCTATCCACTTAACACAAACTAAGCAATTTTGGGATTAACAAGGATATATTTTCATAAATCACTTATTGCACATATAGGTCTTTAAGTGTAGGAAGAAACAGCAGATCCCAGAGAAAAACCCTCAGGTTAAAAGCCCCTTGTCTCTTTATGTTTGTTTCCATTCAGTTAACCAGCGGCTGCCAGGCAGGATACGCCCACATTTTCGAGAGATGGATAGAGAACAAGCTAAAAAGAAAGTGATTTTTCCTACAATCAAGGGCCATAATTCATGAAGTTACAATTTGATATGCGCAAATATCGAAAGGAACCAAGATCTTTGGATTATAAACATGCATTTCGAGTTTCATCAAAATCGGATTAAAATTGTGACCTCTACAGGGTCCACAACCTAGATATACCATATTTTTACACTTTTTGCGTACAAGTGGTGGCCATTTTGTCCGGCAGTTTTGGTTTGATTTTCAGGAAATTTGAACTCAACCTTTATTATGGTGTTACTGTGATATATTCAAAAGATTTTTAAAATCAGATAATAACTGTGACCTTCGGAGGGACCACAAGCTAAAAAAGGCGATTTTTTGTATAAAGGAACCAAGATCTTTGGATTATAAACATGCATTTCGAGTTTCATCAAAATCGGATTAAAATTGTGACCTCTACAGGGTCCACAACCTAGATATACCATATTTTTACACCTTTTGCGTACAAGTGGTGGCCATTTTGTCCGGCAGTTTTGGTTTGATTTTCAGGAAATTTGAACTCAACCTTTATTATGGTGTTACTGTGATATATTGAAAAGATTTTTAAAATCAGATAATAACTGTGACCTTCGGAGGGACCACAAGCTAAAAAAGGCGATTTTTTGTATAATCAGGGGCCATAATTCAGGAAGTTACAATCCGATATGCGACAATATCGAAAGGAACCAAGATCTTTAGGTTATAAACATGCATTTTAAGTTTCATCAAAATCGAATTAAAATTGCGACCTTTACAGGGTCCACAACCTTGATATACCATATTTTTACACTATTCGCGTACAAGCGGCGGCCATTTTGCCTGGCAATTTTGGTCCGATTTTCAGGAAATTCGAACTCAACCTTCATTACAGTGTAACGGTGATATAATCAATTGATTTTTTTAATCGGATAATAATTGTGACCCCCAGAGGGAACACAAGCTAAAAAAGGCGATTTTGCATACAATCAGGGGCCATAATTCAGGAAGTTACTATGCGATATGCGCAAATATTGAAAGGATCCATGATCTTTAGGTTATAAACATGATTTTCAAGTTTCATCAAAATCAAATTCAAATTGTGACCTATACAGTGTCCACAACCTTTATTTACCATAAAAGGCGATTTTGTGTATGTCCAATCAGGGGCCATAATTCAGGAAGTTACTATCCGATATTCACAAATATCGAACGGAACCCTGATCTTTAGGTTATAAACATGTATTTCAAGTTTCATCAAAATCAAATTAAAATTGTGACCTATATAGGGTCCACAACCTTGATTTACCATATTTTTACACTATTTTTCTAGTTACGGTCCAATATGCATGAATATCGAAAGGAACTGAGATCTTTGAGTTATAAACTTACATTTCAAGTTTCAACAAAATCAGATAAAAATTGTGACCTCTATAGGGTCCACAAGCTAAAAACATGATTTTTCGTATAAACAGGGGCCATAATCCATGATGTTTCAATCCGATACATGCCAATATCGAACGCAACCGAGATCTTTTGGGGATAAACCTATATTTCAAGTTTCGTCAAAATCGGACAAGAATTGTGACCTGTAGAGAGTCCACAAACCAATTGTGGACGGACGGACAGGGGCGACGACAATATACGTCCACATGAAAACGTAGGCGTATAAAAATTAATAGATTTTCCTTTCATAGATGTATTGGTATGATTGAAAATTACTAAGTTTCTAACTAACAGCTAAAAATATCCATTTGTTTTTTTAAATAAATAACAAGGGAGAAATAAGACAGTGAACATAGAAACCAAATCATATTTTATGAGCGAGGTCAGACTTTGTTGGGAAACTCAAATGTCTTCCTTTTCAGCTATGGTATGTATCAGTTTATCCCCTACTAAAATTAATTTTTCTTAGTAAATGTTCTATGAATTTAGCTCAAATAAATTTTATAATTCACTTGTAATACATTTTAGAATTCACTTAAAATAAATTTTAGAATTCACTTGAAATAAATCTGAATACGGTAGGGTGAGGTATCATTACAAATTTTCAAAAACAAGAGATGGATAGAGAACAAGCTAATAAAAAAACCTTTTTTTTCGTACAATCGGGGGTCTTCCTGGTCTGAAATGCATGAATATCGAGATGGATTACTGAGATATTTGGGATATAAAGATATATTCTAAGTTTCATCAAAATCGGATAAAAATTGTGACTTCTAGAGTGTCCACAACCTTGGTATTACATACTTTTACACTATAAAAATAGTTGCCTCTAGAGGGACCTCAAGCTAAAAATGTGATTTTTCGTACAATCAAGGGCCATAAGTCAGGAAGTTACGATCTGATATTTGCAAATAGACAGGAACCAAGATCTTTGGGTTATAAATATTTATTTCAAGTTTCATCAAAATCAGATCAAAATTGTGATCCTCTAGAGAGTCCACACTCCACAACAATGATGTACCGTATTTTTACACTACGTACGGGGGGCGGCCATTTTGTCTGGCAGTTTTGGTCCGGTTTTCACAAAATTTGAAATCCAAACAGACAGGGACGATGACAATATACATCCACATGAACATGTCGGCGGATAAAAACATAATGACACTGATCTTAGCAAAGACCAAACTGTGGTATTCTTACCTAATTTCAGATATTTCGTACTACATTCAATTTAGCTATTCAATTTACTATCAGTTCAAAGTTACAGCAAAGAAGACTGGAATACGAGATAAAGTGTCTTGAATAAGGACACAAGGATTCCACAATGAACTAAAGCGAGGACTGAAAATATTTATCACTGTATGATTACAGATCCTAGCCTATTATCTGCTGTGCCATTTTCCTTGAATTATGTACTTACCTGTGATGTTTTGTATTCGTCAAATTTATTCAACAATTCTTTATAATCAGTAATCAGACGATTAAACGATTCACGTAATTCTTCCATATCGCTCCTGGAAATTAAAAAAATGTTTAAGAAGAATTAGAATTATAATTCTGAAAAGAACTCCGGTTGAGTTCTAAACATTCAAGGAAAATCATATCTTCTGAGATATGACTGCTCAATGATGAATATCATGATACAAACAACATGCGACCATTGTAATATTTATTGTTATATAAATAAAAATATGATTATTTTTATATGAAATGGCAGTATCCGATTCCAGTAACCAGAATATTTCATTTTATATGGCATTTCAATTGTATATGGTATAAATGGTATAATATCAACCCAAAAGATAGAGGGGACAATGCTGTTAATGAATATAAACAAAAGCAAAAATACAAAGAGTATGGTTGCCCATTTAAACTGTAGAGAGTCAATAAGACGGGTGGGAGCGATCATGGTTCCTAACAATATTATAAGTAAAGTCCTAGTGACTGTTGTAAAATATTACTTGGTAGTAATGTGTTGTTCTTGTTCCTGTTTATAATTAGTTTGTAGAATGGTTAGGTGGGATTGTAGTGATAGAGTAATTCTCGATTTTTCACTCTCTACTGATGATATATCTTCAAGCAGCTTTTCATTCTTCACTTCCAATTCACGTATTCTGTAAAATAATAGTGAAAACCATTGGTAAATACACACAAATTTTAAATTTCGTATTCTTGCATTTATAGAACTTGGTTCTTGATTTTACCTGCTGGAGATTATTACCTGATGAGAAAAGTTTTCATTTCTTGGTCACTTATGGCAGAGACCACCTACTACCAACTGCATGTAGTTTCGACTTATGGTCAAACCTGCTAAGGCATTTAATATATCATACTATACAAATGTTGCGATAAGGTAAAATTGAAAAGATAGGTTGCCAGGCAACAAAACATACGCCGACAGCAGCTATATCGTCCGGGCAGTCAATAAGAGTTGTTGCATATTTTTACTTTTATCGGTAATGGAACATTTATAATACATTAAAATCTGATTAAGAGTAACAACTCATTAAGTAATTATCAGAAAACCATTAGAATTTGTTTGGTTTTTATAAAGTTCTGCCCCATGCTAATGTTCAGTATACGAAACTTTTAACATCATGGATTTAGCTGTTCAAGTCATAAAGATTCATTGAAAATCAATATACTTGTTCGTCTCAAGACCTTAAACACTGTGTATAAATTTACAGTCAATCAGATTTTAACTTTAGCCTCTAGAGCGTCCACAAGATTTTTCAAAGTGATCAAGGGCCATAACTCTGGCAGTAATTATCGGAAATTGCTGAAAATCAATAGGCTTCTTCGTCTCGTGACCTTAAACACTATCTATAAATTCAAAGTCAATCGGATATTAACTTTAGCCTCTAGAGCGTCCACAATATTTTTCAAAGTGATCAAGGGCCATAACTCTGGCAAAAATAATTGGAAATCGCTGAAAATCAATAGGATTCTTCGTCTCATGACCTTAAACACTGTGTATAAATTTAAAGTCAATCGGATATTAACTTAAGCCTCTAGAGCGTCCACAAGATTTTTCAAAGTGATTAACGGCCATAACTCTGACATTAATTATTGGAAATCGCTGAAAATCCATAGGATTCTTCGTCTCATGACCTTAAACAATGTGTATAAATTTAAAGTCAATCGGATATTAACTTTAGCCTGTAGAGCATCGACAAGATTTTTCAAAGTGATCAAGGGCCATAACTCTGAAAGTAATTATAGGAAATCGCTGAAAATCAATAGGCTTCTTCGTCTCATGACCTTAAACACTGTGTATAAATTTAAAGTCAATCGGATATTCACTTTAGCCTCTAGAGCGTCCACAAGATTTTTCAAAGTGATAAAGGGCCATAACTTTGGCAGTAATTATTGGAAATCGCTGAAAATCAATAGGCTTCCTCGTCTCATGAACTTAAACACTGTGTATAAATTTAAAGTCAATCAGATATTAACTTTGGTATCTAGAGCGTCCACAAGATTTTTTGAAGTGATCAAGGGCCATAACTCTGGCAGTAATTATCAGAAATCGCTGAAAATCAATAGGCTTCTTCGTCTCATGGCCTTAAACACTGTATATAAATTTAAAGTCAATCGGATATTAACTTTAGCCTCTAGAGCATCCACAAGCAATTGTGGACGCCGGACCGACAATATACGACCACATTTCAATGTGGGCGTATAAAAGTCAAATTCTTATATCATTAATATAAAACACATTAACAAATAAATATGCTGCTACAAAAATGGGGTACCAAAAGTATTTCTATACCGAGTATACCAATCTGATTAAAACACAGATACTATTTTGTTTCATTTTTTATAATTCAAAATTTCGTTTTACTTGTCTTTACTACACTAGGGTCTGTTACGGCAAGTTTTAGCGTGAGTTGCACGGAACTGTGGGTAACCCACTAGAAACTTCATCACCGATTGGTAAATCGGAAGTCTGATACCGTAGGGTCAAAAGCCTTCCACTACAACTGGTCAGATATTCATGTAGTAAAGGCCATCAAAAGTATAAAAAGGCGAAATGAAATATAGATCTGTATTTTATTTTTAATCAGAATGTGAGTATACAATCAGCTTTTATTAACCTTGCTTTAAAGATACATTCCTGTGTACAAACTTTGTGATTTGATGATATATTTGGACTAAAAACATATTCAAACTAATTAATTTATCATAATTTTGCTTCAAATCCTTCTCAAAACATTGTAATTGCTAAGGAATACCCTGCTATAAAAATCGATCAAAAGAGGCCATGTTTGTGTCATGTGACTTACTTCTCTCGGTACCTATAGCAACGGGTGTGAAGTCGGAGGAGTATTGATTGTATACACAAGACGATGTTGTCTTTAATCGCTGACTATTTATTACAAATATTGAATCCTAATTAAATTCTCGGATTATCCACTGCTCGCGTCTTTTTCCGTGATTTTTACGTCTAACTCTTCATAAATTTTATCAACATGTACACCAAGCGCCCAATCTTCGCGTGCAACCTTCGACGTCACGCATGCAGGTATTCCAAATCGTCGGGCTGTCGATTAGGGAAACCCTTACATTTTTGTCCCGTATACGGTCCATGAGTGTTTTTCAGGGAATCCAGTATTTTTCTAGTAAGATTGGATATCTCTTCTTTCCATATATACCAAAATTGCCATACTTTTATTGGAAATAACCACCTGATAAATACTTTTCCGGGAACCTACCTTTAAGCCTAAACTAACTTTGATAATTTTCTACTACAGTCACACAGGAACCTCAAGGATTCATCAAGTTCACTGACCTTTTATTTTTCCTTTCAATAGAATTATTAGCCGCCACTAGTTTGCTACTATGATCATGTACTTCATCCATCAGTTCTATCACCTGTGCTTTCAATGATTCAACTGTTTCTTTACTTGATGTCTGTGATTTCAACTACAAGAAAATAATTCAGAAGCAAAATGAAATCTTCAGGTTATAACCTGCTCAACAAAAAAGCATTGTATGAAATATTTTATATAAACATCAAATCCTTATAGTGCACAACTGCCCAAACTCAAGAAACATACCTACACACCAAATATAGTGGTTAGATTTTAAGCAGTCATGATAGACCAAAAATTAACCAGCGGTTGTCGGGCAAGATATGCCCACATATTGCAAGAGATGGATAGAGAGCAAGTTGGTAAATAAAATGGTGATTTTTCGTACAATTAGGGGCCATAATCCAGTAAGTTACGGTCTGAAATGCATGAATATCGAAAGGGACAGAAATCTTTGGAATATAAACATATATTTTAAGTTTCATCAAAATAGGACAAAAATTGTGACCTCTAAGGGGTCCACAACCTTCGTATTACATACTTTTATACTATTTGCGTACAAGCAGCAGCCAGTTTGTCTTGCAGAATCATTTCAATTTTCCTTAAATTTGAGCTTTACCTGCCTTATGGTGTAACGGTGATATATTTCAACGGTTTTTAAAATCGGATAAGAATTGTGACCTCTAGAGGGTTCACAAGCTCAAAATGTGATTTTTAGTACAATCAGGGGCCATAATCCAGGAAGTTATGGTCTGATATGCGCGAATATGGAAAGGAACCAAGATCTTTAGGATATAAACACATATTTTAAGTTTAATCAAAATCGGATAAAAATTGTGACCTCTAGAAATAACTCAACCTTTATCATGCTGTAACAATGACATATTTAAACGCAAATTGTAAACTCTAGAGGCACCAAAAGCTAAAAACATGATATTTTATACAATCAGGGGCCACAATCCAGGAAGTTATTGTCCAATGTGACGAATATCGAAAGGAACTGAGACCCTTTGGTTATAAACATACATTTCAAGCTTCATCAAAATCAGATAAAAATAAAAATTGTGACCTCTAGAGTTTCCACTAGTTAAAAACAAGATTTTTCTTACAATCAGGGGTAAGGCTGGGAATCGATATGAAATTTCAATATCGATTATCGGCAAGAATTTGTCAGCGATTATCATTCTTTCGGAAAAATGTGTTATTTGTGTTGATCGAGTTACAGTAGTGTTATTATCCTAGTCTAATACTGTGCCGATGTACGTAAAAAAATCAATTAATGTAAAATAATTACATGTAGTTGCTAAATGTAGGATTAACTTGAGTATTATTCTAAGTTTTGTTCTTGATTCATTTGAACCTTTTTTTATTCCAATATCTCCGATAAATACAAAGGCAATACGTGGTTTCTCTTTGCAAGTGACTGGCGTTCACACAGTGTTACTACTAATAGAATAAAATAAAATAGAAGGCGTCTATTGATTGGACAATAAAAAAATAATTACAGGCTTTCAAAGTAGAATTTTTATGATTGGTTAATTTAGATGAAAACCAAAGTAGAATTCTTCCACGAAATTACGAGAGATATAGATATTTTCCCTGGAAGTCAAAAACGTGTTTTGTATGGGCTGTATCTGACATGATTTAGTAATAAAAGCGGAGTTGATCATTAATAATACAATTAGTTTTATTGTGAAAGCGGACGATTTCTCTACAAATCAATCAAGAACAAAGAAGGGAGATAATTCTAATTTTACTATATATCACGTGCGATTGTCATTGTTCATAAAGTGCGTGACCTATTTTAGTTTCAACTAGTAATAACAACAAAAACAACGTAAATATTAAAATAATGTATTTAATCTTAAAGTTTAGTTTTTTACAATAATATATATTTAAAATGTGCCAGTTTGTAAGCAGAGGGGGGAAATAGTTGTTGTGTTGACGTTGTGTATTCATTCATTCGTCTGCTAATGCCAGACTCCAGCAAGTTCAGTCAAGTGAAAGTGACCGTAACTTGATGTCAGAAGGTAACAAACAAATTGTTGATGGACGGACAGGGGCGACAACAATATATGTATACATGAAAATGTGGGCATATAAAAACCACTGCACATAAACTCAAAGCATATTTATTAAAAGACAAAATCTCTCTACCTGTTCTTCGTGTTTTTTATCAAGTTTCTTGGCAAATTCAGCCATTTTGTCTTCATATTGTTTACTACATTCTGCTAAATCATATTCGTGTTTAAATTGTAATTGTTGAATCTCCTTTTGTTTGTTTTGTTTCTCAACCTCCAACTCTTCAATCTGAAAAAAAAAATCTACAGATAAAACATGGTTAAAATTATAAAACATGTTCAAGTTGTGATCTATCATGAACAACAATCCAACCTACTTTAAAATGCTCCATTGCCACATTCTAAATTTCCATATTTTTGCAAATGATTCTCAATCCATTGGCAGAGTTTAGATGAAGAATGGCTGTGGTATAGATCTTAAAGGGCATCAAATATAAAGTTCATAAACACAAAACAACATATAAATATAAAAGTGGACTGTACCAGGGTATCATTAGACAATGTACTTCTCATTGCCCCATTACATAAAATATCAATAAAATCAAACCTTTTCTCTCTGAATTTGTATATCTCTCTGTAACTGCAGAATCTGTCCTTCGTAATCTTGATTTTTACTTTCTTGCTGTTTCAGTAAATCACTGAATGCTGCTTGTTGATGATTCTCCTCCATTTTCTCTGGTGTTTCCTTCAAATCTACTCTTATTTCTTCTGCTTTAACACTTTCATCATCTCCATTTTCTTCTTTTGCTGCTCCTTCAGTCACATTTTTCTTGGTAACATTCATCCAGTTAATGGAACTTATGGAGTTGTATTGCAACTCAAGGCCAAAGGTCTGGGTTAATTCCAGATTTTCTCGACTCAAACGTTGATAATCTTGTTGAATTTGTTCTTTCAGTTTCTGTAATTCTTTTAAGTCGTGGATCAGGTTCTCATTTGCTTGTCGGGCTTCATGAAGTTCAGCTTCTTTACGATCCAACGATGTCCTCAGTGACTCAAATTCATTTTCTTTCTCTTCACTAAGTTTGACCAAAACCTGAATATACAGCGAAATAATAAAATATTTCATCCAAAATCACCAAAAACTACAACCATAGCATAAATGGGACATTCTTTAATTGCAAATATGAACTTAAAAAAATATACATGTATTGTGAATCACAAAATAGAAATAAAATATATATACTGAGTACACTTTTCTAAAATCAGAAAAAAAAAATGAAATAGAAAAATCAGGAGTTGACAGACTGGTGTGCCTGATGGCAAGGGCATATAAAACAAGTGATTTCCATGCAAGATACGTCCACATTATGCAAGAGATGGACAGAGAACAAGCTAAAATATAAAGCGATTTTTCGTACAATCTGGGCCCATAATCCAGGAAGTTACGGTTTAATATGCAGAAGTATCGACAGGAACTCAGACATATATTTTAAGTCTCATCAAAATCGTACAAAAATTGTTATCTCTAGAGGAACTACAAACTAAATATGATTATCAGAGGTCATAATCTAAGAAGTTACGGTTCAATATATGTGCAAATATAGAAAGAAACTACGATTTTTGGGATATAAACATATATTTTAAGTTGGATTAAAACCGGATAAAAATTGTGACATCTACCTTGGTATTACATACTTTTACATATGTTCACAAGCTAAACAAGCGGTTGCCATGGAAGACATGTCCCCATTTTGCAAGAGATGGACAGAGAACAAGCAGTAAACAAAACAATTTTTCGTACAATCAGGGGCCATGATCCAGGAAGTTACGGTCCAATAAGCGCAAGTATCCAAAGGAACCCAAATATTTGGGATATAAACGTATCGGATGAAAATTATGACCTCTGGAGGGTCCACATTGTGGACTCCACAACCTTGGTTTACATACTTTTACACTATTTGGGTACATGGATTGGCAGTTTCGTCGGGCAGTGTAACGTGTAACGTTGATACAATGAAAGTTTGTTTTTAATCAGATAAAAATTGTGGCCTCTAGAGGGACCACAAGCTAAAAAAACGATTTTTCGCACATTCAGAGAGCATAATCCAGGCAGTTAAAGTCTGATATGCTTGAATATTCAAATGAACCAAGATCTAGAAATTCGAACTCAAAACCATCATCAGGGTGTATCAATGATATATTTAAATGCAAATTGTGACCTCTGGAGGGTCTACAACCTTGTTATTACATACTTTTACACTATTTGAGTAGGTTCAGCGTCCATTTTGTCAGGCAGTTTGCACCTGATTTTCACAAAATTCGATCTTAACCGTCTTTATGGTGTAATGGTGATATATTGAAACGGTTTTTTTAAATAAGATAAAGATTGTGACCTCTAGAGGATTTTTCATTCAATCAGGCGTCATAATCCAGGAAGATCTTTGGAATATAAACATATCTTTTAAGTTTCATCAAAATCAGATAAGAATTGTGACCTTTAGAGGGTCCACAACCTTGGTATACTTTTACACTATTTGCGTGTGAGGAGCGGACATTTTGTTGGACAGTTTCGGTCTGATTTTTGTGAAATTCAAACTTGATCGGCATAAGGGTGAAACAGTGATATATTTGAAAGGTTTTCAAAATTGGATAAAAATTATTACCTCTAGAATGTCCACAAGATAAAAATGCAATTTTTCGTACAATCAGGGACCATAATCCAGGAAGTTATGATCCTATATGCGCCATAAAAACATTTTGGGACATTTAGAAATTGGCCGCATTTCCTTGCCTTTGAAGACTTCTACTTACTGTTTCCATATCAGGAACAGGTTCCCCTTTTTCCGTGGCTTGATTTTGTAAATGTTCTAAAGATGACAAGGTTTGTTTTAATTCATTCACTAATCTTGAACTCTTCTGTTTCTCCTGTAGTAACTGTTCATTATCTCCCTTTAATGCTTCTGCCTCTTGATGCTAGAATGATAGAATGAATAAAAGAATGAAGCATTATCAGCACATTAACCATTGCGACATAATACAGATTGGACAACAAGATTCACTGACAGACTAATCAAAATAGTTGATACAACATCAGTTGTTCTGATTTTGTGTCTATATTAAACCTCTAAATGTCATACATCACTCAAACGGGCAGTGATTAAGCTTTTCAGAAATATGTAGTTCATTGTGGGTTGAAATCTCAAAGTGACTGTATTCATTAGTAACAACATATGCAAGGTACATCAATTAGCCAATCTGATTAAAATAGAGATCTATATTTCACTTTATTTTTTTATGCTTTCGTTGGCCTCCACTGCATGAAGATCTGACCGGTTGTAGTGGGAGGTTGTGTCAGGGGTCATATGGGCGGCTTTTGACCCTATAACCTCAGACAGTTTATTAACCAATCAGTGTTGATGTGTCTAGTGGGTTATCCACAGTTTCATGCACCGCAAACCAAGACCGTTTCATTTGCGAATCTCTCACATCAAATAGAATGCGGGTTATATAACAACTCTTCCAAATCCTAGTGTAGTAAAGACAAGTAAAACGAAATTTTGAACCATAAAAAAACGAAAAGAAATAGGATCTATGTTTTAATCAGATTGATGAATTGGCTAATGTTATGACATGTGCATTGACCGAAAGGTAAATTCCTACTTTTCGTCATGACCATGGACACTGGTTTGTTAAGAGATTTTGTTTTGCTTTAAGTTTTTTTTTAATGTACAATTCTTACCTTGTCATGTAAATTTTTTTCAAGTGCAGCTATTTTGTCAATATATTTGTTATTATCCCTTCGTAAGGTAGCTATTAATGTTTTAGTTTGTTCAAACTTTTCTCTATTAGCCACATTTGCCTCTTGTACTTTATCTTTCCATTGTTGCAGGGTATCAAACTGTTTCTTCATCATATCATTATTCTCTTTCATGTATGCTACAAAAAGAAAGAAACAAACCTTGTAATTGCATACTAAGATATTCCTCTGTACAGTCTAATGTCGTCTAGGGCATGGGTTCCAAATTGCCATATGTCAGTTTTTATCAAAATTCCTCAGGACGTATGGATTGACTTACTACTGTAAAACAAGCAAATTTTCAAACATGGCTTTTGATTAACTTTCGCCTGGACTAAACATGTAGTTTAATTCACACGTTTTGTAAACAGAAATTTTGTCTGTGTTTTTATATCAAGCCTTCTTGTCATATACATCGTAACTGCTCAACCCTGGTTTATAAAATAGCATTGAATGGTAACCTGAGTATTCTTTGAATGGCATTTAGTAATTGGAACATAATCGAATAACACACTATTTATGGATAACAAACCATAGTAATTGTTATCCATAAATAGTGTGTTATTCGGTAACCTGAGTACCTATTGCAGATTAGGTTTTCCAAAATAACAGGGTCTAGATTAGATACTTGGGTAACACTTGGGCACAGATAGTCAATGGCCAGTACATTAAAAAGTTCCCCAATACTTGCATAACAAATGGGATCCCAGTATTCAAAACTAATCCTGAATCTATATCAACTGAAAATGATAAATAAAATTGCTTATAGTTTTCAGAAATATTCATCCGTACTATATATATACATATATAGTCCTTTATCAGCCCTCTGTCCTACGCCCAAACATGTGCTCTGAACAATTATCTTAGCCTCTAAAAGTGCAAGATACAAAGTTGAATTTTTATCAAAGAAAAAGAATTTTCCATTTGAATTCATTTTTGAATTATGAAATCAAAATGGAAAATATTGAGTTCGAGATTTGGCTCCTTTAGAACTGTTGCCTGCAATATGTTAAAGATAAATTTAAATTTAAACATAATGGAAATTTCTGCAAATTATTGAGGAATGCTAGTTGAAATATACCTTGTAATTCAGAATTTTCTTTAGAAAATTCCATCAACCTCTGTCTGGCTTCTTCCAAAGTTAAATCAGTCATTGACATGTTATTAGATGATATTCTGCCTTGTGGATGAAAATTTATATCCATACCACTATTGATATCTGAATGAGCCACACTTGATCCATTACCAGGACTTGATAAAACTTCAAAATCTGATGCCATTCCTCCATTATTCATTGACAGACCATTCATCATCTTGAAACCTGTGGTTCAAAACCAATTCTAAAATAAACATAATAAAATAATTATTATCAAAATTTGAAATTCCAACAAACTATTATTATTTTGAAGGAATGATAGTTTAAAATTTATTAAATTTTCTGTATATTTTGAAGCTTACTTTAAACCGTAAGGCCTGTCATTGCGCCAAGAGATGTTGTTTCGATTCCCCGTTTGAAAGTGACAAGTAGTAGGGTGGCCCGGTCATCTATCCTACCTCGTTGGTTTTGTCTGGGTTCTCAGGTTTCCTGCCACTGGTGGTAGAGAACAATAAGCACAAGGGAATTATTGAAATAAAATTGAACAGTGCGTTAGCCCTGAGTGTCGGGTGGACATTAAACCCCATTTCTCTCTCTCTCTCTCTTTTATACCTATATTATTATAACACATGCCATTTATCCAGCCTTGCACATTCACAAATATACATATAGATACATCACTCTTTTATTTCTGAGGGGTCACAGTGCCTCAGCAGGCCTGACTCACTAACCAGGTCTGGGAAGTTGGGGTTTAATCGCAGTATTGGCCAAGAAAGTTCCCTCAAAATTTTCTAATGTGGTTTCCCCTTGCCAGTGGTGTAGGAGTATAGGACAGAAGGCCTGACAAGGGACAGTGTCTCCAAAACTGAAGTACTGTGCACACTATGTAACAGAACTTTCAACAGTTCGAATTCAATTTCTGTCCCGAGGTAGGCCTGTCTTTATTAGCCCAGTTCGATTAGTTGGTGCAGAAAGAATACAACTGAAACATCAATGACATAATCATCAATTGAACTTTTTAGAAATGGATGGTTCACTTCAATCAGTATAGTTAGTTAGAAAAGTTGTAAGTGGAAATATGAAGCCGGTCAAATACATGTATGTTATAACAGCATAGATACATGTAAGGGGCGTCAAGGGTTTAAATGTGGCCCGTGAAACAAATTTCAACAAACTTAGAAACTAGCAGTGGAAATCATTTATTATTGTTTTCCAGTTTCAGTAAAACTCTGACTTCTATACTATATTATGTCATAGATATCTAAGTTGTATGTAATACAAGATAATGTTGTATTCAATATTATATCTTGGAAATTTGGAAACAGTCAAAAAAATTACCTGTGTCAAGGACGTTTGTATTTGTTTTTAGAATTCAGTAAAGTTCAAGAACGTTTGGCTTTATCTTGATATTTTCGTATATCTCCGGCCCACTTGATGTAAAATTTTAGATGATGTGGCCCCTGAATCGAAATGAGTTTGCCACCCCTGTCGCAGATGAATACCAGAACTAGAAGCAAAATTGCTTGGTGGAATTTATAAAATACCAGTAGCAAGTTAATTTGTTTCTCATCAGGCTAAAGTTGTTTTATAACCATATATAATTTATCAGAACAGATACACAAATACAAATCTGATAATACAACTTTGCCCTTCTAACAGCAATTTTAACATCACAAACTAGATTACATTGCTGAGGCATAGGTGTACATAAGCTTTGAGAAGAGGGAATTGGGGGTTCCAATCGACACAACCTGGGTTATTTCAGGCCTAACATATGGTTCAATTCTATTTCATTGAAATTCAGTTTTTGATTCTTGCATTATGAATAAAAACTATATTATTTTTAATAAATATTAGATAATAAATTTGATCCAAAGTTATAAATTAATGAACACAGATTTGAATACTGATCAATAAGAGACCCCCTACATTATTAGCTGTATGTCTAACTAAACTGAAAATATTTACTAAATTACTTCCTTATTCATATCTAATAATACAGCCTACTCAATTCAAAACTGTTTTCTTGGAATTTGTATTGCATCTTCCCTTATAAATTCTGACAAATACAGTAGGCTACTGGTAACCTAATTAATATTTAGGCTATATAATACATAAAACAAATTTTCAAATAGTAGATTTTCAATATCATACTGGAATAGTCTGATACGGAAAGTGAAACAGTTGAATAAATTAGGCCTACTGTCCTGATAAAAGTAGTCTACATAACATACGTAAAGCCAATGGTCTATGTCAAAAATCAGAATAATATCAAAATAAAAAGTATTTTAATGAAATAAAGGTGAACATTACAAAATATGACCACCCTTTTTACTTTACTTTATGACAGTTGATCAGTCGACAAAGATCAATTATATTCACATTTGACGAACTACAACAACGACCAACTTCAACTTATTTTTGAAGAAAATGAAAAATCACACTTCAGAACATGTTGTTAGTAAATTTCCTGTGTAACTTACCGTATTCTATAACATCTGATTCAAACAAGACGATAACTTTATATTTATAAATATATTGGATACGTATCAGAATAATTGCGACTTTCACAATCAATGACACGAGCGAAGGCTATTATTTGTCAATGGAATTCCTATTGGGATTTCCCATCTCTTTGACGTCACGTAATCAGTGATTTTAAAACAGAGTAGGCTCCCTTAGACTGCACATATCGGTATTTATTTTATCATGGCCTGTCTGTGGAAGCAGACGAAAAAGCTGAAGGCGCGTTTTCAATCTGTTTCACACATAAATTTGCCTTAGAACCCTTGGCCTTAGTTGGAAATAAAAGGGGAGTCGGAAACGCTACTGTCCTAGCTAGCGTTGCACACTTAGCCTACCGGTAACGGTACACCTAATCATTAAAATCAAATTTTGTAAAATGAGTCGACAGAAAATTGACAGCCTCCTCTTTTTTTTTTCAATTCCATTCACTTATTCGTTTACATGCACACTAGAAATAGAATGTACATGGGTGGATCTCGGTTTTTCATACCATTCAAATCAATAGACACTGTTCCTGCGCTACAAACAAGGGCAAACCATACCGGAAAATGAAGAGGAAGCTCCTGCACCATCATGGGCATGGAGAAAACCCCCCCCAAAAAAACCAAATGAAAAGTAGGCTATCAAAAGTATCATTCAGTGAAACTCCACCAATTTAATAATATTATGACTCTGACCTGACCTCCCACACAAACCAGTTAGATTTATGTGGAGATCATTTAAATTTACATGGAGATCATTTAAATTTACAAAGAAATGAAATGAAATTTAGATAAGAAATGTGTTTGAAAGATTTTTGTTTCTGTTCAAATTTTGACTGTTTCTAAGTCTGTGAATGCGACACAGAAAACTATAATTGAGTTAGAAATGAAATGAAATGGGGTTTTAATGTCCTACTGTTCCTTTCCGAACTGGGGTAATGAAGACGGGCATATGCCCTACAGTGTACGTGCTATGATGAGAGAAATTTTGCCCAGACAGCAGCACTACACTACTCATCTTATATCGAATTCCAAGGGATCTTTTACGTCCACGCCAATTTGTACACAGGACTTCCATCCTGCATCACTGACAAGGGGGAATCACGCCGGAAAATCTGGATGAACTTTCTCGGCCAATGCAGGGATTGAACATTCGACCTCCAGGCTAGCAAGCCAGCGTCTTATCCACTTAGCCCCCGTAATTGAGTTAGAATGTAAATATGTAAACAATAAGTTGTCAAATAAGTAAAACAATAATAAATGTAAATAATGATGATGTTTCATATTGTAAAAGGTGACTTCATTTTGTTCTTCAAGGGGTAGCAATCTGGAATGGGTCACAAGCAACAAAAGGTTGGGAACCACTGGCCTAAGGCATTATTATTAGGCCTAGTAGTAGACCCCTATTTACCTTAGTAATAGTAAATTGTAAAGATGATGTGTTTTTTTTATCTGTTTTGAAAACTGATATGTGGCATGGATAATTGATAAGGAAAATGTGTCTAGTCCAGGACCAGATTTTTCATAAGGCCCTTGGTTGAAAATGTCAGTGGGAACACGTGGTATGCACGTGACATGTCCCGGTCATTGTTCGTCACACACAAATGCAATTTGTATGTCAGTATGATAGATACCAGTAGATAGATGTATTTGGCACAAACTATTGAACAAAATTAGGTGACCATGAAAATGGGTCTGTCCATCCATCTTTTTGTCCGTCCGTCTGTCCGTCACACTTTTTAGGACACAAATTCACAATAACTCTCCTTGTAAATGCGCTATTCGAACTTGGTGTACGTGTTTATTAGTTGAATGCCTTGATGGAGTTCGAAGATGGGCATTTTCTGCTTAGGCTAAGCATAGATAAGCAATTTGATTGAGTGATGTTTTGAGACACAATAACTTTGGTTGTAATTAAGTGAGCGTGATGAAACTTGGTGTACAGTTTCATTACAGCAATACCTTGACTAAGTTTGATAAGCATTTTCTGCTCAGGGTAAGTAGAGACTTCAATCTAATTGGTCGAGACTTTGGAACACAATAACTGTCCTGTTCTAATTGGGTGAGAGTGATGAAATGCAGAGTATAGATTCCTTATATCAATCCCATTACTATAAGGTCATTGATGGGAATTTTCTGTTTAGGAAGTAGCGATAAGCAATTCCATTGGTCAATAATTTGGAACATAACAACTCTACTTAAAATTGAGGTAAAATGTTTAAACTTGGTGTAAGTGGTCATAAGGTGAATGTCTTGACTGAGTTTAATGATTAACATTTCTTGCTAAAGCTAAGCACAGCTAAGCAAATCCATTGTTTGATGCTTTGGGACAAGATAACTTTAATTCAAACTTTAAAGGGACAATAACACTCTTGCTGGCTTGACAGCTCCCGAAAATAAAAAATAGTCTTATTCTAAGTACTAGATGTGTTAGTGTCCTACCATTTGTGTAAATTAGCCATTAAATCCTATTTTACTTGTCCAAAGGGTTCAAAAATATTTTTAAATCCAAGTAACATTTGAAAAGCTTTACGTCAGGCTTTTCAAATCATTTAATTGAATTTTTCCAATTTTTTAAATTAGGTGTGTTAAGATGAAATTGTATCATCAATTAATTGGAGTATTGTAAAATAGTACAATTTGTTGACCAGAATAAATGAAATGAAATGGGGTTTAACGTCCTACTGTTCTGCTCCTATACTGGGCTAATGAAGACGGGCATATGCCATACAGTGTGCTATGAGGGAAATTTTGCCAGGGCAGCGGCACTATCGCCTACTCTTATATTGAATTCCAACTGCCAAGGGATCTTTTACGTGCATTCCAATGTATACACGGGACCTCGGGTTTTTCGTATCATCCAAAGGATTAGACAGCTGTTCTTGTCAGGCCCTCCGTTCTGCACCACTGACAAGGGGAAACCACGTCGGAAAATCCAGATGAACTTTCTCGGCCAATGCAGGGATCGAACACCCGACCTCCAGGCTAGCAAGCCAGCGTCTTAACCAACTAGCCACCCTTAACCAACTAGCCACCGTGACCAGAAGAAAGATTGGGATATATTATTCAGTTACAACAAGAGTGGTATTGAGCCTTTTATAAGGAGAGTTTCACCACCAGGTACATGGTACTTCAAAACTTTGAATGATTTCGATCATGAACATTTTCTGCTTAGACTAAGTAGATAATCAGTTTGTCTGCTACTTTTCAAAAAGATAAATATGCAATTAATCATTGTGTCATCTATTTATTTTGGGATTACAGCAGCAGATACCAGCCCTACTGTTTAGAACTGATTTGCAGGTCTTTTTAATATTGGGGCCCTCGCTGCAGTCTCGTCGGCCTCCTGTCTTAATCCAGCTCTGGTTTAGTCTTTCGATGAGATGGAAAATCCAGGCCATGTGAATACATGTGGAGAAGAGAAGCTTGAAATGACACTTGTATTGAGTAAAATGTTCCCCATAGGGGTAGAGCTAAAAGGTAAAGCCCACTGCAGATTGGGTCATAGCAGGTCATGAGATGTAAACAGGGCTAGCCCTAAACCTCAATCTTGTCAACAATGACATGTCCTAACCCTATTACCCCGGTACATCCTGTGACCTATGACGAAATCTGCAGTGGGCCTTAACTTTTATCTTTCATATAGTGTTTGTCTCAAAATGACTGAAGTAAACCGTTTTTGATAGACCTAATAAATTGTCTTTTAGTGCAGGTAAAATATTATTTGGCAGTTCAAATTCGATCATCTCAAACTGACAAACATAGGCTATACTTTCATTCCTTATTTCAGGTACAGTCAGACAGTTATGAAATATTACAAATTCTGGTTTGTTTTATTATTTATTATTAAACTTTCAATACAGCGACATGTTTTTATCGCTGAACACACTCATCTTTATCTTGCATGATTTCATAAATACAATTTCAGACAATACAAACACAGTATGCACCATTTCAAAGTTCAGTTATATTTTTCTCTTATTACCAGTTGATAGCTGATCTACTATACCTTATGCCTACTCTGCTCCTCCTGCCAGCAGGTAGACAAACTGAAATTTCATGAATGCTCTTAAACCAAACTAAGTTGGGTCAGTTGATATTACTATTCTGATATTTACACTACTTTAGATCTAAAATTTTCTGTTTAGATAGGGGAGCCGCGGTGGCTGAATCAGTAAGATCTTGGATTGCTAACCTGCAGGTCCCGTTTGGGTCCCGTTTGGATCCAGTGTTACAGTTAGCATATGTGTTATTCAAGTAATTAAATGATGACGTCTTTGCATGATTGGAAAAGCTAGATTTTCATCAGTTATTTACAGAACACAAGCGAAAACTTGAGTCCTGTAAAATATAAGCTACTAAAAATAAAACAAAATAAAAATCTAATTAAAAACATCTGATTTGAATTTGATTGCATATAATAAATGGGCTTTGTCCACTTGCAATATTACATTTTCTGAAATAGAAAAATCTCACTGATATGAAAGTGAAATTTATGTATAAAGACCATCAGGTTTTTAGTTTAACAGCACATTCCAAATTTGGATTTGCTGAAGGTGCGAATAAAGAATAAATTAAAGCAGTCGTGGTCGCCAGTCATATCCATATGAATGCTACATAGCATTGTTCATTTTCAATATTACGCTATTTACACTTAGGAAAATAAGATAAAATTAATGGGTTGGGTATCTCAAGTATTTTATCAGTTACCTGTAAAACTAAATTGTGGTAGTCACAACAACCCAGTCCATTCACCTTATCAGGTTTTAAATAGTAAAGCAAAATAATTGAACAGTGTAATTCTGTGGTGGTTTAACCCCATTTAATACAGTTCTGAGATTTGCACAACAAAATATCACCAAAAAATTGATACGAAAACATATATACAATATACAATATAAATAGACAACCGAGAAATATTTAAATGAAAAATCTATGTTTAGATCTACTACCAGTGGTTGTTTGTTACCCCCAAAAAAAGACTTGATAGAAAAAAGGGTGAAGATAACTGATAAAACTAGTTTAAAATGTCACTAAATAATATTTGACAAATTATAATATCACTATAATAATAACCACCAAACACTAATAATTTATAATAAGAAAGTAGCATGTATGTAATGGC